TGGCGTCTCCGATCTGAACCCGACCGGCGATTGTTGCTGGGCGTCAGTGGGGGACGGATTGTACAAAACTTAGGGAGTCCCAGACAAACTTAGGCACCGAATCATATTGTGAAATTGAAAGTCAATGACCTTTGGTTTACTGGTAAACTGTTATTGGAAACATTTCAATTAAAATAATCATATTTTATACTTCTCTTCTTTTAAGATAACTTCTCCGCGAAAACTGCACTTCTAATAAAAAAAATATTGTACCCACTGAAATACTGGGCGTGCCACACAACCACCATCGCAACCACAGACCACCCACTATCTATGACCGCAACGCGCCTTCCCAGGAGGAGGTTAGATGTGCGAGAGCCTCCGGGCCAAACCAATTCCAAAGCGGGGCTAAACGAAACTAGTATTTCCTTGTTGGTTGAGGGACGTTGTAATGGCAATAGGAAGGCGCGTGTCAGCTTGGGCCGCCGGTATCCTGCAGGCACATCAATACTTGGTGGCGCTACCCGTGGGGGAAATACATGGTGGTGCTACCTATGAGTAACGCATGTCACTGCTTGGTTCCTTCTTGAATTGTAACGCTATGTTTGAGAGAAACGACTGTTTTAAATGTTTACTCGCCAGCCGTAAACACTTATGTCAATTTTGGACAAAGTTAATTCTAAAAAAATTAAGGTGTGTGTATATATGTGTATATATATGTATATATCTAATATATATATATATATATAACAATATATATACATATATTTATAACAATATATATATATATATATATATATATATATATATATATATATATATAATCACTGCTGGGTGATTGCGTTCAGACGTTTCATGTCGTATACGCCATCTGTCCGATGGAGCAGATAACGTTATTCATCTGAAAAGGTAAACTGTCGCCTCCCAGTTCATTTCCTGTATTGGCGTGCAAATTCCAGCCTTCGTCGCCGATAAACAGCAGCCAGCATTTGTGCATGAACCAGCCACCTGCTGTGGTGGCCCATACGCAGCAACGTTCACCGAACGGTTGTTGAGGGGATCCTGTTGGTAGCCCCTTGGTTCATCTGGGCGGTCAGTTGCTCTACAATTGCATATCTATCTGCCCGTACACATCTCCGCAGCAATCGTTCTCCCCTCTCAACTACGGCCCATGGTGCGCCAAAGTTGCCTCGGCGCCAGTTTTGAATTCCGCCATTTTGCCATGCGCTGTATACTTTAACCACATCGGCACGCGGACACTTAATACACTAAATTGTTTCATCTGCCGTTCTTGGCCCGAAAGCCAATGATCATGTACTATTTAATGCCTGATAAATCGCTCCATTTATGTATTGCGACAAATACTACAGTTTTTCTCTTCCACTCTCTACTGTCAGTGCTGCCACCTGCCATTTGTGACGGGTTATTGTACGATTATTTCTAACATAGGTGGTGGTCACATTAACGTGACTGAACTGTGTAAAAACAATCGGGATCGCCCAAGAACCAATCATTTCGTTCTCGAAGTTTAAACTATTTCTTTCACGATTGTATGAAAATGCTTCTATTACGAATCCTTATTTTTTCATTTTTACTATTGATGATTATCGAAACAAAGCAACATTTTCTTTTTTCGTATTAATGTGAACAAGTATCTTTACAGTACGTGACATCACCGTTAAAAAATACTTTCAAAAATGGCATAAGAAAACACTAACTTCGCGGTACTAAAATATCTCATGTTTATACAATAGTAGAAAAAGTTATTTTTTTATTGATTGGGGGTTCATGTTCCTTTCAATTACTATTGTTGAATAAATAAAACACTTGGCGTGTTTCAATATACCTTTTTTTATTTAATTCACTGATGAAGCGCATCAATCTCAGATCTGCTTTGTTTTTGTGTATGCGCATGCACTAAAATTGGGATCATTTAAGCTCCATGGGGGCTGCGACATTCACAGCGCCTAGAGATGCCCTTTGGCAGTGTCGCGCAGATCTGTAACTATCAAGCTGTTTCGTATAGAAAATAACAGGCAATAGTCATTGTAGATAGTGAGACGTCGACATAATCGTACTTGAACGTGTAAAATAATGTAAACGTTAATTTTTTTAATTAACAAAATAAATTAACACCGTATTATCCATAAAACGTTTAACTACCAAATGCAATATAAATTCTTTTATATGAATGTATTTAAAATAAGGAACACACGCTTCGGAGACGGTAGAATTTTTTGTCTGGAGACTGAAAAAGCGAAGCTCAGACACTGCCAACAGCACACTGTTGGCTTTCAGCACAAGCCGCCATTGCCGTGAGCAGATGAGTCAATATCGATAATGTTGGAGAGGTAAAGGAAGTACTCAAGGAAACTGTGAAGAGCTCGCTTTGTCTACCACGCCCCCTTTAAAGTTGTTGTTTGTTTTTCTTTTCCTACCAGAAAAAATTAAAAAGTCATTTCCAGCCAGTATGTTGTGATTTATATAACTGTGACATCCAGTCCCATGAGATCCGTTTCAGTATTTTTATATCAGTACATCGTTAATGAAATAATTAAATTATTTTTTCGAAGTGATGAAATAATATACATTTGAAGAAAATATCTCTATCAAAAGGGGACCTTAAGCACGTGCTGACATACATAGCTGTTAAGTGTGCATCGCGGTGAACAGCAGTGCAGTGAACCCTGATCAGCGCAGTGGACAGTGCATTGGATTGTGCAATAGTGTAGAAGAAGTGAACAGTGTAAATAAATAACCAGAAGTGAACAGTGTAAATAAATAATCAAGAGAACAGAGTCGTGTGTAAGAAAATAACCAAGTGAAGACTACAGGGACTGTGTAACCTATCTGAATATAAATCACGTATTTTAGTGTATCATTAAGAAACAAAATAAACGTCTGATAAAATTTTGCCTGTGTTTTAATTCATCACCAAGAAACGTTACAATATCAATACACCCCTCTGTGCTTTCTCCATGTAATGCGGATGCTCCGTGTAACTAATTTAAGTTTCAAAAAGTAAAATCATTACTGCTGTATAACTATTTCTATACAGTTAGGGACTATTCTGATCATCAAAAAGAAAAATGTTTATTTTAACAAAACAGTGATATATAATGAATTAATTTACATTCGTATTGTATAATTTAAAGAAGCCTGAATATGCTTGCACATAATGTACTTCAACTTCCGGGTCTACGACCCCCATCTCGATCAGTTTTTTTTTCCAGTTTCCCTGATACATTGAGCTGAGATGGCCCCTTCTTTTGCTTCTGGACGTAAATATAGCTTCACTATGCGCACATTTTGTTGAACTCTCCTTTTGCTTGCAGTGGTAGGAATAGAGGTAAGAGCGAGTTACTATTTTGTTAGCAATGCAGTAAAATCACATCTGCAGTTCGTTTACCGTTGCAAATAAGTTCTCTATAACTCGGAAACAAAAATGTCTAGTTTTTCAACTGTTGCTAATCTTGCGCTGTTTTAAATTTTATTTTTATTCATTAATTTATTAACTTTTACTCGTTTTTTAACTATTTATAGTTAAAATGATGGGAAGGGATTCTGGAGGTCAAGAAAACGTGCACAGATGATATTTTCCCCCATACAGTTTTTACTGTTTTTTGACTAAATAAATCTAAATCCGACAGCGCTGGCGGCGGCGGAGGCGTGGCTTCGCGAGCGCATCCGCGCGCCGGCCGAGGTCATTCGCGCGCTCAAGGTGATGTGCGACGCCCGCGCCCACGCACTCGACGAGCGCCGCATCTTCGCGCCGCTGTGGGGCGCCTCGGCCAACCGCCACGCGCTCGCCAGCCGCCCTCGCCACACCTCGGCGCCCGCCGACAGGGACCAGGAGCCAACAACCCGTTAACCGGACCCTGCGTTGCACAACAAAATCTAAGACGGAATCGATCGGAACACAAAAAAATTCCGGTTAACGGAGGTTACCGTTTTTTGCATTTTTTTGGCATTTGTGATATTGGCGTTTCTGCCCTGAAAGTAGTAAATTACATGGCTTTATTATAATTATCTAAATATATTAACACAACTATTTATGGAAGAAATCGCCAATAAATGAATATTAAACACTCTTCATTGACAGCTTCTGAGTTGGAAAATACACACCTTAGTGGTTGTATTGGGAAGTTTGCTGACTGACTCTTTCAATGCACAATGCATTACAATAATGTACTATGACTTTCTGATTCCCGCGCATGGCCTTAAGCAAAGTGTATCTGGACGCGGAGTTATAACTTCAAACGCGGGGCAAATATACGTATGAATAGAAACCATGCCCATACACCTTCCTACGCTCAGAAATTCGGGAGAGGGTATTCCCCTGCGGCATACACCTTGAGAGACAAACGACCCTACGCGAATTCTACGTAGACAGTTTAAGCCCCTCTCCTACAAAGTCCGGCAGACGCGATTAAAACGGAGGATTCATTGGAATTCCGTTTTATTAAGATTTTTTTCTCTGCAGGATATGAAAAACGTTCCGTTTCCGCGTTGGAGAGGTTCCGTCTTATACTGTGTAAAATGCCATTTAACTTCCCGAGTCGGAGAAAATTTCTGGTTAAGGCAGGTTTTGAGCATGCACAGGTTCCGGTTTACACAGAGTTTACTGAACCGTCTTTTGTTGTGGGAGTAGGGCGACCAGCAGGGGTAATTTGCCCCAGGCCCCGAATTTCTTTTCATTCAAAAGAAATAAAAAATGTATTTATCTCTAATCCAAATTTAATTCTATAAGTTATTTCTGGTGCACGAAGAAATGAATTGTTTATAAATTGGAGGAAGAGGAAATTTTTTGTTCGTAATAAGGGACCCCCTGTGGATCAAGCGCACCATGCCTCTGGTAGTAGTTTCTTTTGTATTGGATTTTACATCAATGAAAATGTGTGTATTGTAAATATGTACTTATGGTTACCACCTGGCAAACAGCCAATAGAAGTCAAATACATTAATCAATACTAATAAAAATAAATTCAAAAACAATTAACCCACATATGAAATTTTTACAGGCTCTACTTCAGGATTGCAGCCTTGTCCTTGCAAAGTTTCGTCAAGATTAATACATTCACTAATGCTAAAAATAAATAATTTAAATAATATTTTGGTAGATACACCACAATCATTATTTTTCGCCTGTCACTAGGAGTAGATTATTTCATCAAAGGCCAGTTGCAGTGCTGCAGAACTGGTATCTAATAGTTAATTAAAGGCCACTGGCAGTGCATAAGATAAACATTTTTAATTTAATGTATAATAAATTAAAAGTAAAATATAAAAACAATTACATAATTTTTTTTTAATTATTTTTTTTTATGCATGAATATGGTAGAATTGCTTCAAAATTAGGGATACCTACTCTGAAATCATAAAGAGACTTTGTTGATGTAATGTTTTTGTTTAAACTTCACAATAAAATTGATTGCTGCCTTTTGTTAAATGACTTGAGTTTCTAAGTGCCGCATTATAATTCTAGAAACCATGGTGGTTTTTCCCAAAAATGATACAGGAAAGTATTCACCTCCAACAATCCAATTGTTGTTAGCTCCCCTTATTAATCATTGCATACTAGCCAGTTTATTTAAACAAGCTCTGGGTTATTTGCTATTGTGCCTTACAGTTTTAATTTAATTTTACTCTTTCTGAATTCTGTATGTCTATTTCAGAATTGCATAAAAAAGATCTTTCTAATTATATGTGAATTGTTATCGTTTCCGCTGGTCACATATGCACATACATGCCTTTGTATTTTTTTAATATTCTTTTTATTTTTGTTTCCTTTTGTTCTTTTAATTATATTCCATGTTTCCACTTATTAAATTAACCATGTAAAAGTGGACTTATAATCTGTATATTATAAACAGATAAACCTAAACATTATGGTTTATACAAAATTTATATTTTTCTTCTTTCACAAGAACTGGATATGAAGAAAGCCCGGGCAACGCCAAGTATTTTGCTAGAATTGTTTACAGCTGAAAAAGGCAAATAGCTGAACGATGTAAAATCAAGCTCTCATGTGGTGCTTCCGTATCATTGAGTACTGGCTGAGTTAGCTCAGAGCCAGCATTTTTGTTCTCTGTAATGACATTTTTTGTTCTCAGGTTTGACTCCCGACAGTTTCTGAAGGATATTTTAAGGATTGCACGAAAGCCCTCGGTTAAGACAAGAGGGCTCTTCTGAATGCTCTGATAGGAGCTGCTTTCACTTATCTTCAACATATATTTACTTTAGAATTGATTGAGTAAAAGTATAATCTTAGATTCTGTTTTTCTTTTTTTCCAAAGATATTTTATCCATTCAACATAAACTTTTATCTTCAAAAGTAAGGATACAGCTCAGACAAATTAATTTTAAGACAGAAGTTTAAAGGACTATAACTGTCTCCACAAAAGTGTGGCACTAATATCCAATCTGATTAAAAGAGAACCTTGGCAAATCTTCCATGCCCACATAAGGTCATCAAGCCACAATTTCTCTTTCATTCCTTTTGTTCTTTTTGGCCTGAAGAATATACATTTGCCACTACAGGTCACCAAACTGAGAAATTGAAATAAATTTTATTTTCTTTAGTCATGCTTTACTGTTCAAATTTACCAATTATTTTATGTGGAAATGAACACACTTTTAAACTTTTCAACGGTGTAAATCACAAAGCGAACATCAGCGGAAATTACATTTACTTATATAAGTATATTAACTTATATAACTAACAATACTCAACTTTTCTTAATAATATTAGCTTTTAATGAGAAATTACACAACGTTTAGATTTGCTCTTCAAAATACAAGGTCTGTCCCAAAAGTAAGTTGAATGACCATGCGCCGCCGAAGCAAGCAAGGCGCGCCAAGTAACGTGAATGTTGTGTGGGATTTAGGGAAGCCAAGGACAAACACGTCAGTTGTCTGCAGGCTCTTCCACAGTGCGCACCGCTGCTAGTTTGAACCCTTGTGTTACTGACGCGTCGGAATTTTAAGATGCCACGTTTCAAGGACCAGCGTTAAGCAATAAAATTTTTTTTTGCGCTCAAGAAAACGGGCGCTGAGACCGTTGCCATGCTAAGGGAAGCTTATGGCGATAGCATCATGTCCAACAATAAGGTTTACCGCTGGCACAAGATGTTTCAAGAGGGCAGAGAGGACGCCGAGGATGAAGACCGCTCTGGACGCCCGTCAACGTCACATTCCTATCAAAATGTGAAGAAAGTGAGGGACATGCTGAACTCTAATCGACGCCCGAGTGTTAGAATGCTGGCAGATGAGTGTAATATCCCTAAAATGACTGTGCATCGCATTGTTCCCGACGATTTAGGCATGCGGAAGATCTGTGCAAAGATGGTCCCCAAGGTGCTTTCCGATGAACAGAAGGCTGCTCGTGCAAGGATTTCGCGTGACCTCTTGGAGCAGTGTGAAAATGATCCGAATTTTTTGGATAATGTGATTACGGGTGACGGAACATGGGTTTTCGAGTATGTCCCGGAGACCAAAAGACAAAGTGCTGAGTGGCACACGCCAGCTTCCCCGCGCCCAAAAAAGGCGAGAATGAGCAAGTCCCGTGTAAAGGCCATGCTCATCGTGTTTTTCGGCAAAAGAGGCATTGTCCACTCAGAGTTTGTGCCACAAGGACAAACAGTGAACAGTCATTTTTACTTGCAAGTCCTGAAAAGGCTCCAAAGCAGGGTAAAGCGCGTCAGGAAGGAGATTGCCAGCACTTGGGAGTCTTCACCATGACAACGCGCCGTCGCACACCTCCATTATTAGAGTACTTAGCGAAACGCGGTGTGGCAACATTGCCCCAGCTGCCGTACAGCCCCGACTTGGCACCACTGGGCTTCTTTTTGTTCCCGAGGATCAAGAAGGATCTCAAGAGCCACCATTTCGGGGCTTTGGAAGCCGTCAAAGAAGCAAGACGAGGTGCTTGAAGGAGGTCTCCGTCGACACCTTCCAGGGTGCGTTCAGCGACTGGGAAAAACGCTGGCGCAGGTGCTTCGACGCGGAAGGAAGCTACTTTGAAGAATTTTAGTTACTTGCATATTTATCTGCAATAAATCTCTTTTCTTGGACTTATTCATCTTACTTTTGGGACAGACCTTGTACACCAATTCTACTTGTACTTTTACAAATCACCCCCTTAAATACAAAGGCACTTTCATTAAAACAATTTTATAATCTAATGAACATAAAATAGTTATATTTTGTATGATTGGGATCTCAACAAAAAGAAACTATCAAATCGTGGGAAAAAGAAAAATAATCAATTGAAATATAAAAAAATATTTTTCAATTATCGTATAAAATGTTTCTATTACCACTCATGATTAGTTTCATCTCTACTCTTCATGCTTTAATCAACACAACGACCCACCTTTGGTAATCATGGTATAATGACATTGTGGTTTTGCCACATAAGACAGCAAAATATAGTTGTTCCATATGATTTCTTCTATAACTGGTATAACATTTCTGAATTTGAAATTGATAAACCCCATGTAGACATTCCACAGGGGTTGCTTAAATTTGCAGACACTGCAGTATCCGATTTATTACCCAAAAATCCTAACATATTTATGAAAAAACTGAAATGTCAGTAGAGAATTTACTGTGAACATCTAAAGCAGTTGTTGCAAGTTACATCAGTATGTATTGTGTTAATAGTTTAATGAATGTTAATAGTTATTGGGAAGAACTTGGTAATAGTGAAATTAAAGTTGTATTGCCTCTAAGGTGAAATTCATGTTCTTACTTCTGTTACAATCTACCTACCATGTGTAAAAGTATTCATTAGACTAAGACATGACATCAAATTGCAAAAAGGGGGAGAGATTTTAAGAAATTACAAACTTTATGTATGCAAAGCAATGAGTAGAAATAAGAGTTTTATTATGATCAAAGATAAAAGTTTTTTTAACTACACAAAAAACGATATAACTATATCCAGTATCAAAGCAAAATGTAGTAGTAACAAAGAACCTAGTAAACATGCTTGCGAGAAGGGTAAGCCATGTAAATAAGGATCTGTGATTGCTACAACAACAAAATCTTTCAACAATGAAACAAAACAAAAAAATGTTGAAAGGATATTTCAATTTGACAATGAGTTGAAGTTACATTAGTGCACCCAAGGAAATGCTTTTCAATGATTTAACATTTATATTCCCAATGAAAAATGGGAATCTTGTGGCATGTACATTTATCTAGTCCTGAAATCCATGAAACCTTTCTAAAATATAGCAACCCATGATTCATTTAATTAATTCTACTATTCATCACTTAACACAAAAAAACAATTTGCATCTGGATAAATTTATGTCCATGTACCTTCAGCTTCAAAAACCATGAAGTACTTATCAATAATCATTCTTTCACTCAATCATCACAGCACTTCTGACAAAAGTAATTTGATACTCAATTATCAATTAAAGGAAGGTTCTGGCACACAAAGTAAAACCGAGGGAAGACACTACCAGTTACAATAAAATAGAGAAATCAACAACAAATGCTTGATATTTTTTATTTGAAATAGATCAAACAAAACGTTTCAGTTTAGTTACTACAGGAAATGACTGAATTTACAAAATGATGACTATGATTAATAAAATACACAGCTCACTTTTTTTTCCAACCTAACCAATGTCGGTGCTGCAAGAACTCTCAAATTACCCATTCAGGTTATCCAGAGAGCACATATAAAAGGTGGAAAACTGCACACCAATAATCATAGTTGACAAAGCCTCCAAACTACATAATTTGCACAAATACACAATTACATACTTTCAACTGGTTGTAAGTGGGCGGGAACATATAAAAGGAACCAAATTACTGAAACACTGTCAAACTTCTCATTATTCCAACAACTAAATTTTACAGACAACACCTTAACATACAAAACATGCAATATTTCTTAAGTTTCTGGTTTGCATGAATTCACGCACCTCAATAAAACAAAGAGATCAAAAACATACCGTTAACTTATGGCAACTATGCAAGCCAATTCAAAATAAGGCATGGATGTGTGTGCAGATCATCAAAATAAAATTCACGAATTTTTGACACATGGATTACATTATTCAAGAGAAGTATAATGCATTCTGAATTATGCTGGGATATTACCCAAAGAACTTACAAATTTGAGAATTTCACTAGTTAAGTCCAAGAAAATATCATGTTTATAGTGTAATGTTACATATTGACATCTACTTTTCTGAAATAAGACTGTCAAGTCAAATACAGATATGTAAAACAAGCCCTAGGAGCTCCAAAAGAATCACTACCAGTTACACTGCCCTGAATAGACTTTAGTTGTATTCCAGGGCAATTTACATTACCCTCTTAAAACTAGCATGCAGAATGCATGATGACCCTGAACTGTAAAGGGGGAATGGCAAATAGCACAGGAATTATTGTGCATAAGAGAAAAACAACTGATCTAAGAGTTTAGGAACTATATTTTACTACCAGGTACAATAGTGGGTTGTTGACACTCATACTGGTTCCTTCCTGCCTACTTGAAGCAAAATGTATGTAGTTTTAAGACTGTATGATAGTCCTACACATTTTTGAAACGTGTATCAATTCTGTTTAATGCACAATTTATAAATGCACAAGTAATTACTTTTAACAGAACCTTCAAACATAAACTTATGACATATGATCAAAGAAATGATTGAATCTTGCTTTAAAATAAGACCTTTTGTCTACATATTGCATGAAAAATTATTTAAAACACAATTTCACATACAATAATAAAGGCATATATTACAAAAACATTCTATATACATTTAGTAGAGTACATTTAAAACTTATTCAATGAGGTTGAATTATTTCCCAACACTCCCACCTTATACTTTATATTGCACTTTTTCTTTAAAACAATTAAATGAGACTTTGTCTCGACAACAGGAGAGCCATGTCAATTTAGCCCCATTTATATGCACTCTGACAAAAGTTGAATAAAAGGTGAGCGCACATACACCTACACACAGAGAAATAGAATGGCTCAATTCACCAATCGTGTATTCCAGACAAATAAAGATTAACTATAACTAACAAAGAGAAATTAGCATTGTATACCAGAAATGGAATTATAATAATATACTCCTTCATTATTTTAGTAAAACATCTGATCAACAGTAGAGTATATATTGTAATTAAAATATGATACATTCTATTAATAAAATATTCTTTATCAGAGCTTCAAAGAACAAGAAAAAGAGAGGGAAAATTTAGATATTGATCAAGTTCTATTTTTACAATAGTTTTAATGTATAAATATATATTTCTAATTATCTCACTATTTAAGATGGCCTCACTCCTTTGTTCCTAACAATTGTACATCAAACTGGAAGTTAAAGTGTAGTCACTGAAATATACTAACTGCATCTGAAATATTTACACACACACACACACACACACATATACACACATGCACACAAGGATTATTGCTGCTTATACCAAAGGATTGTGATCTATCAGCATGGGAGTACCGATGTCTGAGAGCCAGGACATGCACCGGGTCAGCTGAGTCGTTAGTTGAATGGTGTGCAGCTTAATTCTCTGGGCTAGGACGGTTGACATTCCTCTTGCAAAAGCATCAACCAACTGACCAGAACTAACATGGCTCCACCTGGGACTACTTACACATACAGAATTTTGGCTAGAGTTGAAACTCACTTCAAATGCGAGCAGGTTCAGGAGGTGGCTTTGGCACATCAACAGAAACAGCAACAGTCTCACTAATAGTAGAGACATGATTGCCTCCAACAATACTCAGAGCCGAAGTCTTTGCCCGCTGATATGCCACAACAGTATTCAAGCCTAAAAATCTAAAAAAATAACCAACACAAAATCATAAATAAATTTATTCGAAGGAGTGATTAATACATTTTTCAATAAACTCTTGATAATTTTGAGCTTTTTTCAGTTCACTGATTTGTTTGGAGGAAGTGGTAATAATCACTGATTCTTTTCCTACAGCTTGATCCAAATATTTTTTCCTTTCAATTGAAATTTGTTAGAAAGGAGCAAGTGGCCATTACGTTCTGTATGACTTAAAATCATTTATGTAGAGTTTTTAAAATGAAAAAAAATTGAAAAATAGCCCTCACCTGACACACACATACTGAATGAGCAACGCACTCCCTGCAGCCAGCATGCGAATTACTGGGTCTTCAAACAGCTGGATAGTAACCCAGGCTCCAGCAGCTGACACACACATGCAGGTCACAATTGCAGCAGTTTGTAGCCAGTGCTGGGTCGTAAATCCATGTTGCCAATCTAGGCGCTCACCTCGCTGAACCTGGTATGGAGCACCACACACCTTGCAGCTCAGGCAATCTGGATTGGTGGAACTCTACACACAGAAATAATAACAAACAATTCAAAAACTATTAAAGATAATTTCATCATAATCTGAATTGCAAAGTATATAAAAATTCGTCTTGCCTCAACTAGCCATCGCCTCAAGCAATCATGATGAACACTACTCATGTCCCCTCTGCACTGACATGGTTGAATAAGAGGCCCAACATCTTGACGGTCAGCATCATAGCAAATCCAACAGTCTTGGGAGCCACAAGCTTCATCACCTACAACAGTCATACAAATTTCAATAATATAAAATTATTGATTTCCTTTAGTTCTTTTAAGAAACAAAGGAGAGCTCATTTAAATATGTCCAATACATCAAAGACTCAAGCTTTCAACGAACCACAAGGATGAGTCAAGCAGTAACTAAGAACAGACACATCAGTCTCCTCCGACTGATAGGCTTGCTTTCAAATACTATTACAGTGCATGAAAAGAATTTACATTAATATATATGTAGCTCACCCAAATCTCCCGAGTCCTCCACAAATGCTCCATCTTCCTGTTCTTCTGCACTAGGAGCGGCATTTGCTTCTAGTTCTAATTTCTTCAAAATCCTTTTAGGGTTTAGAATCCAGAGTTGTTCCGGGCTAAAAATAATTACATTTTGTGAGTCATACCCTATAAATCATCACATACAACCACAAAATATTTTTTACAGTCCTACTCTTACCTGTAACAGTTCCACAGAACACATGGAAACCAAAGGGCAACACCTATTTCCACTACACGGAACACTATGTCATGCCAATTACGACTGTAGAGGGGAACTCTGCAAATTTATTTCAATATTATGTCAATTCATTGTTTGGAAATAATTACACTGTGATTAAAATTAGATGTTCATAGCTTGTAATCATGTGGTAATACTGGTGTCATAACCTAAGTGTTGATGAATCAGAAACTTTGGCATTTGCAATGTTGTCACCTCAAATTACAAAACAAATGAACCACATGTCCAGAACACTGAAGTTGATCAGCTAGTAATATTATCAAACTTGTGTGTTAAAACATTACAAAAGTAAAGAAAGGTACTGTTAGTTTTATCCTTAATGTCAGTAGGATTTTGTAATGTGGTAGTTATAATGTAATAAGGTAGAGAGTGTTGTATGTCAAAACAAGACCTTCAAGGCTTACCACAAACTTTTTATTGTAATAGACATTAGCATAAATTGCAAGAAAATAAAAATGAAGTGAATCAAATGACACACCAATTATACCAATCTTTTGTAAAAGAGATACTTTATGATGTTTTAAAATTAGAGCCTGCACCTATCAAAAGTATTTTCATTTTATACAACCGTTTGGGGTAGGATATTGGGAATTCCATATTCAAAGGTGAAAAATGTAAATAGTTAAATATCTTTCAAGTGATAAACCAAAAATGAATCTAAGTACTACCAATTGATTGACTGATTGGTTATTTCTAAGTGTGGCAACTGCTATGGTAAGTCCTATACATGTTTTAAATGTTATATCCTAAGAGGTGGTGGTGTTCGCCCCCCACTGAAACTTGAGATTTGGCACTGACCTACATGTTGGCTTGTGAGGCTTCCTCCGAGAGTTATCTTCCCAATACAGGGCTCAACGCTAGTAAATAATCTCTCACTGCCCAATTGGGTCCCGATATATGTTGGAGTTGCACATTTAATTGTAGGTGTGTAAGGGGAGAAGAGGGGCAAGGAAGAGGAACGAAGACCACTCGGTTTGTTGCCCCTGTGTAATTCAAGTTTTGCATCGCCTTTGAGCATCTGCACATGCACAGAAGAACAAGATTGCTGTACGCTACGCTGCGGAAAACCTCTCTAATAAGAGACCAGGTTTTCCTAAATACATCCGGAAAGAAAAAAATAAAATAAAGATGGCATCACCATAGGTTTGCATATTACGCCTTAAACAGTTGGGATCAATGACCCTTGTTGTCATTTTTTTAAATACCTCTCTTTATCAAGAAATGTGAATGCTGACAAAGTGCAGTTAATGATAAACCACATGTATCTGCAATAACTAATTATATTTACAAATGTTTTCTTGGGTGGATGTGCCAAGCTGTTCAGTCCAAAATTTTTGAGCAACCAAGTAACAGTGAGTAGGGAGAAGGGCTTGAGAAAAGAAAGGAGACGATAAGGAAGAGAAGAGATGAGGGAGGGAGGAATGGTGAAAGAAGATAAAGAGGGAGGAAAAGGAGGAAATTTGGGTGGTGACAATACATAATAGATGTCAATAAAGAGTTGTAAAAGAAGTGTTGTAATATGACTATGACTTAATGAGAAGTAATGAAGGATTTCCTATGTAAAATATGTACCAAGATGTAATGTGATTGTCTACAGTTGTAATGAAATGTAATTAAAATAATATTTTACAAGACTGGCAATATGAAACATTTAACAATTACCACAAAACAGTCATTATTCCCTAAATATTTTGACTACTTTTATATTTGTACAATTTTTACTTACTTTTTTTTCCAAAATTCAGACAGTGTCTCACTAAAGAGAAAACCCACAATAATGCTAAGCATCAGTGCTTGGGACAGCAAGCCCACCCTTGACTGATGGAGCTGAGAATGGTCAATTTTGGGTTGTAGAGCAGGTAAGTTTGATGCATCAAAAAGTTTGGTTGTTGCTGCAGTAGCACTTGTTCGCTCTCCAGCAGGTGTTCTTGTGTTGCCAGCAATAGATGAAGCAGCCATTTCATGGCCAGTTAGGAAGCCACCTCTAACCTTCATGGCAAAACAAGAAAAGAATTAATTCATATGAATTCATTCAAAACAATAGCAATACACATAATTATCAATTGTGAAGAGAAACACAACCTTTATTTTATATTTTTTTTCTGTTACCTCGAGAAACCTTTATTTTGTTTTTTCTATTATGTCTACAGTTCAGAATAATATGAACCATGAAACAATAAATAAACCATTACAGGTACCAGTTACAAAACAAAACATGTCTTATAATTTTACTAGTTCTCATAGGCATCGGGTAAGCTCCCGAAATTTCTGAAACCCCAATTTAAAGCACTATATTTACCGAGATATAACATGTAAAATGTGTTACATGCAGAGATGAAGACTAGAGACTTGGGATCAACATTTTAAGTTGAGGTTTTTAATTTGTCTTTCTTCATTCAGAAACTAATTCAGCTTACCACCTCTCTTTACCAATGAAGAAAGACATTCAAGAGGAATTAAAGCCAGCTGGCCCATGTAGAAGATTTACTGCATGTAAAAAATCCTCATCCTCAATCCAAAATCATCTAGAAGCTTCTGAACTAAATTTAAATCGTGTGTTTCATTGCTCGAGTGATACCTTCTTTCTCTTCTAGATGGTGAAAGGAGCATAGTGGAATTATCTTGAGCTGGCCTGAGCCTTGCCACGGATTTTAAGGCACGATTTAACTGAATTCAATTGAATTGCAAGTCAAGTATCTGTGTAAAGAAACTAACAATAGGTTTCAAAGGTAATAAGCCATGCTTATCTGTAATATCTCATACTTGTGGACCCTTTTTTTGGATCCATCATACATGTACCAGTCAATTTAGACCAATAGTGTTGGAGTAGTTGGTAAAGAGAGGATCTCAAATAAAGGAGATTGTAGAAAGGAAAATGCAAAATAAAATTGAACTGAAATCAAGGCCAATATTTTTTTTGAGGTACAGAAGTACCTGTTTGCAGTTCACAACTCACTTGTGCAGACATTAAACATTGTGAATAGGAAGTTAATGCTTGTTAAAGAAGTTTACGGTAGTACTATGAACATGCCCAATACTGTAGAGCAATAGGATGAAAATTTGTTATCAGAGACAGAAATGTTTCTTGAAAGACTCAGATGAAAGACAAAAAATGCAATTTAATGCACAAAACTTTTAAGGGATTTTAAAATCAGATGTCCTCCTGAATGAGGTCAATTTCTAGAAACAATGATTCAAGTGAAAATAAAGGTAGAAAGATGATTATAAGGAAGAAGGAGGACAAGGTGAAAACGGCACAAGGAAAGACAAAGCCATCTAATTAAGAACACTATTTTCTGATCAATAAAATAATTTACAATATTGCAACCAGTTAGCATTATTTAAAAATGAAAAATCTAAGGATTTTATTGGCTGCCTAGGGCTAGCAGATTTCAGGAAGCTTCTCCAGACCCAGGGAGTCCAAGGAGGAGACCTTGTAACCAATTACGATATTTTCTTGAAAAATATATTGGAATGCAAAAATTAAGTTAAAAAAAAATTACTGATGGAATGATGAAATATTTTTAAAGTAAGGTGAGTAATTACTGAAGGGGGGAGGGGGGGGGGAATTATAACTGTGTAAGTGATCCAAGTATTCTTTTAAATTTTTATTAACATGTTACTTGCTTATTTTCTATAAGGTGCACATTAATAAACATGAATTTACAATTAAATTGAAGTAAAATTACACAGACGAAATGTTCAATATTCTTAAAATCATATCATAACATTTTTGACTTGAAAAAATATTTGAAATCTACCACTTCATTTTCTAAAATGTTCACGATAGACCTCAATTAAGAAAACTTAGAAAAATGTAAATAAAATTTAACAATTATCAGGCAGAAAAACAAAAACAGAAAAATTGCTGTTGCCTATATGCTTTTATCTTTTAACAGCAAATCTACTTCAGCATCACATGACTTTCACTATCTCTCATGTTCCCAGCTCAGATATAATTGGAATTGTATATTCTTTTAGGCATCAGAAGAAAAAAAAAACATAATGCTGGGCACCCGAACTTATATCCAAATCAGGTATTTCTATCAAAATCAATCAGGGATATCCATCAAGATTTTTATTTATAACAATATCGAGAAATATGTATCAGAAAAAAGGACTCATTTCATAGTAGTTTTAGATCTTAGTAGGGCAAATATCCAACAACATAGTAGAACACACATATGCAATACTGAGGGCATGACGAATCTCTCAGAGGTCCATAATAAAATCTATTTCATCATTACTAGATACATTAAATATGTAGTCCTTTTTTATATTTATGGCTAAAATATGTATTGTGCAGCATTGATACATTTATGTAGAAAGTGAGTACATTGAATTCAATGACAGAAAGCTGTTTTTTTGTTTAGGCGCTTGAAAAAATGAAAGTTTTTTCATGCTTCGTTTGTTTAAGAATTTTTCAAATAGTAGTTGAAGTGTAAGACAAATAGTCATATTGTAATATTACATAGCCATTAACCATGTCACGAGAAAGTATGTGCTAGTGTAGCACCGCTAGTTCCAATTTTCAAAAAATCAATGATTTCAATGAAAACAAGACCTTTACCACTCTCTAAAGTATATTTTATACTATCCAAGGTCAAAATTTAATGAAAAAAAATTGATATAGTTTTTTAAGAAAATGTTTAAAAAACAGCCTACGTTTCACGCAAAATTACGTGAATGCCACTCACAATTTCAAAAAATTGTAAAATACCTTATTTCAAAACCAGTCTTCCAAGAACAGTTTTCATTAGGGAAAAGAATTCTTATTTTGAATACTTTAGTTTTAGGAAGAAATTAATGAAGTATATACTGGTTTCACACCAACTACAGGCCAAGAGAAAAATTCAATGAATGATATGAAGAATCATTCATTTACTTTTAATCATAATTTCATATTCAAAATGTCAATATTGATTTTATTTTTGCTTTCTTGCACTTTTATCTCACTTAATTCTTCAATTTGTATTCTGAATGTATTGATGTACGAATACATTAAGTTGACATTTGGCCAACAGTATAATGGCTTTCATCGTTCTTGTATAGCGGAGTGAAATAATTCTTAAAGAGCTGTGTTATTTAGGCCATCATTCAAAACCTTTGGAGCCACCCCCAAATTAAAATATCAGTTTTAAATTCTGGGGTCCATGACATCAGCTAGAGCAATTGGAGAATATCGATTTTGGAGAAAATCTCCTGAACAGCTTATGCACTAGTGTTGTGGACAGCTGGATGGTCAAACATTTTGCCATCAATCAATTTTTCAGTATCGAAGACCCACAAATTATGGATTTTGGCACACCCCGTGATAAGAGGTTTTCCTCTTAAATTTAGCAAGTGGATTTATCCTCTTTTTCCTCACCAGGGCCTGACAATAAAGAGTTATTGGGTCGAAAATTCGCCATTTTTCAGCGCACGATTACAATTCTTTTTCTTCTTAAGTTAGTAAGTGAGAGAAAGTAAAAATTGAATAAAAAGTCTTCCAAAAACAATTTTTAAAGGCTCCAAAAGGCAAATAAATAAGTAATTACATACAAATCCTAGCCCTAATAATTACACATTGTGTGTATATAATTTTCAGATTCAGGTACAATATTTGCCTTCAATCATTATAAAAATCTTGTAACTTACCTTGAAGAAAACTTCAACTCCATATATGAGAAAGAAGATAACAACAATAAACAGAAGAAAAGCATAGCATCCATTGAAAACATGAGTGTAGAAGCTCTGCAAATAAATAACTGATATTAGTACAGGAGGGCAATATCATGAATAACAAATAATAAATGTAACAGAGCATGCATTAAAATAGAACAATACTGCATTATGTATCTTCACCTCCCAATAAAAATTTCTCTTTTAGTAATTGATTAGCATTGTCATCACTTATTTTGTATGATTGTAAAAAGAAATTATTGTAAAAATATATATTTTTAGAAAGTTACATTACACCACTAATGTTAATGGTCATAACAAAAAAGTATAAAATAAACTTTCACAACTAGTAATCGAGAAAACAAAATAGCAAGTAAATAATTAACCACTACTTACTTTGTCTTCAACACTTGTGTTTGCCACTTGTGTAGTGATGAATTCCGTTAGCAGAAGTGAATAGGTAATAATATTGAAAGTAACAAATCCCAGAAAAGATTTAGACAAGAATTGAGGTTTTTCCCAGCGCACATTCGGTAAATGAAACACCTGTGAACATAATTACAATAGTGTAAGATTTTGTTTTACAATAGCATTACTTTTATTATAAAAATAACCAAAATGAATGAAACTGAAAGTGGCAATGATAACTTCTTGAACTCTTCACGTTTGCCTTGATTAGGCTGCACTAAATTGGTTGAATATAAGTTAATTTATAACTACTTTTTTCAATAACAGAAAATAACTTAAAATATCTTTCCTATGTATTCTCCTCATCTGTAACGTAAATTTATTTTCATATGTCACTCTAATCAGAAGTTTCGAAGTACAGTGAAGTCCTGATTATCCGTAGTGTACGGAGACAGATCCCCTTCAGATAAAATAAAGAAATAGTAATAACATTAAGAAAAAAGCAGGCTCCTTCATGGCAATAGTATGTATGGTTAATATATTTTGTTTCTTCGAGAAAAACCATTCAGAATTACTCCCCCCCCCTCCCCAAGCGGTACTCCGCATTAATTGACATCACCCTCTACAATTCTCGTGTCTTGAGTGTTTTCTTACACAAAGTCCCCCATTCATTCACAATTAAAAAAGAAAATCTGAGTAATAATTATAGTTATTAAGTACCTTTACACCCACACACACTAATATTTTTTTACTTTATTGAGGATAAAAACTGAGATTAAAGCATTAGTAAATTGAAAGATAGATCAAAAAGTTTCAAAAACGGCCCTAAATTTTTGTTACATTTCTTACTCAAATAGAGCAGTAAGTGCTTACAAAAGTGGTTGATGTCCAATCTTCATTAAAATCTCTGAATTTCGGAAAATTGCCACAAAGATTTACTTTTCTTCAAAACTTTCCAACACCTTTAATATTGAACTCAAGAAGCTTTTTCTTACCGCATCTACTCTTTAATATCCACCTCAAATGACTTTTTTTACCTGTCTTCAAAATTAGAGACTCCAAAATTATAAGATATAACATAATATGAGAATTATGACCCCTAAAGTAGCACTGACAAAGCTGTCACACAATCAATTGGTGGTTTGAATTTGCAAATATGGTTGATACAGCAATACATACCTCAGCCCAAAAACAAACTATCAGTGAGGAACCAGAAAGAAGCAATGGGTAGTATGCACTCAAAAGGCTACTTGACCAACCCTCTTCAAAAGCAGCCTGAAACAATCCCAACAATTACATAAAGTTAACAAAAATTGTTGATTAGTATTTATTTTAAAGAGTGGAAAAAGAAAAATGTTTTTCAAAAAATTATTGTATGACACACAATGCAAACAAATTTGTAGAAAATGTAGTTATAATACATTTACAAGGGATATTTTGACACTTTTTATTTAAATTCTGGTAAGTTACATGCAACCAATTATTTTACGTTATCTATATGTTCTGTAAATGCCACTGATTTATTTGTCATATAAGTATCATTCAATGTTCACTACTTATAAGAGCTCTGGGATGTCTATGACATGATAATTTAAAGAAATAGTTTTGAAGGAAAATTTCTATGCATGAATACTATACAATACTATAAACTTCGATTGTTCTCTCATCTTTTTACTTGGTCGAAGGACCACATTTTATATACTAACTTACATGAAAGTACATTCACAAAAGGATTACCAACTTTTTCTGTCATACATAGAAGATGCAAACAACTAGAAAGTGCAATCAAAATTATACATCATGTAAAATGATTAACTAAACTAGTTACATTAAAGTAGATAAAAAGAGGCCATATCAACAAAGTAATTAGATCACTGGTGAGGTAGACCCCTTCTCATAATTAAACAAATAAAAGATGTTGGCCAGTATAAAGTGTATATTTCAAAACTTATTGATCGCGTAGTGATAATCATTGGAGCTAATCTTGCACCTTCTGTGCAGAAAATTAAGTTCTGGACTCGAGAACTGTTTTCTGCTCAGACCCTGACAGATTAGCTCTGACGATGATTGCTACACAATCAAAAATATATTAATTAAATATATATTGGATACCGGACAACACCTTTTTTTTTTTATTTTAGACAAAATTATTTTCTTATATTCTCATAAATCTCTAAAACACTATTGTTCATTTCTATTTCATATGTTAACTTGATATGGTTATTACAACTGTTAAAAATGTCTAACAAATCTGGTATATTATCATGGGCAGTAATACAGAAAATGCCATCCACATACCTGAAATATTTCTAAGAGGGATTGATTAATGATGTTAAATTAATTTTTTCCCAAATCTCTCATTACAATTTCTGCTAATAAACGGGATATAAGAGAACATGGGGGTATCCACGATCAGTCAATATATCTTGTTAGTGAAGGTCAAGACAGTCAAATTTAGAATTAATTTAACCGTTGTCTGTAATTCTATATAGGAAGAACAGAATCATTCACCAGGCTCCATCTACATTTCAAAGTTAATAGAACTATGAACTTATTTCCCTACTTCAAAATTGTAATGTATCAACCAATCATATATTAATTTTATTGGATGTTAAAAGCTTATTTACATGTATACTACTAAATCTAATTATGGGCGGTATTAATGTTACATTTACTGTATTAATTTTTTTCTTCTATTTTAGATTATTAATAACACTTAGTAGAGTGATCATTCTGTAGCTGAGGATGATCCCATATTACAAAATTACAATACACGAGTAGAAACATTGTATGATCAAGAATTGTATACTCATTATGAGAATATAATATCAGAAAATCCTTTTGATGCCAGCTTGATTGGCCTATTTTTATCTAAATCCATCACAGACATGTATTGTGTATTACAATTACATTAAAGTAGTTGTGTGAAATTCTAGGAGAGGATAATTTTATAAGCCAGACACAAAGAAGAAAACTAATATTGTACAGATTTAAGTTGATTACAATACTTTAGGAAGAGAGGGGACAACACAAGTGAGGCATGTAACAGAATTTATTTTATTAAGGTACAGTAAAAATTTTCAAAGATTTTGAATAAAAAAATTTATCCAATATTCCTCCCACAAAACACAACATCTGTAAAGAGTTATTTATTATATAATGTATAAGCAATTTAAATTTCAACTATGAATCAAAAGATCTGAACTGCAAAACACTTTCTAAAACCTTAAGAGTCATGATTAACAGGATTTTGTTTTTGAAATAAAATAAAATAAAATAAAGTTGCAGAAAACAGGCCAAATTTTAAAATTTGAAGGCCATAACAAAATACATTACACCATAAAATACAGGAATATACAAAAAATATAAAATGTAAATACATGTACTAAGTGAGAAATTGAAAACTATTGATGATGACTTGAAAAATTCATATCATAACTGAATAGCACCAAAGAATTATTCTTTAATTCATTTCCAATTTACTACAATTCAGTGAATATGCATTAGTTCGTTACCCAAAAATACAATGAAAAGAACTGAAGGTCATATCTTCCGAGGCACTTTAACCCTTTGCCATCTTATGGCGTGCCCTTTAACCCTTTGCACTCTCTGAGATGACATCTTGAATTCGTTTCTCAGTGTGCCTGCAGGCAGCTTGGCTGTTTTCCTACAGGTTAGAGGGTATCTCTGAGATGATATAAGAAAATGGCACTGTGACTCACAGTATTTGTGCTTTGCCCTTCTACCAGCTCGACCATAGTTTTGCGATCTCACAAGCAAACACGTATCATTTAATTCAACTGGCATTATAGTTTTAAACAGTATTTAGCTCATTTATAATTATTTTTGCTATAACTTCACAATTAACTAAATATTCAAATAATAAATTCAAAAATGACAATTAATTTTGAAAATCACATTACAAATTCGTGTACTTTAGTAGGTAAGGTATACATGTAATTTGGTAGGTGATTGTATAATTTCAGAAATAAACAACTCAAAACAATGCATGAAAGCAATTTTTTAAAATTTTTATCACAAAGATCAACCTACAAACTGTCTTTTTTGCAATTAGAAGCAGCAACATACTAGTAAAACCAGTAGACTGGTGGCAAAATATTTTCGATTAGATAGCATTCATATGTATTTTGACAACCATCTATTTTGGAATCCTGTTGTCTCTTTGTAGGATGGACATCTTACCTACAAATATGAACGAAAAGCAGCCATCATTTCCGAGATGCCCTCTGACTAGATCAGGAAACGGACTGTCATCTGAGAGATACCCACCCCCCCAATCTCTAGGGCAAGCCATCTTCCTGAAAGCTCTAAGCTGAGAGCCATCAATGTCATGTCATCTTATACATGCCTTCCGACATGCTGGACATTTATGTTATTAAACACATCCAACCATGAAGTGTGAAGGCCAGCATTTCTGTTAATTACTTATTGATTGATTGGCAGTTTAGGAGGGGAATGAAAGGGGAAAGAGGAGAACCTCGAAAACCTCCCAAAAACTTGCTTTGTCACCACAAATTCCACATGGATTGGCCAGGGACCAAACCCCAGCAGAGAAAGGGGGTAAGCACTAGCCATTGACACCTGTGACATTGTGATAAGCAGTCAGTAATAGCAGAATATTCTTATAGCAATTTTCTTTCAGAGCAATTATGTAACAAAAAAAAAAATAATAACCAACAACAACCACCAGTAAACGGTTATGTCTTTGCAATTACATCTTGTCATTCCCATAGCCAACAACTCCCCAACCCTAGTTGAAAAAATCAACTATTCATACTACAAGAAAGCCATCGCAAACTGAACATTAATGTGTAAAGAAATTATTTTCAACACAAATATACTCCCATGTTCATTTTGCATATAAAATGTATTTTTTAAAACTTAATATTTACTGGACCATCATACAGACTGGCTGTAAGTACAAAATTATATTTTTTCAATCTGATAATCCATAAATTGTGAAGTGATTTTTTTTCCTAAAAATTTCAGTGGTATACTCACAGGTGATGTGAAATATGCTCCTCGAATTGCAGCAGCAAGAAAAACCAAGAAGTACAAGAGCTTTTGAGTTGTAACACGACAAGCTTTCAATAGAGAAGGAGCTTTCATTCTCTGCCACTCAGCAACTATACACATGACTAGTTGAACAAGACATACTAATGCCAGTATGAAAAATACTGTTGCAAATGCCACATAGTAACTTAGGTTAGGGGCATGGCATTCCTTGCCTTCAAATTGAATCTGCAAATCAAACACAAACACAATGAAATGTATAATTTTTTTAATTGTAGATAACTTAAGATTAAAGACTATCAGTTCAGAGTTTAGGTTAAAATATGATAATTAAAAATTTATTTAATTAGAAATTTTGAACAGTGGAACAATTACTTTTGTTTGCGAAGTACATTTTGTGAACTAATGCTTTCACTTCATCAGGTACATTATATTCTTCTCATAATGTAAAATTCAAAATATTTAGTTTAAGCATGTTGAAACCATAAGGTTGGTTTAAAGTCAGATATAGTAAAACATAATTAAACTAAATATACTGAATTTTAAATTACAAGAAGAAAATACACCTGAGGAAGTGAACACTTTATTTCACAAAATATTGTCTTTCACAAACAAAATTAATTGTTCCACGGATTTAAAAGAATTTTAACACAGCAGAGCACACAAGTGGTTAGAGTCACAGGAAGTCTTAAATCTAATATTGTGATTGCAGTTTGACTTCTGACCACTGCCTCCAGGTACCTTTTCCTTCAACAGATATAAATCAGACTTCTTCCGAGAAAGTAAGTATTTTTATCCTTTCTAGGGGCAAGGCAATCCAAAACGTTACACAGGCAACAAAGACCACCTGTGTGTATTCGTGCAACAATTTTCATTCCGTATGTTATGTGACTTAACAAAAATATTTGTGCCAAACATGCAAAACATTTGTTTGTTTGGAACATTAACTAACACTTTGTAAAGCATGCGATGAAGAAAAGTTGTGAAATATGAAAACTATATCAAATGCAATGAAAAGAACATTTCAGCCTATGCCATTTTTTCAGTTTTCTTCATTTGCATACAAAACACTTAATACTGTAATAAATTTTAAACTCTCTCTTTATTGACAATAACATCCTTCTTTTTTCTGCAACACTCCCTTGATAGAAATAAGGGGAAATTGAATTAAGGGAATGGCAAGCAGAAAGATTTGTGAGACCAGGTGGGGGCACTGGCACAGGGTTAATATACTTTTCCTGTTCTGACCTAAACTGATCATTAATCTCAAGATGACAACAATTCAGAAAATTTAAATTTATTTATTTATGTAATATATGTCAATGAAGCATTAAGCCATCTCTTACCTCACACAGGCAAGTGCCATTATGACACTCGCCATGCCCCGAGCAGTTCTCTGCACAGCTTGTATTCCAAGCCATCATGCCAAACTTCACCAGCAGAGACAGAGGGTTCTGCGTTGTTAGCGACAAAACCTCCATTCTGCTGGCCTAGTCAGGCAATTGGATCTATAACAAAAACACATAAATAAAGTAATGGAATAAATTAATGTAAGTTGAAAAAGTTCTCTCTTAAAAGGTAGTTGTGAAACACATTGAAACTCCTACAAAACGGTGAAATGTATGTGCGCAAAAAGTTGTGTTTTGTGCAATATTAATCATTGCAAATACCTTACAGAAGAAATAATGTTAAAGTGGCACGCGTCAAAAACACTAGTTATGTCACGAACTGCAACAGATGAAATTTACACGGATAGACAGTCGACATTAGACGCAATATGTTGTTTATAACACGAATAACATCGTTTTATATTTAATGCACACCTTCAGATAAAGTTATTAATATGCTGCAACAGATAATCCTCTGCACAATGGAACATCTATTATCACTTTTGTAGCAGTACGTGTACCTCAAATTAAAACTTACACTTGCAAGTTTCCAATGTTTGTTTAAAATAAAGAACACTGACAAGATATGAAGGAAATTCAAAAATTGTTCACACTACAACCACTTCACAAATCACCACAAAACAGGTTGATATCAACACCAATTTCACATTATCAGCTTCAAGGCAGACATGACACCAATCACACAAGAACGTCGGTCGTGAACACAAAACAGCTTTTCAGCTGGCTTACCAAGGCTTTGCAATGCGTAAGCTGCTTATGTATCAGCCAATGAGATTCACTGTCTTAAATTATACGCATTGCCACTTTGCCAATTCTTTGAAAAGGATATACCATTGGACAATTATGGCGCCACTTTAAAACTCTTCTTCTGTTTACAAGGAAAAGTAACAATATACAAAAAAATTAATTAAAAAGTATGCCTCTAAATCTGCTCCCTCCTTGTAATCAGTAGGATAAATATAATTACCCTTAATCATGTCTTCTCCAATCCAGATTCGAAAAACAAACACAGCTGAGCTTCACTCATAGTCGTTACATGATGATATTACCTCTAATAATACCTCTTTCCAGCCACAATGTATTGGCGACTTTTTTTCCACATTTGCTCAATATTTTGGTCCCCTAATAGAACAGTTGAAATATGACTTTAAAAATAATATAAAAGGGATAAAAACTGATGTTATTTGCAAATTTTCACTAAAAACGTGGGAGACTTACACCCCTTACAAGGCAAGCATGTAACCTTCATGAACCAATGAGTACAAGCACATTATACCCAAAGAGTACGTTCTCTTCAGATATACAATTCTTCAACAAATTACCAATACATCTGAGAAATACGACAGGCTTATCTATTACATTTATCATCATCATCATCATCATCATTATTATTATTATTATTATTATTATTATTATTATTATTATTATTATTATTATTATTACTGTTATTTTTATATTATTATTTTAAGTAGTGGCAATAAAATCACTATTCCATGAAAATGATATCTTGAAAAATGAAACGGAACAAATCTTATATGTTAAAGTATTTTAAATTAAATTAAATTAGAGTAAGTTAAATGTTAAACTATTTGCTACTAAAAATAATTATCTACTATGTAATATCTTAATATATATGTAACACGTATTGTAGTACAATTTCTAGGCCAATGGCCCCATCTTGATCAGGTTTTTTGTCCAGTCCTTTGAACAAATGCTGAGATGGCCCCTTGTTTTGTTTCTGGACAATAAAAATAAATGTAACTTCACTCGCTGCTCCCAAGAAGATGTATGCGATTGTACTCCCTCAAAATATATCATATTCGACTCGTCATACACGATTGTAATGGTATATGTGACTCAATAAATACTATTATTTCTTCAAGTCTCTCGTTAAGCGAGGTGCCTATAGTTGACACCGGGAACTTAGTTGAACCAAGGTGCCTGCTTCACTTGCAAACTCGGGCGGTCAGTTATGTCAATAAAAACTTCCTCGCGATGCGTACAGTACTCAGAAAAACAGCCTTTTGCATTGTTTGAATGTGCTAGTTCTTAAGGCCAAGCATTGCAGTCGATGAAATTAGTTCTTCAGAGATATGTCCATTTGCAGAGGGAGTACTTCAACAGATACTAACCGCCACATGTCGCTCAGTTCAATAGCTAAGGCCTGATATTTTCGCTTCTTCTCGGCAACAGGGGCAACTATACTTCGGTCTGAAGAGATAGCTATGTCGACTATAATCCCTTTCCGTGAAGCCTTGTCAATCCATATCATGTCAGGTCTGTTGGCTTCCACCCTGCGATCGGTGGTGACTGCTACATTCCAAAAGAGCTTCCACCATTTCGACTCCAAAACTGAATCCAGCTTGAACTTGTAGTATGGAACTTCTATCTGTAGCATCTCCGACTTTGCAGACAGGGCCTGATGGACAACCGCAGCAAGGTCCTTGTGTTGACTCAGCTAAAAGCGGCAGCGGTAGTCAACACTCATATCCCCAATTATATACCTTTGGTAATTGCGAGTGGAGGTTACTTCGTCCTGAATAGAAATGATGAACCTTTCTGTATCAGCAACGAGGCCAGATTTTGTTAACCAGGAGACTGACGATCCCATATTCACGGCGTTTCCTTTGAGCTCAGCAGGATACCTGTCATGCAAACGCTTCTGGGTCCACTCATTCAGTATATCTTCGTTCGTGATACATTCTTTCAGATTTCGCTTGATACAGGTTCAGTGGGGAAAAATTCTTTTCCGTGGCTCAAATTGATTCATGCATGACAGTCGTTTTCTGAAGGAAGTATTTGCGAAGATTGTTGATTTGCTTCGCACACAAGTACTCAAAATCCAGAAGACCTCTACCTCCTTCGTTTCGAGATAAGTATAGCCTTGTCATTGAACTGTTGGGACGGTGCAATCGATACTTGGTAAGAGTGGTCCTAACTTTTCGATTATGCTCCTGCAGTGCAGTTGTTGTCCAGTGAAGAACACCAAATGTATAGACAGCGACAGGTACTGCACAAGTGTTGATAGCTGATATGAGGTTCTTTCCATTCAAAAGAGTTTTACATATTTTGGAGACTCTTTGAACAACTTTATTTTTCATATCACATCTCAACTTTGATTCACTTGTGCTCAAAAGTTGGTGCAGGCCTAAATATTTATAGGTATCCTCTTGCCCAAGTTCTTGGATATTTCTGCTGCTATCAGGATCAGTTTGTCAGGATCAAGCATTTCCCCCCTTTTCACGTGCACTGCGGCGCATTTATCAATGCCAAACTCCATACATATAGAGTCGCTAAAGGACTTAGCAAGTTCAACCAAGTTGCCATGTAGTGTTGGATTAAGTTCACATACTGAGCATTTACTTTGTAGAGGCGAATGACAATCAAAAGCCACGAATGAGGTATTGAGTTGAAGGCCTTGGTGTAATCAATCTATCCTACAGAAATGTTGTGATGTAATTTTTAACTTGATTGACTATAACACTGTCTACTATCAATAATTCTTTGCAACCTTGAGCACCCTTTCTGCAACCATTTTGCTTTGGTGCCAGAAGATGATTGGTCTTTAGATGGGTATACAGCATACTGGCTAGCACAGATGTAAAAATCTTTTATACTGTGGGGAGACATGTGATAGGTCGATAGTAACTCGGAGTCTTAGGATCGCTAGACTTGCTTATCATAAACGTAACTCCTTCAGTAAAAGACGCCGGAATGATAGTTGGATCATTGAATGCAGTTTGAAATCACCTGGCCAGAACCGCATGAGTACACGGGAAATACTTCCACCAAAAGTTTTGAATCCCATCAGTATCTGGCGCTTTCCAATTCTGCATCTTTCTGACTGAATTGAAGATATTTCTCTGTGTAATATTAGGTGAGCACGTCTGAGGTATATCACAACACTTCCCTTCCTCTTCTGCTAACCAGTAAGCTCCACCGTCATAGGTCTTGCGGATGCACCATGTATTATTCCAATATTCCTCCATCTCGGAGCTTTTAAGAACTGTTTCAGGCAACTTTCTTTGATCACTGTGTTGCCAGAAAAATTTCGTCTGGTCTCATGAATAAAAAGCATTCAGTTGTCTTCGTTTCATTGCTTTATATCTTCTTATACGGTACCCAAGGGCTGCAACGCACTGTTTCAGATACTCAAGTCGGTCTTGGAGCTTCTCGAAATTCGTCTGGGTTCTTCGAATTCTCATCTTTCGTCCAATCGCTTTCACTGCATTGGAGACCTTTCTAGTTGCAATCTTAGGAACTTTTAAGGCTGTCAGAGTGCCTATGTCCCGCCGGAAGTTTTCAATTTTGTGTTCAATACGCCTCAACCACGGGGGCTTGGTGGGCTTAGCGGACTGCCCTGTGTCTTTCGATGCTTTTAATTTATCCTTTACAGGTTTACCAAGACCTTGCACAACAGCAAGGGCTGCACAAGACACATGGCTTACTTCCTCAAGCGCTGTCGATTGTTCTACATCACCTTCAGCAAGTAATTGACAGCTTCTATCGCCGCATTTGTACGTGGGCCATATCCCACTCGTGGGATCCATGGTCTGGAGAATAATGGAATACCATGATAGTATGTCTTCATGGCTTCATAATTCACAGTCCAAGAGCATTGCTCAGGCACTGGGAGGCAGGATTAATCAGAATTCGTCACCACAGACCACTCCTGATTAGCTTGTGAGTCTTCATTATTTCTTCCTTCATCAGTCTCATTCCTATTCTCAATGCCCTAGGATGGTCTTACATTCTCCCTAATGGTATTTATCTCTGCAGCCGAGAGAAAGTTCCTTACAATGATGGTGCGCTGCTGGTCGCACACTCTCTGCTCGGATACCGGATACTGTTCGGATGCAGCTTTAACCATTCTTCGTGAAATCGGGCCCTGTATCCTTCCATGTCCGCTTAAAGTCTGGTAGCCAAAAAGTACGCATGCGTAATGGAGATATTTAAATCCTTAGTCCATTTCATGCGCTAGCGTTTGCTCTATTATTATTATTATTATTATTATTATTATTATTATTATTATTATTATTATTATTATTATTATTATTATTGTTGTTGTTGTTGTTATTATTATTATTATTATTAGACGATTTTGAGAAAATAACTTTTGATTGTTTCTGAAAACATGCTTCTACAAAAAATTTAGCTAATTTTCATAGCAAATTTAATGAGTTTTCGAGAAACTGCAACAGAAATAACTTGAAGCATTGCATTTGTATAATTATGGAAAAATAAAAAGAATACATCAAAATGTCGTCTATATCAAGTTATTCAGTTCATTTAACACTGTCCGTTAAAAAATGTTTAAAGAATAACCCCGGAGCCGTTTTTTAGATTTTCTTTTATACTACCCCTATTTTACTCAAAATTGCGCAAAAGAACTATTTTCAAAAAAAAGTATTAAATCCTACATAATAATTAAAAAACTAATTGTGAAAAACAAATTTAATTTTAAGAAAAATCTCTACCTGAAACCTACCCTTTGTTCTTTGAAAAAATTACAATATGCTTATAAATAAGGTTGAGATAAGATTTCATTCAAAATTCAATAAAAGTTTAAAAAACAGAGGGAAGGGGGCTTCAGCTTTTAAGGTCCCACCTGATGAAATTTCTTTTGGGCTTATATTTTACTTGTACAGCAGTTTCATTCCGAATTCTCTAAGAATCGGTTTCCGTTATTTTCGGACTGATATCTCATTATGTTATCGCTTCTTTGTTATGTCGATAAGGCTGCGAGATGCCGGAAATAATATTTCCGGCAAGAATTTCCTTAAAGAACTTGTTATAAACTCAGGTGCACTTAATTTAGACCCATTGGGGGTAGTCTTGAGGTCTAACATACAATGTAGGCTTTTACGGCCGGTTTCCACATCAAAATCAGTTGTTTCCGGGCTTAAAGGCCGTGGTCCAAAGGAGACTTGTCCCTTTTGGACAAGTCTCCATTGGACCACGGCCTTTAAGCCCGGAAACAACTGATTTTCATTTGAAGTCTTGAGGTCTGTCTTTATATATATATATTGTCTTGATATATACTCTCTGCTGTCTTTTTTGAGAAAATAAAACGAAACCAGGATCTATTTCTAAATCATGTGCAACGTAATTGAGGATATATTTTACAGACAATGCAGTTTGGAGGATTGCTTTCAAAGCAATTCTTCTGATGCGGTTTCCGGGAGTTCTGCTAGGGTTTAACAAGTAAGTGAACTCTCAGGGCACGACAATAACGAGTTTTCTGTCTTTATTGTTCACCTTTGACTACAATAATTTCTCGAATTGACGGTCAGGCGCATGAGGTTTGCTGCATTTGCATAGATGCAAACAAAGATGCTCACACTGGCGGATTCAGGAGAGGGGGCATGGCGGCTATGCTCCATCCAAAAGGCCAAAAGTTCTACTGGGCAAAATTTTAATTTAAATATTTATGTTCAAATTATTTAATTATTTAATCAATAATATTGTATAATAGTACCATACAATGAATCGTAATATCATACAAGTAATATGTATCTACAGATCACACATCATATATACAATATAACAACAAATGCCGTTTATTATTTAACAGAAATCTAGTCCCTTCCAAAATGATCGGCTGGATCCGCTCCTGAATGCATAATAATGATTAAAAACGCAATAGTCATTGTCAGTGAATAGGTCCAACGTTCGTTTGCCCGCCAAACACTGAATAAACATTAAAGTACACCCGGTAACTGATAAATTAAATAGTTTCACCGTAGATCAACACATTCATCCATGATGTCATTGCTAAATTCAACATTACTTACTTTTGTGTTACTTGGTATAGTCTCTAATTGTATAAAAACAGAAATGCAACAGAAAAATTTTACTCGATACTTCGAATTTAATCGTGTAATGTCATCTGGCTATGTTGTAAAATATCGTAGTCCTATATGAATTGTGTGTGAATTTTTTGTATTGAGTTGTTGATACTGACACCTGATGAAAATGATTACGATGAGAGTTGAACACAATAATAATACAATCTAAACAAAGAAAATTTCCTATTTTCTCTATTCCTTCCTATTATTTATTAATCTACATTTCCTATTTAGTATAGCGGCGAGCTGAGGCAAACCGTACTTTTAATGAAGGGGGCTCATTTAAATTAAAAGAGTTTCCGCTCACAACATTTTTATGATACTTTCTCTGATCTTAGACGGTCTTGTAAAATTGGACGCCAGAGATTTTGCTACATACAATATTCGTTCACATCAATTCATCACTTCAAGTACCACAAACTTCTGGATACATTCATTTTAAAAAAACTGATAATCTTCCGAATTCTATGTAATTTTATGAGATACACTATGATAATCCAAACTCTATAGCTAACCCTCTTTTTGCACCACCCTCTGATAACGTTTATAACGGATTCGAACAATTCCAGCGTGTGTTGATAACAGTGAACATTTCTGTTTCAGATATACTCAAAGTGATCAAAGGTCTCTGTTATGATAAGAAGTCAGGCCCGGATGGCATACCAGCCATTTTTCTAAGGAACTTCAAATTCTTATTCTCGCAGATACTTCAATACATTTTTAATAACTCTCTTTCTCAGGGTATCTTTCTAGCAGGATGGAAATCATCATTCATAATCTCAATATTTAAATCTGGATCTAAAGACATTTCGAATTACACCCGTCAGAATAGACAACATCTACCCGACTTTAGCAAAGCGTTTTTCTCGGTTAATCATTGGTATTGATTGGAAAACTCCAAGCCTTTGATATTTTAGGTTTTCTTCTGAACTGGTTCCAAGGATATTTACTCGACAGAGTCGAATTTGTTAAAGCTGGGGATGACATATCTGATTCTATATCAGTTTTTTCAGGCATCCCACATTGGGCCATTATTTTCTTGTTCTTGATTTTCATCGGCATTAAACATTTATTTACAAAAGCGCAGTTTCTTCTTTTTGCAGATGATTGCAAGATTTTTATGGCCATTCGATCTAGAACCGATGTATTTGCCTTACAATATGAACTTGATTTATTCTTAGATTGGTGCTTGTTTAATGACCCGACTTTAAGCCTAAACTCATGTATGCGTATTAAATTCACAAGACCTAAAATTAACATATACAGTTCAATCTGTTACACTCAATAGCGTAACGAAATGAGTGCGGGCCTGTCCGGAAAACGTTTGCCTGGGCACCCTTCTGAAAAGTTTAGAGCCAAGAAATAGACCCTTAATAATAAAAATATTCCCTAAAACTAGACCCCCTTTTACCTGGGCCTGCCCGCATAGCGGGCCCCAGCGTTACGACGCTGGTTACACGGGAAAAGATGTCTTTCATTCATGATCTGGGTGTAATTTTTGAAGTGAAATGTCATTTCTGGATCACCTCAAATACATTATAACTAAATCAAACAGAATACTTAACTTTGTAGAACATGTCAAAAAATCGGTTCAATACAAATCTTGAGATACCTTTACATTATGCTCATCAAACCAATGCCATCTTTTGCCTCTCTGATTTGGTCACCATATCAAATTTGTCATATAAAATGTCTTGAAGCAATCCAACATAGGCTTTTTAGAACGGCTACCTTTAAACTCAACTTACCTGATCCTTATACACTGTGACTGTCCTGTTGTCCCTTTATGTTTATTATAATTATTTTTACATATATTATTTATTTTACCTGATATTCAAAATCTCTGTTTATCTAAATGTTGATACTAATTTTTCCAGCACGTGCGGCATTGCCACTGGAAAATTTGTATTCGGGTAGTGGGACTTAAGTCTCTCCAGCTTAGGATAGGAAACCGGTATTTATCATTATTTTATTGTTGATAGAAGGAGAATTTACATTTCTTTATCTTAAAAAAAATAATTCAAAACCGTGACCAATGGTACTGTTTATTTATTTGGCGGCGTTAATCTGTGTACACTTCCTATGAGTTTCTACACAAAACATACGAAATTCAGAACTTCCAATGAATCCTAACTATATAATTACTGAAGTCAGCGCATATTCCAACACACCTACTCTTGGATAACTAATTTCATTCTCTCCAAAACAGGAAAATTACTAGCACATGCTACACCAAATTGTCGGCTCAGCATCTATCATCCCTCTCTGTTTTTCTTCAATCAGTCTATCTTTCTATAGTTTTTTAATAAAACAACAACGCTCGCTTTCATTTCACTGATGTCTTTTGGAACCTTTAACATTTTTGTTGAATTTATTCTAATCTGGCACTTTTCCAATGTTCTGAAAACGTTGCTTTTAAAATGGCCGCGTTCCCCAAAGTTCACTGCCCTCTGGTTCACCTGCTTTGCTACACTAGTTGCCAATGTTTAATTGTTCTTTCAGGTATGTATGTTTCTGCCTCTAAGTTCTTCTTAATTTTTGCTTCCAGATGATTATTTCAAATGTTTCTTCTCCTTCTATCTGCTTTATATAATATACACACACACGCACGCACACAAACACACACACACTCTCTCTCTTCCACAATTACCTATACGACTGTTTCTATGGAGAAGGGAAAAATATCAAAAAATACAAAACTTTCCAAGAGTTCAATGTTACAGGTTAGTATTCTTCAACCACTGAATATTTTCCGCACTCCCCCACACCCTCTCCATTCTTCTTCTTTACACATGGCGTAACACAGCAATTGACAGCAATATCTATCTCTGCACACAAGCAGCTGCTCAAAAGTGATGTAAATCACAAATTGTGCAGGTTCATAAGGTTAATGCTACTGTTGATTGCTGAAACACTACCATTACTCTCTGAACTCTATACTAATAAACACTTTCTGAATACTAAACCATGCTTAAAGTCCCTAACATTATAGAGGGGAAGATTAAAAAGGTAACTTTACTAAAATTGTGACAACTAGCATATTAACACTAGTCCTTAAAAAAATTGGTTATGTTTAAATGAAACTAACTCTGTTTATATGCATATTTATTTACATCTTACTTAAAAAATAAAATATATAAATTATTTATTACATATATTATTTACAATAGTCTCATGTACAGTCCAGAATTCAGTGACAGCATCTGACAAGTTAGCAGCCAGCTTGTACATTAAGAAGTCCGATTGCTTTTGTAATAGAGGGCAGAGCATTTACACTTGCGTACATTCCCAAACGAAAAGCTCTCTGTAGAAGAGGAAGACCATGCTCTGTAAAAAAATATGAATGCAAAAGGAAGACTTTATTAGTTTAAAAATTGTTATTAAAAGTTGTCCTTTCATTTTCTTAGTTCTATAAGGGTGACAAAAATCAAATAAACAAATGAATAAATCCAAAAGAGCCTCTTGCACGTCAAATAATTAGTGTTCTACGAGTACTATTTAATTCAGAAGAAAGTTAATGTTGTGGCCATGAGAAACAGATTTCACTATTGAACGTCTCAAAGCTACAAAAGGATTAGTAAATATTTTCCTTGATTTTTTATGATTATGTAAAGCAAATTTTACCAACCTTGGGCACACACAACTAGTTCAGGCATTCGGTCTAATGCTGTGCTTAGCACATCGGGCTGATCACTCTCCAAACATCGCATAAACGATGCCAAGGCAGCACTTGCATTGGTGCCAGCAGGGTCATGACGCATGTAGCGAAGAAGTAAGGTGTGAGCCAATGCCCTGATATTGCCAGCAGGAGAAACAAGCAAGTCACCAAACACCTCAGTAAATGCTTCAAGTATTGAAGGCTTGCGAACAGAAAGATGTTCAAGCTCTTGCAAAGCAGAGAAGACTTCTGTAACATGCAAAAGCTCTGTGCAACATGCACGGAGCAGCACCTTTACAACACAATCTCCATTAAAATGCACTATACTCTCAAGAATGATATTAAACATGAGTAAAACGTGCAATGACAATATATGTGAAATTCTAATGTCTTGATACATGGAATTTATACAAAACACAATGACAATTTATGAAAACAATTTCACCCCTGTGTTGGTGAAAAAATGTGCATGAGTTGTAATGGTACTGATGATATTTTGTAAAATAACATATTTTACACAAAAAACTCAGTTTCGAAGCCACTTTCTACTTAACATTGTTTATCTATCAAGTAATGAACAATTAAAATAAAGTATTCAAGTACCTTCTCTAATTCATAAAAATGTCTGTAATTCACATTGTGATATTCACATATTCCACTGGCAAAAGTTGGAACTTACCATCTCCTTGCTGACGACTCAGAACCTGCAAAAGTGCGGCGTAATGGGGACTGGAAGAAGGGGGAGGCACTACTGCTACTGCTGTTAAGAGTGTCTCAGTTCCATCTTCACCATCACGTGGTAATGACAGGCTGCCTAGCAAGGAACGTAATCCACTCAGGCTGGGATGCATATGCTGAAGATCACTGAAATGGTAAAAAATGAATACCTAGGATATTTTTATGCTTAATTTTCTTGTGTACATTGGGCTGACATATGATGTCAGAAAGTGTGAAGGCAAAGACAAATAGCCATGAATCACAATAATAATTTTAAAACATCTTTCAACTTTTCCAAGTTGCCCAGAAATTCAAATATTAGTTATCAAAACTTAGTTGTCAATATCCCATTAAGGAATAAGAAAAGAAGAATGTGAACGGTATATCTTAAACATATTAACAAATATTAATAATACCCTGAATGCAAAGTACAAACCTTATTAACATGATAATAGAAGAAAAATCAATTTGAAAATATTGTAGATGTGCACCATTGATAACTGAGCATTTATTGCGATATTTTTAACAATCGCAATTTTCAATACATTACTTAGTAAAGGATGTTTTTCAAATTTTCTATTTATCACAATTCACTAGTTATATATGAAAGTATTGAAGTATTAACACATTTGTGCTGACACAGATTATAAACTATTAGTTTCCTGACCAGCTGCGTGGTCCTTGGTGCTGTTACTTCTCCGCCCAGTTTGGGCACTTCATGGTGTTAGCAATGTATAGTGGGGGCCAGAATATGAATTTTGCCTGTCCCACTTTAAAAATAAATCAATGATTTTTTTATTTTCCTGCTGGCTGCATCAAACAAGTAAGTTGGTTGTCACCCCATAAGGTGGCATTAGCAGCCGGTTGCTGACGCCCTCTCTCCTGCCTACACGGCAAGTACGACTGACTCTGCCACCACCGCTTCCACACACTGCCACCTGTGTGGATGCAGGCAGTTGCAGTGTGGCATAGTCAATGAAATGATTCTTCTGTAAATGCGCTGTTTTTTCTCATTGAAAACAATATTCCTATTCTATTGTGTTTTCCTTTCTCATCAAAGGATTTGAAAATTGTTAGAAGTTCTCCCATTTCTTAACACTTAGTTGATTAGCCAAATTGATAGTAACTTAATCATTATTTACAATACATAGTGTATTCATTGAAAATGCAACATTGTGAATTGTAGGCAACTGCAATTTTAAATTAATGCACTGTTTTACAGGAATGATTACCATGCTAGCTTATCAATGATCTTACCTAAGCATCACAGCATGTTGCTGGAGAAATCGTGAGGCTCGGGGTGCATCAGCAGCTACAAATGCTTGCAGCAGAGCAACAAGCCTCACAAGGAGAGTAGCGACATCTTTAGCATACCCATGTTGTCGGGCCAAAGCTAGATAGCATGACAGAATGCTGTGGAGGCCAGATGCATGCTCAGGGGCAAAGAGCCATGGCCGCAGTAACTCTAACAGCCCTAAGACTTGCCCAAAAAGGGAAAGATGATGGCGGGCACGGAACACTTGCAAATCAAGGTGAACACGACCTTGCAATGTAGCTGCAAGCATAGGCAGCTGCCTGGATGAACAAAAGATTTTTTTTTTTTTAGTAAGTAACAACAATCGAATCAAGAAGAATGTTTTCAATTATGGCCACAAAACACTCAAGTAGTTTTGACAAAAAGCCATTTGCCTATACATATGAAACAACATCATAATTCTGCATAAGACCAAATAATAATTTGAAAAACAGCAAAAGAGGGCTGTACTGCATTGCAATACCTTGAACGTAAAGAGTCCTAATTATTCCCAAGATAAGTGAAAGCATGTTGTATAATAACAAATTTACCTAAGTACTAGAATGGGATGAACAGATGCCATTTTCCGAGTCAATAACTCATAATCATGAGCTTTGCGAGTCCAGTCTTTGCCAGCATGAGTATGTGAACCAGCTGTAAGCGCTGTTAATAATGTATGTGACATTGTGTCAAGGAGGCTGCTGCTTTGAGTCGTGATGTTGGAATGAACCCACAATATGTCTCGTTCACTCTCAGAAAGGTGGCGTAAAATAGCTGGTTGTTGTAAATAGAGCAAGAGCAAGAGCAAGCTTGCCACTTCAGCCTGGATCCTAAAAGAGGTTCTATCATTATTTGAAATAGTTTCATGCACATAAAAAAATGAGCATCATGCTTTTTGGTGGCCTAAAACTTGAGTTGTTTTGAGGAAGGAAAATCTTACTGTGAAGGATATTCAAATTCTGAACAACATAATCAGAGTTTAGGAGGAGAGAGAGATTGGATATAATTACGGCATACACATCCTGAGAAGATGCTGTGAGAAAGGTGTTGCTGTTGCAGTTAATTATGCTATAAGAAAGGAAAATTCATCAAGATAATTAAAAATTCTGAACAAGTTTTTAGTTAGTTTTAAGCCACCACTTTGATTATAGGAGTTCAATAATTCACCCTTTTTTTGCGGTTACTATGCCAATTAAATGACGACTAATAGCAACCAAGTGCTCTCCTTCATCGAGGCACTGCTGCAACAGTGGTAAACGAGCTTCAATTCCTTCCAAAACTGTCTTTGGAGGAACATCACTTAGCTGGGCATTTTCTGCTTCAGCCACCACATAATCAACAAGAACCAATAGCTGTGCAAAGGATCACACAACAATGATTAAAACAGTATATTTAAACATTCATCATTATTTCCCAAAATAGCAAAATGCTATGCAAGTACTGCATGGTATAGATAGTGAAAGGAACACAATCAGTTATAATGAAATAATTTTCATTTCCTCTCTAACCTGGGACAATGATAGTCCAAGCACATCTTCAGGATGGAAATGCTTAGGGGTGAAACGATCACGTCCTTGCCAGAGACGTGGATTGCATGTCAAGGCCCACATGAAATCCAGAACAGAAGATGCATTATAGCGAGAACTATCACAGCAAGCTAATAAGTGAGTCATGCAGTGGTGTAGAGTTGGCCAACTTGCACGATGGGTCAACAGACTTAGGAGATACGGACGACACGTGTTTATGTCAAAACTTAAGTTTTGCTTCTCCTTAGAAGACTGGCCAAAGAGGAGTTGCATCTGAAATTAATATCAAATGCACACATTTTAACCAACATTTCAAGAAATGTGCCCATATTTGCTGCATCAAACACATTGTCCATATATTCTTTTGTAATTCTTAAGTAAGCATCTTCTTACCTGTAAGTTTGAACTTTTGCCTATTAATTCAGGTTCCAGAGATACAAGCCAATCAATTAGCAGCCCTATATGTGCTGGGCTCTCGGCTAGCGGAAGCTTTTCAGTTTTTAAAGCTATTTTTTTTTCATTACTACTGTCAGTAGTATCAGTGAGTAGAAGTCGAGCAAGACTTTCCACTAAGAAAGGAGTGCAGTTTTGCTGCTCACCTTTGTTCATCAACTTATTCCCAATATGTTCCAGTTGACCCGAAGGAGCCATTGTCAGAGCTGTCAACCAGAAACCAAATACATAACTTAAGGATGACTGGTGATTTAAATCTAATTTCTCTGCATTTTTTCTGTATTTTCCCAACCATTTTTAAATGTCTTTGCCTTAAAGTTTCTACATAGCCGAATAAGATTAGGTCTCTAAGCAAAATAAGGTAAAATGTTCAGAACAATAATTTCAACATAAATCAAAATTCTTTAAGTTGTTTCAAGCTCAGAATCTTCACCAGCCCTTCTACACAACGCATTTTTTTCTCCAGCTTATTTCAGTTAAATTTTCTATGACTTAATGCTTTGAAATTTTTGAAATAAAAATTATTCTCAATTTAAAAATATTTTTTTTCATAATGCTTCAATGAATAATTTTCATTGAGTCGACCACAATAACTTCTTTCAGAAAAAGGCGTTTAAAAAGTAATTAAAAATATTATCAAAGGTTGCTGAATCTATGAAAAATGTTTCTTAAGAAGAACTTTTCTTTTTAAATGTTTAAAATGTCAAATCTAATGGTAAAGCTAGGAAGAAAAATTTAGATAAGAGCATTTAAGCACCCAGGGAAATACACTAGCACTGCCTTACATACTGCCCTCCAATAAGTTATATCAAGCTGTTATATTAAAAGTTTTCATATTCATGTAAGGCCCTTTGTCTTTTACACTTGAACTATGGTGTTGAGCGCCGTCATGTGCCAAAAGGACACTTCTCATGTCCCACACAAACAGTCTTCTTGTCACAACACCATCTGGAAAACACTTCACATTGCGCACAATGGGCACTGTCGCTGCACTTTCCCACCTCCTTGCCATGTTAAAAATGGCCTAACACGAAGACTATTGAAATGGTGCAATATTATTAAGTGTTATGAAATATTACATGAATACTAGATTTAAATACAGTGAACATCATTAATGAGCAGCTAGGCCTATACAAATTTACATTTCATAACATTACAGAGGTATTTAAAAAGGTAGAAAATATGATCAACGTGCATTGGTAGAAGAATGAAAGGTATGTGTCACACAAGCATTGCTTTGATGTTAGGCACCTATCGCTGATGGCACCAGCTATGTCAAAGCCTGAACACACAAGTCACTTAATGCACGGAGTAGGTTAACACTGTGACTTATGCGAAATAACAAACGAACTCTCTTGTCGATGTGTCAGATCATTACGTCATTATTTCTTTCAAAGGTTTGGGCTTGTATTGAATGTAATGAATTTTTTAACATAACAATTGTTTCCAGAACAATTTTTGAATTTCAAATCTATTCCAGATTTTCAGGCAATTATATTCCAGGATTTCCTTGTTTTTCTAGAAAATGGCCGCCCTGCACTTTAAAGCACTTTTATTGAATGTTAAAAGAAGTGTGCAATTAAAATAAAATAACATGTTAGTTATATCATGAAATTTTTAGGTACTGATTAAAATTACCGATACCCAAAATAACCAATAAAAACATTTTGTTCAAAGGAAATATATCTTAATATTGAGTATTTAGAAGAAATAACACAACATTAAATATAACTGAGAAAATATTTGAGAAGGAAAGTAAATAACTAACTTCAAAAAGGAGGATGAAGTAATAAAAGAAATGCACAAATACCAAATACAAAGGCAACTTTGAATTGTTATTAATCAAAATTTGTTAGTCTAAGAATTTATGAATTGAAGATTTTCTGATTTGCAATTATTGTCTCGCATCTAACTGACTTCAAACATCCCTTAATTTTGACATCAATCCTTCCCCTTCATGAATTCACTTGACAGATACTTATGTGACATATTTGTCATAACTTTAAAGTAATTGTTGTAATTAAATAATTATTATAATTACCTAATAGTAATAAATTATAATAAACTAATAGTAATAATAACCACATGCAAGCAAAAACACCCCTTTAGAAGTCATGAGACCAATACAGACTACAAAAATAATACTCAAGAAGCTAACCTTTCATAGGGTCTGCCATTTCCAAACTATAACGACTAACTTTCTTTGAAGGCGTCTGATGAACTGAACTTAGCTGATTTAGCAGCATTCGCATTAGTGCTTTAAGAGGAGCACAACTTGACAACCTTTGAAGGATAATGCTCATACGCTGTGACAAATTCTGAGCAGAAGCAGCAGTGTTGGTTAGTGTGGCAGTCACCAACAGTCGCAGGAGAGGGGCTGTCAAACGTTTCAATTGAACCAGTTCCAACATGTGCTTTGGACCTTCTATTTCCAACCACATGACTGCAGCATTTAAGAGAACCCACTTATCTTTTTGCTGCATTTCCATTGCCAGGGTCTGCAGAAAAAGAAGCATAGTTGAAAGTTATTCAATATTCAAATAAATAATTCAATACATCATTAAGATACCAGTAACTTTTTGAAAATCTAATAATCCATGTAATTCTATTAAAGGCATTCATAGATAATAAAAAATATCACCACCACCAATCTTACCAAATTAAGAAATTAAAAATTTAATTTTATAGAAATAAACATTTGTTTCTTCCAACTTCAATGTATTTCTGAGATTTGCAACTTCTCTAACACAAGTTAATGTATGTAATAAATAGTAATGAAATATACCCTTTGCAATTTCTTGAATAAATGATTGTTTGTAGCTCCACTGTGCTGAAGGAAGACCCGAGTCATTGCAGACATAACTTTCTCTGGTGAGCTTAGCATTTCACTATCTCTTGAAGTCAGGCCCTCCTGAACTTGTGGAATAGGTCTACGTCTGCTACTGCTTTTTTCTTGTTGGTATTCTTTAAATACATCATAACTCACTTAACAATTTTTGCATTATTAATACTTTATGCAATGCATTCGTAAACAATGATGGTATTTACCAGGTAACTGGGGTTGTTCCAAATGCAATACTTCTACAAGAGTGTGCCCCCCACGAGCACCGCGATGGTGCTGCACTTCTACCAGCTGAGCCATATAGCTCTTGTCTAGTACTGCTTCCGCCACTGGTGCTGGATCACTGGTCACAGCTCGATCTAGTGTGTGTAGGAGCTTACTGGAAAAAGAAGAAATGTCAACTTGCTCATGTAACATGAACAAATACTAAATCCTGTCTGAAGTGTAGAACTAAATCTACATTTCTTTTTTCTTACTATTCATTCAACATTTACTAGTCCTTGTTTTTTTCTCAACAAAATAAGTAAAAAAATGCAATTAATTATTTCAACCCTTTCAATTTTTCAGCATTGAAAAGAGCATTAAGCTCATTAATTTGCAAACTCAAATACATTTTAATGAGGAAGTAGTAACAGATATACATTATAACCTCTGAAGTCTAACACTTGTATATATTGGACACCACCTTATTTTGCACAGGATTTATGGAACCAGTCCTATTTCAATACAAATTACTTTCTATATTAGATCTTGGAAATCTCTTCCAGCCCTAATTTGGACACGTTTGAATTCTTCTCTTTGGACTGCCTCTTGACAGGTCGTGTCCCAATGCCCACAAACCCATGCCCGCCCACAATGTACCCGCAACATACGAGACAAATCCTCAGGAGCAAAGACAAGGGTGCTAGAGCCCCAATACTTAACCTAATGTTCGTGAATCCTTCAGTACAGTACTGAGTAATGTTTGCTTGCATTTTACAGTAAACATCAGACTTTTGTGTATGAAATACATGGCAATTAGTAATATGGGCAATTATCACATTTTGAGGGAGAAATGTGTACTTTCTGTGCAGAGAGAAATATATGGTTAAGATCAGACATTTCAAAAGTGAGAACTTTTTATCTTCACAACGATATGTATTGAGAATATTTGCATATTATTTTCTAATGCTATTATATGCTAATTAATATTTCAAATAATAGTATATGCACAATATTATTTTCAAAATATTGAATTTTTATTTTGTATCTAGATTTTCCTGATTTCAAGTTATTCATTTTTCCCCACTGCATTTTTTCCTTTTCGTCCTCTAAAAACCATATAAATGAAATTTCACTATCGAAATTTAAAATGCAATGTTAGATCATTCAGTATTATTTACTGAATAATACACCAAACATTCTTAACTTTTAAAACCTCGGTATGCCAACAGGTTTTTCTGTTACTTCACAATAACAATATGAACACCAAATGTTTAAACAAGTATAAATACCTCATTGATTGCACAGGGATACCAAAAGACTGAATAAACAAAACTAATTGCCCAGGTTCCAAATCTGTTAGTGCAGCATCAACAAGACAGTCAACATTGGATCGAATCATCCGCAGTTTCAGCCAATCTGGGATAAGCAATGCTTCTTCAGATGTCACAACAAGATAAGCCTTTGGAAGTGGTCTTCCTACAGGAAACCACATGTCCAGGAGGCTTTCAAACAATTCGTCATGTTCTAAAAACAAGAAGCAATGAAATAATGTAATTCCTCAAAAAGAAACAATTTTTTTCATTTAAAGAAACTATTATTTTAAACTTAAACACCTGCATGTTAGTTGTCTCTAGCTATGACTCGAGTTTTACTTTCGAAATAAAACAAATAATTCTGTCCAGAAGTTCAGATTTGCTTTTAAAAACAGGCAGGGATTCTTTTAATTTGTATTCTGAGGAAGTAGTATTCCTGTACATTTTTTCTCTATTTAAGTAGTTCAACGCAGATAATGAAATACATTACTAAAGTGAAAAATATTGAAGAATAAGGAGAAAAAGGAAATACAGGTACAAACCTTGAGGAGGGCCATAATTTAAAAGAATAATAATAGCATGGACAATAAGCACATGCATTGTGGCTTGTTCTCCAGTACTCCAATTCACTAAAATCTGATCCTGGCTGTCAGACCATGGATAACCTTCTTGCCGAGGTTCACGAGCCTGTTAAACATTTGCAAAAAATGACTTTTTAATAATTTAATAGTCAGAAAATAAAGAAAACCTTACTGTATTACACATACAGTACTAATCATCATCGTACATCAATACCTTCTGCAGTGAATTGTGTCTATACACATCACGAAATCTTTGTGCAAAAATTGTTGGAAGAAAGGTTTTATTTTGTCTTTTAATTTTACCTAGTTTTGTGAACTTGGTTTAGTCTGCAATATCATTAGTGAGAGTTAAGAGATAAAGTTACAAAATTCAGACAGCAACTACAGAAGATGGAACTCGTGTCTTCTCTCTCTCTCTCTCTCTTTTTTTTTTTAACGACATCTCCTTCTCTGATTTGCAATGCAAAATTACAAAGAGATTATTTTTAATTACCTTCTGCAGAAAAGAATGGAACATGAGCATAAGAGCATGTTGTGTAGCTGCAGCTCCTGGTACATCATCATCAGGTGATGGTAAAATAGCTGCCACAATGGAACTTCTTTCCACAATCAGTTGAGCCATGTCCTGTCAAGAAACAGTGTTCATTTCCATCAATACTAACTTCAATACTATCATCATACTAACTATAAATCAATACTAACAAAATGACATTTTGCTCCACAGTAATGACTAGAAGCTAATTTTCTTTTTTAAATGATTTTTGTTTCGAAAGTGTTTCTCCTTCTTCTTTTTTTCCTCAATAATTAAAATTTGTCAGAGAGGTACTACTTTTTTATAAAAACTATTGGGACAATACACATGGGGATGAAATCGGTTTTTGTAAACAAATATAGAATATCTGCAATATCATGATGATGATCATCATCATCATTAACGTTTCAAAATCAGGCCATTAAGCCAGGCCTGTATGGGAATTTGTGGGTTACAACTTCTTCAACACCACCACTGGGAATCGTATCACCCTTCCTAATCCCACTAAGCCAACCTTCTCCCCCTTCCTTTTCTCTCTTGCTTCTTCACCTCGTGAATACATGTGGGTTATTTGTATATATACCAGAAAAATTACAGACACTTAAAGAAATACTCAGGCAAGAAATAAATTTTATTCTACGAAGGTTGCCTTTTATATTTCAGGATTTGGTAACCTTGGTGTTGCAATCTGGCAACTGACAGCTCTATCGTAAAGTTGGATGTTTTGAGGTTATACGTACTCAGAACGTTTTGACATTCGAGCGCTACTTGTATTTGTGTTGTTTACAGTAACTTAAAAGATTCATCTTGGCCCAGAAATGGAATTAAATCGTGAACATTTTCGTGCGATTATTTTTTACAACTTTCGACATGGATTAACTCAGCAACAGGGCATGGATGACCTTAATTCAATTTTTGGCGATGAAGCTCTATCAAGGACCAGTGTTTATCGATGGAATGGTGAATCCAATCGTGGTCGTAGTTCACTTCAAGACGAATTTCGCGAAGGTCATCCAAAATCAGTTGTTGTTCCAAAAACCATTGATGCTGTGCGTGAACTGATATTGCAAGATCGTCATGTGACCTACCGTGAGATTGAGACAACCTTAGGCATTAGTGGGACCAGCATACATTGAATATTGCATGAACATTTGACAGACAAAAAGATTTGTTCGCATTGGATCCTACACAATTTGTCAATAGCTCAAAAAAAAGGTCGCGTGGATTGGTCGAAAGAAATGCTCAAAAAATTCGACTGCGGTGCTTCGAAGCACGTCTATGACATCGCGACAGGTGATGAATCGTCGATTTATGCGTATGAGTAAATGCCCGAAACAGCAGTTGACTGTATGGGTGTTTCAAGATGAGCAAAATCCAACAAAAGTTGTTCGTGCACAAAGCACTTCTTAACAGATGGTTGCCTGTTTTTTTGGAAAAACTTTACATGTTGCAACCGTACCATTAGAACAGTCAATTCTGAGTGGTACACAACAATTTGTTTGCCAGCTGTTTTCCAAGAAATCAAGAAAACCAACCGCTGAAGACGGATCACTCTTCACCACGACAATACGAGCTCTCACACATTGGCTCAAACAACTGCATTTTTGAGCACCCAAAACATCGATTTGATAAGTCATCCACCATATAATCCTGACTTAGCATCAAATGACTTCTTTTTATTCCCATATGTAAAAAACAAACAGAGGTCAACGTTTTTCGACACCTGAAGAAGCGGTTGCTGCATTCAGAATGCATGTTTTGGTGATACTTCAATTAAAGTGGCAAAAGTGCTTTGACGCATGCAAAAGTGTACGGATCTTCATGGAGAATATTTTGAAAAAAAATAAAGTGATTTTCGATGATTAATATTTGATTTTGATCTCTAATCCTGAAATATAAAAGGCAACCCTCGTACTATTAGAATCACTACTATTAAGATTACTTCTATTAGGATCACTACTATTAGTAATACTACTTTTAGTATCACTACTATTAGTGTCATTATTATCATTATGATGATGATGGTGGTGGTGATGTTGGTGATAATGGTGATGGTAAAATATGGCAATACTTACAAGAACCAAATCAGCTAGATCTGGCAGTGTATCTTGGGCTGCATGGGCAGCAAGGAAGCAAATGTAGCTGCTGACCAAAGCAGGCTCATTCTCAACCTGGCAGGCTTGGCGCAGGGCCTGAACTGCCTGAGGTCGCACAGAAGGAAAGTGTGGCAGGAGAGGAAGAGCTCTCAACAGCCAAGTGCAACTGAAAACCGAGCAAATAGAAAAGCCAAACTTCAGACTCCCAAGAGATCTTCAACAGATTCATCAGCCTCAAAGCTTCTTGACAAAGCAAACTTTTTTGATGGTACAAATGGGACAAGGATACGAGAAATACTCTCGAGTTAAGATAAGCAATTGAAAATTTGTGTGCAAAAATTATAAAGAAAATAATTTATTACATCTTGGCAAAAAAGAGGAACTTTCTTGACCTTCCTTTACTTAGTTTTATAAATTAAAAGAAAGTCGTCACTTCATTACATTTTAAATAAAAAACAATTTGATAGGAATTGATGATGATTAGAAGAGGATACCTTGCCTACAACACCTAGTACAAACAGTTCATTCTTGCTCGATGAAGGCATTACCTTTCTAACGCACTTTCACTGTGCTCTGCATCCAAGGGCTCTTCTTCAAGCACAACTGAAGACAGAACCTGCTTGAGGCCACGAATGGCCTGCGCCCGAGATGAAGTCTGGGAGGAGCCCAGTCTACGCAAGAAGTATTCCAAGACCTCGCATGGTGCAGTGGGATCCTGTTCAGGATCTGTCAGCACAGCCTGCCAGCAAACAATACAGTATGATGTCTATAAGCAAAAATATATTTTAAATTCCAAAGTTTTGATAATCGCTGCATTAGAGAAGATGTCAAAAATAGTCATTAATACTGTTAATTGCAGGAAAATTCTTATGTCCAACTGAAGTGCAACACTTGAAATGAAAGTATGCAGAACAATACAATACACATCATACATTATGTAACAACTATACAATTTATTCAGAGCAGGAATTATTAAAAATAATGCCTCACAACATATCATCCCAACAAATGCAACATTCATTAATTAAATTATTTGAGGTTAAATAATATTTATTTCATCTCTAATTAATTTTTAATACACTATACAATTTAAAATGACTGCACACTACTGCAAAGCTTGTATTCAATATTCGTGCCCCCCCCCCCCTCCATTTTTTTCTTGTCAAATTTTTTGGAGAAAATAAGACAAGAAGACTGTGTCATATAATGTAAAACAAAGAAATTTTTTTGAACTGAAAGAATATTGAAGGCTAGATTGCCACTTGAAAGACGTTTTCCCTATCAAGCTATCAACTGTCATGTACTTGTTCACCATGTATCATAGTATTGAATCTGAGATTTATTCTGCAATACACTTCTTTGAAGAAACTTAAATGAATGTCTTCACTAGACACATTAGGAACAATCTTCAACGAAATCAAACAACTATTACTTTTAGATGCTGCGAAAGCAAAACTTGAATTAATAATAATGCAAGTAAACCTCATCCCTATGCAAACCAGGTGTACACAGAAAGCGTAAGGATTTTTAATGAATTGTATTCTGCTTCTTCTATTAATTTTGTTTCTTACATTGTGAGGCAATCCTTTCTTGTCATGTTCAGTTTCTCTTTGTATTTCCTCCCTTTCCTTTGATAGCCTTAAAGTGTTTTTGAGATTTTGCATTTATGAAGAGCTTCAAGTGTATTTTTCCTTGTGTAGCATTGTGCGTTAAACTACGGTTTGGATTTCCTTTGTGAGAACGTAACAAGTTCTATTAGTTCATGTATTACATCTATCTTTGTTAGTGCATTATTTAGTACCTCTTACAGAACAATGTTTAGAAGATTTCATGTATCATCTGACGCTTCTTTCAGTTTCTCTGTGTTTGTTTTCCTGGAATATCTTTCAGGATGAGCAGGATATTTCTTGGCATCTCGTGCACCTTTGTTTATGGTTAATCAAAATTCTACTGGTATGTGTTTTCTCATGACATCATCACACACTTTTTGTTGCAGGAGGCTGCTTTCATTTAAAGAAGAAAATCACAAAATGTGATTGAACAGGAAGCTAAAATGAGTGACCCTTGGTGACTCTCTTGACCGTTAGTGTTTTAAATATATAGATGATACATTTGTGATTCTGAATTTGATTTACCATTGCCATTTAAGTAACTCAACACAGTGTAAAAGAAATGGTCACAAGAAAGATCAGGGGAAGTGTTATACCTGGAGGTGCCGTAACAGGTGCTGCTGCTTGTGCTGCTTCTCTGGAGCTCCTCCTGTTGGTCCAGAGCTCACACTCAGTAGGAATTCACACAGGCACTGCACTGGGAGATGGCTGCAACCAAACAGAGCTAATTAGTGGTGGAGGTACTAATTAGCTGATGTCACAGGAAACAGAGGTGTAACACTATACTGCTTGAGATGGAACTTAGCGACAGTAATTCAGAACCTTTGTGTTTTCATGGCCACAGTCGGCACAGAGCCAATTAGACATCAGACAGGTCCCATGAAGCTGCCTTGCCAATGAAAAGAAAACATCCCCACGTGCATAACCAAAGGTGTGATTTGGGTTTCAGGAGTAAATGGAATATAATTCCCTATGTGCATGACAAAAGGGCGTTACCGCAGCTTCGTTTCTCAGGCGCAATCAATACTTAAGAGATTGATAGATGGTAAAAGATGGTTAAGATTTTTGATGAAAATATCTAATTGGACAGGACTCTTCCACCTAATCAAGAACTTGTTTGTTAAGCAACACTGCACCTTGTGCTCACTAACTTTCAGCACCAAAGAAATATCTCCCAGAGTACAGTGGAATCTCTTTAGTATGTTTTTCAAAGGACTGAAAATTTTGAACATCGTAAGGGGGGAAACATGCTAACAAAAACTGTTCAATTTATACTTACTTTCCACCTTTCCATTTGCAAAACCATAATATAGAAATCTAACATTTATGTAAATAATAAACAAATATCCATGAGGTGAAATAGTTTACTCATAAGTGACATTAAATAAAACTAAATTACAACAAATAGAAAAAGCACTTAAAATTAAATATTTTTTTACAGGTTTGAAAAATCTATCAATTGTCGATTTTTTCCTCCTTATACCTTCAAAATTGCATTGTCCATCTCAGTTCTTGGATAGCATTTCCTTTCTCTTCATTGGCAATTTGCCTTGCCTCTGTTTTCTATATAGCATCAAATGTACTTTACAAAAACACACACCCTAGATAAAAATAACACTCTGGACAGTAGCATAACAAAATGAGTGCGGGTCCGGATGCAACATTTTTTTCCAGACTCCTTTTATAAAAGTGTATAGCAAACAAGTAGTGTTAATACCTTAAATAATAAAAATATCCCATAAAATATGCCCTCTTTTACCTGGGCCCGAATGTTATTCTACTAGCTCTGAATATATCACACCAAAGAAACATGTAACACTGTAATTAATGGTAACAAGTGGTAAAACACAACAAAGATGGCGTGCAGCAAAACACGATTCTCCAGCTCTGGAAGCAAAGTGAATGTGGTACCTAGCAGTACCTCAGAATGCCACACATTGAAAATGGAGCTAGTGCATCGGAAAAGGTATGCCTCTCCTGAAACAAGTTACCAACAAACATAGAGCATGCTATGCGGGAATGTTGAACATGTAAACGGGTAATTTGATGGAATTGGGACTGAAAATATAAACGTTCTAAGCGGGAAAACATGTTAAATGGGAACTTACTAACGAGATTCCACTATACCTACTTTGACATTAGAGGCATTTTGTTATGCAATATAAATTACATTTTGTCTAGATAATCTATGTAAAGACTTGTTAAAAAACATTTTTAGTAATTCTTTATCATTTGTAGATGTGTTTCATTTGATTTCAATTATTTAGTATATTTTATAAAAGACAATTTTTATCACATATTTTACCTACTTTGCCCATGCACATCAATCTAATATCAATGAGATAGCTAGCCCTGGAGAGGTACATTATTCTTGCATGTTAAACTAATAGCTTCTTCTTATTGCAATATTTCCTGTGTTCTTTACAGTCCTCTTAAGTCATTCATCACTCAACTTTCATTTTCTGTACTAAGAAAAATGCAACACATTTCATAACATGCATTCCAAGTTGTTTCAGTTGTGTCCTTCCGTTTGAGAAAAGTGTTAGCTCAAGCAATTATGTTTATTATATTAAAATATTTGTAAAATATGTACTGATGAGATTCTGTGGCTCCTGCAACATTTTTCAAATGATATTCCAGACAAACCCAAAGAAAACTACAATGATGACAGGTACAACAATGATAGTCAAAAAGGGCTGGCTAAATGTAGACAACTCCACACACTTTCATATAAAGTTAAGAAAATATTTTCAGATCGTACACATAAGAACTTTTCACCTAATTGTTTAGGCAAGTTATTTTAAGAAGATCACAAAAAAATATCAAGCATATTCCTTTGAATATATTTTATATATTATTTAAAACAACAATTAATGTTGATAAATATTAAAAAAATAGCTATGAAAAGTAGTAGAAGAAGGGTTAAGAAATTAATAGAGAATAGTAATACAATGTATTATTATGTCATTGCTAGATCACCTGATTACCCTGCAACCAGATGAAAATATGAAGGAGCCGAAATGACACCCACAGGTAAAATAGTGTATTGGAGTTAAAACCTACCACACTAAAAAAAATAATGACCCAATTTTCCCTTCAAATACCATTTCTTTAATTTCTTCATTTTTGATCAAAAGTATTTGATCAACAGTATCCATTTCTAACTAACCTGAAGGCTCCTTCAGAACTCTCTACAAGATCTGCCAACCAAGGCATGGACTGAGAAGTGCCCTGGCGCTGAATGATGTCCAGCAAAAAATCTGGTCGACGAGAACGACACAAAAGATGGCCAAGGCGGTGTGTTATATTCAACGCCTTCAGTTGGTCAAGAACTGTACCAGGAGGTTGACGGGGTGGCCCCATTGGATCTAAAGTGATAAGCTATGTAACCAAAATGCAACAACATATAACATTACCAAAAATTGCATTACTGGAGAATTACACATATTTTAGCAGCTTTAAAACCAGCAATTAGACAAAAATATTAAAATATAGATCATATTATTAGATTAAAGAATCTATCGTAAATTTGTTGATAATGGAGTCGTAGAACAAAAATTAAAATCCTGAGAATAACTACTGATCAAAGCAAGTTTACTTGCAAATATAGAGAATCATTTCACAAATTCCATTACCTGGCAAAGAAGTAAACTAGTTTGTTCTGTAATTGTCTGTCTTGTTGAAGCAGCAGCCAAATAAGTCTCAAATTCCAAGATCTGTTGTTTTTCCACAGCTGTCACTTGTAATTCTTTGGTACGAGCTTCTTCAGCTCCTTCACCCACTGACATTGTGGGAGGAGGGAACTGAAAATGACTGCACAAATAAGATGCTTATTAAGAAAGGACAACAAAAACAGAGTACCTTAGGTACCTCTGTTCATATGCATAGTTCCAATCGCGATGAAAAGACGTGGGTACACTAGTCCGGCGCACTGATATTTGTTTGCTCTGTGCAGCACCCAGTTAAGTCACATACCACATGACCACAATATGGGCACTTCCTTTGAAAAGCTACACGAGATGCAGGCCGCCATGTTGTGTGGAAAGCGAGAAGTGTTGTGAAACATTTTGAAAGTAGCATTAAGTGACAATTTTCAATGGCGACCAACCAAATATAACACAATGAAGGTGCAATATTAAAAAGGCTTCATACGTCTGTTTCAATGATTTGTAACAAGGTGATAATTTTGGTATCTGGCTGCATTTAAAATTTCTGCTAATATTGTGAAGAAAAATGGTCCCTAAGCTTATTGGGTCAAGTTGGATACAATGTGCAATAGCTCATCCATGTCTTTTCATCATGGTTTCAATGCCAATGAACTAATGTTCATACATACAAGTTGACTTTCATAAAAAAATCTTCCTAAAATGCGGTTGACGATTAAAGAAATATTGTTCTATTTGTTTCAATTTGGAATATAATTTATTTTCATTCACAAAGCTGTCTTTTAATGTTTAGAGCACCAGATATTGCATTGCCCTTCAACATTTTTGTCAAAAGCCACAAACAGGTGGCTTCCGACCATTCATAGTTAACTCAAATACATGTGGAAACAATTGCACCATTCCCAGCAAGTCAGATGGTGGAATACATATGAATGGAACCATTTCATTTGAATGTAGAACAGATGTATCACAAACATTGAAATGTTAGTCAATTAGCATAAATGCAGTCTTCTTTTCAATATACACTTTAATATCTTACTTGGTGATGCACATTTCCATGAATGTGCGCAATGTGGGATATTTCTCCCATGCCACTGAACCAAATGAAGCAGGATTATGAGCAGCCAACATTAAGAGCATTATCCATGCCTTCCAATAGAGATTTGTAATTGCCAAATGAGGAGGGCAATACCTGAAAATGAGGAAAAATTTGATCAGCTGAAAGAATTGATGTTAAAAATAGATCTCTCTCACTTAACTGAAAATTTCCTTCTTTTATTTGTATACATCCTAAAATTATACCTCAAAAATGCTCATTACCACTCTAATTATTACAATAATTGTAGTTCCCATTATTATACATAATAGATTTCCAATTTTTGCATCTACAGGAGACCTACACGGTCAATATTATTAACTGTTCTTATGCTGTGAAGCACACGTTCAATATGTATGAACATTTGTGACAAAATAAATGTATGCCTGAGTAATCTGAGTGAATATGACACCCAGTAATGATAGGACATCCGAGTTAATATAAATCTCACCCAGTAGGGAGGTTAATGTTGTCTGGATGATGGTAAGCTGTGAGATTAAACACAAGGTCTATTATCTCCAACTTATCGGCTTGTAACATAGGCATGCCCTCAGATGGCAGGGCAGCTGCTCGTTTCACTACCTGATCTGCTAATTCCAATGCATCAGGAGCTGTCACAGGATGGTCCTACAAAATGAAAATACATTGCATCATCATCATTGTTAATATTGTATCAAACTTTATCAGTCATATCTTTCAAAATGAGACACCCTTGAACTAAGATTTGTTTAATTAATCTAAGCTAATGGTTGACATGTAAAAGGAATATCCAATGGCAAGATAAAAGAGCATTGAAATGAACCTGTGTCTTCTTTCTAGGATTCAAACATATTTGGAAAGACAGAAGATGTGCTGAAGAACACAATATCCTATAATAGTTCGGAATATAAAGATGGTATTTCTAGATGTCATGATAAGACATTAGTTAAAGTTTGTAATTTATTGAATAATTATTAATTTCTAAAAGAACACATTATTTTCTGAATTTTAATTACACATAAGGACAGGTACAGACTGCTACAGAACTGAATCATCAGAGCTTCATAACTACAGATCAAATTGGTATAAAATACATATTTTCTTAAAAAAATGATCAAATTCTTTTATGAATAAGTCAATTTAGAGCTTTCCTAATAACTTTTATTAGGCATACTTGAAACTTTCTGTATTTTAAAATGCAGCTAAATTTTCTGCATGCTAACATTTTTCAAAAAATAAGGAAAATATTGCTAAACATTTTCAACAATTTATTTTTTCTCTTGTGTAGAATAAAATAAAATATGTTAGAAACAAGAGAAAGAAAAAAAAAAAACAGAAATCATTTCAAGTAAAAATTTACTCTTAGGAATTGAGGAGCATTGTGATTTATATTTTCTTTAATACAAGAAACACCCTGCCCTGCAGACCTTCAATTAAGGGATTTTATAGTTTCAAAAGTGATTCCAATATATATAAACATTTCCAATATTAACAGGACTTAAATAATTGCACAATTAATTGATAGTTCCACTAAACTGGGAGAGAGGAAAGAAAACAATCATATTTTGCAAATGAAGGAAGAGAGGTGGTTTGTAATGCTTGAAAGAAGCATATTTATATGGAAAGGAAATTCAGTATTTCATAACAAAGTCTAACATAAAGATGTCGCAATGGCAATTATATTTTATTACGAGGTTTTATCCTCGATTAAAGAAACCCATTTACATCAGAGAAAACGTGTCACCTGCGCCAATTATCTTCTCACTCAGAGTTCCCAAATTATGATTTTGAACATGATTTAGTTCCTTTCCTTTTCCCCTGACATTCCATTTTATTGTGCTTTAGGATATAATAAACAAAGAAGTCAGAATTAAATTAAAAAGCTAATAGAATTAATTGTTACTTTCTTGACATACTACATACTTAAGTACTAAAGACAAAGTATTGTGATGCTGTGCCAATGATATGCAATTTTTCAAAAGAAAAATTTGTACTAAACTTTGTCCTCAGAAAGCTTAGAGAATGTTAAAAAAGTTATGGCACAGGTATAATTTTCATTAAAACATGTAAATTTTCGAAAATTGCAAAATATCAACATCAACTAGAACTATAATATTCAAGACAGAAACCTTTTTCCTATATAAAATCTGTTCAAAAATAGACCTTTAAATAAGGTCAGGTACAATTTTCCAAAAACATGAGTAGTTATCGTGAAAGTTTGCAAGAAGTGGGAATTTTTTAAACAATTTTGTCAAAAACTGCTTTAAATTTTTTCCCATATGTAGCAAAAGACGGTAAAGAAAGTGGTGAGGCTCCCATGTTTGGCAAACGATGTATTTTTGAAAAAAGCAAAAACTTAACTTTGCAAAAGTGCAATATTGATGTTAGATATTTTATCTTAAATAAAATCTGTTCTAAAAAATTATATCTTCAAGTAAGGTCATATACTTTTTTTTTAAAAAAGAAGTTTTCTTGCTATTTCTGCTTGAGGTTAATGTAATGTACAATTTATTTCCTAAAAAGGGCTCTAAATTTTCATTAAATTTTTTCCATGGATAGAGCAAAGGGAACTTAAAAAAAATTGGCAAAGGTATTATTTTTGTTAATTGTCCCTATTTTTCAAAATTGCAAAAGTTAGAAATAATGTGGAGTTTATGTGCTACTGTAGCAGCACCAGTTTCGGATTGGATTCAAACATGTAACACAGAGACCACCACAATCAATGTTTTTGAAGTGTGTAAATTTTTATTTTTTATAAAAACGTTTTCTTATAAATTATAATCCGCATACATTGTGCAAATCAATCTGGACATTATTCAAGAACAAACAAGCAACAGTTTGCTTTTTTAATGGTGATATGTTTATAATTTTTAAAATTCCATTTCTTCATTTGCAGTGTAGTCGTGAATATATAACATAATTATTCTTACATGTAAAAATATTTCATTTCTTACAACAGAGAGCAAAGGAGTGTTTCCCAAGCAAAATTTCAATATACATTAAAGTTTTCTTAACAGGCAAAATTACCTTGGCAATTCCAATAAGTAATATACACAGAAGAGTCTGTTGCAGCAGCGGAACTTCAGAAGCCATACGCATAAATAAACCTCGTTCACTTTCCGGAGGCCAATTATCTTTATTGTAATACTGTTCAGGATGGTCTACAAACAGGATTTTATGCAGCATATGAAGAAGTTCAGCTTGAGAAGGTCGAAATAGTTTTGGAGCAACGTTGTGTAGCCACCATACTGCATCACGCTCGATTTGAGCCACCATTCCTTGGAAATTCTGAATAACACAACAAGTTCATAAGTCAATACTAAGCAAATAACAAATTTTGAGATTAAAACAAAAAATAAAATAAGGCACAATTTTTATTTAGTTTCTGCATTACTTGTTACTGAATATCTGAAGAATGTAAAATAATATATACAATATGATATATTAATCCCTAGTCATGCAAATTATGGTTTCATTTAAATTCTTTTAAATTTTGCACTGTTATTATTTTGTTGCTTATGTTTATTAATACAAAATAATTATTAATCCAGTAAACATTATGACAGACAATTCAATTCCATTATTAAAATGTTGGAAAATTCACCTGAAGAGCAAGAAGTTCCCTTTTATCACCGCGTGCTAGGAGTGCTGATGCCTCTCGCACAGATGGTGATATGCCCAAGAAGATGCACAGTGTGAGGAGGTCAACAATAGAAAAGAACATCCGCTCCTTGACACATAAAAAACATATTTATTTATTTAGTTGTCCATTTACAAAGAAAACTTAGGTACAAGTGTACATATACAATGTCATATCTAGACTTATGTTAGAACTTTCTCTCTTGCAGATTTCACAAAATTCTCCACTCTGTACATTATTTACATTGAGATCATGGAAATTTATGAAACCACACATTCTGGTTGTGGGATCGTTTTATATTGTGTTGCATGAAGAGGTATTTGAAATAAATTTCCCTGTCTAGTTCACCTCATTGGCACTAAATCTCAATGGACTCAATAGTTCAAGACTATCAATTTTCCCATTTATAAGTTTAAAATAAAAACACTAAATCATTAGATTTTCTAACAGACAGTAATGTTGGGATGCCTGGTACATTTGATACATTTTTATACTCATGTTTATAAAGTCATATTGTACACAATATAGATACATTGGTCTGACCAGTATTTTATTAAGTGAAATTAAAACTATATCAGAATTTAGTTCTCTACAAAATGTTTTCACAAAACTTAAACATTGCATTGACTTACTAAGTTTATATGTTCAAGTCATTTTACTGTAGAAAACTATACCCAAATCTTTAACTGTTTATTCTGCTTTCAATACAATATTATCAATGAAGAAGTTGGATGCAGTTATATATTTGGATCGAGTAAAAGTTATCAACAAACATTTTTTTGGATTTAGTACAATTTCATTTTGTACAGACCAACAATGTAATGTATCAAGAGAGAGTTGTAGGTCAGTAATATCAGATCGTAATTTTATTGATTTATACATATTTAGACCATCAGCATACTGGAAAAATTCTATTTTTTCAAATTAGATCACAAAAAAATTAATAACACAATAAACAGGGAGGACCAAAGTGTGAACCTTGAGGTACTCCACAGATTACTTTTATGACTTTTGATGTTCAATTTTTAATTCTGACAAATTGGACTCTGTCATAAAGAGAACTATTGAAGCAATCCTATAAGAGGCCTGAAATGCCAAAAGATTGAAGTTTGATCATAGTTATTTTATGATCAATAGAATCAAATGCCATACTAAAATCATTATAGACACTCTCAACTTGATCATTATTTTCGAGAAAATTTAAAATATATTGTGTATAACAAACTAGATGTGATTCTGCGATTCTTCTGGAAATAAAGCCATGTTGATTGTTTGAAATGAATGGGAAAATCTTCGTACTATCTTCATCAAGCTTAAAAATACTTCATTAAAAAATGCATTAAACATCTAGAGTAAAGAAACATTTAGGAGAATTGATTGACTGATTAGTGATTCCAGATGCGACATCTGCTAAGGTCATAAATCCCATAACCTTAAGTGCATATTCTTATTGCAGGAGGTGGAGGTGATTTTCTCTCGTTGGATAGCAGATCCAGTGCAAACCTACGTCAGATTGCAGCAATTTTTCCCAACCAGGTATCTCCTACCAGCATGGTACCATCCCAGCACAGGACAAGCTCAAAGCTCCCAACTCGTCTTCAGTCAAGTGTGGTAGTGTAGTGCATATGAATGTAAGCAAGTTTAATTTTAGGAAAACATTTTTAATGTTACATTTGTATATGTATTTGGGGAATCAAAACAAAACAGTTATGTTGAAAACGTTCTACATTGGAGTACCACTGGGGTCTCATTCGGGTTCTTTGTTATTTTTGATATTTATTAATAACATGAATAAGGTGTTTAAAAACAGCTCTTTTAGTTAATTTGCTAATGATTGTAAGTTTCGACGGGTAATATTGAACAAAAATGATGCTGTACTATTGCAACATGATTTGAGTGGTGTCAAAGAAATTGTATTAATTTGAGGGGGGGGGGGGAGAAGAAATTTGCTTTGTTGTAATCATTGGCATAATGTTATTTTAACAAGCTATAATATTGAAGGTTCAAACTTGGAGAATGTTTCTGAAGTTTAAGATTTGGGTATTATAGTTTATCATAAAATGTGTTTTGAACAACATATTATGTGATAAATAATTCTTAAAAGTTATTAAGTTATGTAAAAAGATATGTCCAAACTTACTTCATTATAGCCGCTTTCAATTTTATATAACTCGCCCATTACATCTAAACTTGTGTATTGTTTCTCAGTGTAGTCTCCTAGTACTATCAAATAAAGATTGAAAGGGTTCAGCACACATTTTTCTCAAATGTAGCCTTCAATGCTTAATTTGAAAATCCTAGATATAGTCTTAACTATTTAATAATTGCTAAATTATTGAATATACCATCACTGAGATCGATAAATGATGTACTCTTTATGTATAAGCTTCTTACAAGGTTGATTGATTGTGCTTCATTGACAGATCTGTTTGCTGAATATTCAAATCCATGTAACATTAGATAATATTATGATGTTAAGTTATTTTAAGAAATTTGTTGTAGATCTCACATTAAGTATGTCTCATTGATCCTCAAATGTGCTAGAATTGGAAATGATAATGTAACACATGGCGATTTGAGTTTTAATCTATACTCCTTTTCTAAAACAACTAAACATTGATTTCCTAATTTATTGATTAATATATTATTATATTAATCAATATAGTATTGATTAATTGCTAAATTTATTTTATTTTGTATTATGCTTCTTGACTTTATAATTGTTATTTCTGTTTTGTTTCGTTCTTTGCATTTGATATTGCAGTGCTTATACTGAAGCTTCTAATATGAATTTTTTCTATATGGGCAATTAAATCTTTTCTATTTTTAAATAAAAGAAAAAGAAAAGGGAAGAGGAATTCCTTCACCAAGAAAAGTGAAAGCAAACTGAAAAAGATAATTGGCAAATTTTCTGACCTTAAATTCAAATTCCCGTATTTCTTTCGCCTTTCGCTCTTGAAGAAGGCCACGGCATAGAGCTGTGAGGCTCAAGTCATGACGCAATACACGTACAACTTCCCTCAATAAAGCACGTAGTGGCCGCAAGTAGTCTTCACGATTCAGGAGAAGTTCCTAAAATAATGATTAGACACGAAAATAAAGGTTTCAAGACTGAAAAATACTGGTAATATAATTCTGCTGTAATAAAACATTTTGTAAAATTTTTGGAATGGTACAAAGTGTGTCTGTATCCTGTCATGAAAAGCCTAAAAAAAAGACCATGTCAACAAAAAGTAACACAAACTTTTAAAAGAAAATAGGCAATAGAAAAAGCTGAATAATAATTGGAAAAGTAAACAGCCCTTCAGTGAACCAACGTCTTGGGTGGCAGGGGGGTGGATTTGGATGGAATATAAAAATGGAACACAAATGTATAAAATTGTTGAAGTTTAGAACAAGTTTGTGAGCTGGCTTGTGTGCTGGGTAATGTGAGTGCACATCAATTCTGAGAATATTCAACCTTTCTGAATTTAATAATCAATAGATTTGCTCATCAAACATAGGGTTTGTTGTTTGACATTGCCATTCTCACTTACAGTTCTCTACTCTTTGACTGCAGAATACATGTTTACTCATTTACACAGTGTTCTGTAATTTGTATTTTAACAGGATACATAATTCTTTGTAGAGTAAATATAAAACAAAACCAAACTGTGTTTTTCTTAATACAAAATTAACTGAAATAAAAGCGATCAAAGACTAATTGTCTTCAAAAATGGCTGCTGATTTAGGACTTGGTGAAATGACAGTCAGTGATTGCAAACAGAACAGGAAAGATACTGCATAAGGAGTGTACAATTGTTAAATAATTTTTTTTTTTTAAATGTAGTGAGGAGTAGTAAGTATTGGGACATTAATACATATCCCAATACTTAAAAATACTATAATACTGCGTACTGAGTTGGATGATTGGGTACATGTTGTTTCAAGGTATTAGCACTATTTTGACTGGTATAATTATTCAAATTCATACCTCGTAGATTAATTGGTTAGATGAACATTGTTGCATATAGTATGTGAGGAGTTTTGGTGTGTATTTTCACGGTTATTTTGGCCATGGCATATTAAAAAGTCATCAAAAATATAACAATATTTTGTAAAGAAAAGGAAGTGGTATGATGTAGCCTAGACTGTGATGGAGGCTAAGGAGAGGACTTGTAAGGATGAGGCGATTGCAGTGCCAAGATAGCAAGGTATATGAAAGGAATATGTGGAAATGTTTGCGTTGGTCCCAGTTACAGGATTCAGAAATTGAAGGGAGTGGTACACTGCCACATGAATAAGGTTATTTTTATGAAAACAGTACAACAGTACTAAATTATTGCACACAGTATGATGTGCAATAAAGAAAAAAGTGTTCAGCATGACAGCGGCTTTGAATGGTCTCTCACTACGTCATCCTGTTTTGCTTTTCTAGCTTGAAAAATATTCCAAAGGAATAATTTGCAGTTCAAACAATAGATCACCACAAAGAAAGAACACATGGTTTTTAATTCGCCTCCCTGCCAACCTGTTTCATCCAAAAGAAAATCCTGAAAAATACACACAAATTTTACACAAACAAGGCAAAATAGCGAATGATTTCCAAGGTTGGTATTTTTTATATATACTTTGATTTATTTAGGGCTGCACCTGACATAATTAAGCTGTTTAGGTGTCATCCAATCCACGGAAGCTTATGTGCCACTACAGTGACGTTCAACCTCATGATAGGATGACACTGTAACAGCTGATTTACATCAAGTGCAGCTCTAAATAAAAGTAAATATAGTGTAGGTAAATTATGAACAAATGAATGGCGCACTTCGCTCATAACCCGCAGATCACTAGAATACCGAAATCAATTTGTGTGTTTGAATTTGCCATCATCTCTTTTCATGTTGAGTCAATACCTACCAAAAAAATATCTGCCAGGAGTCCAGCAGCATCTTCTGGCTTTGTCTGGAACATGACAGCCAGCATTGACATATTATTGGGATTTCGAGCTGTTGATAGCTCATTGTAGATGGTATGTTTGAGAAGAGTAGCTAAATTCTCTGGATGAGTGGAGATTAACTCTCTGAAAACACAAAAATGTTTGTAATGCCAACAAAGTTATATCATTAACGACTCAAGAAAAGTACACTTCAATATGGAATAAACATAAACCTAAAAGTAAAGAAACCAAATTAACAAAAAACACAAGAAAAACTTTTGGATTGATTATAGATGTCATTGTTTTTATTAATTTCATTTTATCTTTTTGTTATCATTGAAAAGTATCAAACCATCCACGTGTTGTACCTCTCCATGCAAACTGAGCCTCTTTCATTTCATACATACCGAAAGCAAGAAAGATAAAGGTTTATGACAGCTTTCGTCTTCAAACGTATCTTCACTAATTGTGATATCACTTCCACATCCCGTTGAGAGTGTGTGTTGCAGTTGAGACATACTGCCATCAGCAATTCCTGTGCTGGACGCATCAGTTTAGGGTTTTGCAACCACAGTTCCAGACGAGGTACTACTGCCAATCGCACTTCAACAAGGCCACAGCATGAAGCCATCAGACGAAGAAAATTTCGGGTAATATTTTCAGCTGGTTGGCGACGATTCAATTGTTCACGCACCACTTCCATAACCACTTGCTCTACATTCTCATGAGCCCCACTATATCTGCATCCAAAAGAACCATCTATTTTTAGTTTTTTGAATATTATTAATTATTTCTACACATTAATTTTTCTATATCAAGTCCATTCATTACTTCCAACGATACTGGTTTGAATTTTCAAAATATTTTCCTCACCTAGGCACTACAGGAACTTCTATTTTCTCTTTGTTGTCTCCATTTCCACCACCACCAGTTGTGGTTTCACCACCCAAAACAGCCAATTCCAGATCATCATCTAATGTGGGGCCAGGAGCAGACGGAGAAGGACAGGCTTCTGCTCGTGTGCCTGCCACTGCCCCTATCACTAGCTCTGGTTGCAGAAAGGAACGTGGTGGCATACGTGTGTTCAGGGCTGTAATGATGTTGTTTACAAATCCTGAGCATTCCTCTTGGTCAACCCAAACTCTTTCTCCAAGAGAGTCTTCCACATATATCTAAGAAAAATCTATCTTTAGTGCAAAGTACATTATCTAATAACAATAATAACAACAAATATAACCTTTTCATTATGTTAAATTAAGTTGGTCCCAAAATGGTGTTTTCAAGAAGACACCCATGAATTGAAACAAATACGAAATCATAACAAATATACAAATAGAGTAGGGATCTAAATCAGCAGAATGCAATCAGCACTTAGAAAACATAATTTTACAGGAAAGTACCAACAGGAGAAAATGGCAAAGAGGCAAAAATATAACTATTTGGTTACAGCACAGACTCGTAAAAACTCATTGTTTTTAGAGAAATAGCCCCAAGGGACCTCAGCATTGCATACTTCAGCACATTTATAAAACTTAAGAAATTTTTGAAAAATATTTAAGATTTTCAATTTATTTCTGAAAATTATAAATTAATTAGAACAAATTTTTAAAAATTACTCAATTTAGCTAGTGGAGTCAATTTCTATTACCAGAAAGTCAGAGGATTATGAAGTTGCAGACTATAGAAAAGTATATTTAAGTACTGAATGGATATAGGGATGCATCAACAGAAAATTGGTTTCACTTTGGCAATTTGAGCTCCAAAACTTGACGTGAATTATTCAAAATTGTTAGAAATGAAGATATTAGCATATTTTAATCGAGATTAACTAAAATATTCAACATAGAGATTTTTCCTTCATTAAATAAGCTCATGGACAAATTTTCGGAAATTTGAGACATTTTCGTGTAATTTTGCAAAAATATAATCAAAAGTAGACAATATTCTCAATCTACTTTCTCTCCCTTCTCATATGTATCAAAGAATGGTAAAAAGAGGTTCAATATTAAAAATTACGAATTTTGCTCTAAACAAATGTTCTAAAAAATCGGGTCTTTAAAGAATGTTGTGTACTAAAAAAACAGTCGTTTTTGCATAGTTTGTGGTTGATACGGTATTTTACAAAAATAAAAACATATCTTTCAAAATCACTTTAATTTTTTTCTTCATTTTTTCCCCCACAGATAGAATAAAATACGCTTAAAAGAATGGAACAGAACACATTTTCACAGAACTCTCAGTATTTTCAAAATTGCAAAACTTAACATTTCAAAACTACCAAACTGAAGATAGAGATTTTTGCCTTAAACAAAATCAGTTTCAAAAAATCAGCTTTTCAAAAAACTAGTAGGTTTCATGTAATTCCTTCTTAAAATTAATGAAATATTCAGGTGATCCACCATCAATATGCCATGAGAAAAATTCTCACAGAATAGGAATGGACAAAAAGGACATGAAAAATAATTGATGTTTTTTATTTACAATTTACTACTGCAAATCCCAATATTAATTTGATTTTTACACCCTATTCTACAATCTGTATTCTCAATGTATTAATGCATTTTCTTTAAACCAATCTGCAAACCTTAATTAATATAAGCCCAATTAGATTTTCTCTCTTAGAAATATGATTTAAATGTAATATGAAAGAAAAATTGAAAAAAATTGAGTATGATAATTTGATGATAATATGATACAGACTTTTATTTAATGTTTACTTGGCCATTCGAGATAAGCCGCATATCAGTCAATCAGCTGATGTTTTGGACATCAGTGCTCCGAGCAGTATAGCTCTAAAAAGCTCGATCCACTCATATGCGGCTCATCCCAAACAGTCAAGTAGCCAATGATCTCAGTCGTGGAAGCCTATGAATACATTTTATTTAGTGCACTATAATTTGATATTACCATTGTACAGTTCCATAATATTCAGGGATATGGCAGTTCGAGAAGTTATTCTGAGAATTTCATCATTGTACATTGACATGGATGGGAGAGGGATAAGATAAGAAGGCTTCATTTACTTCAAGTTAATGTTACAATATCTCATCAGTTCAATAAAATGGTACATTGAATTATATTAAAATCAGGAAGAATATGTACACAGATATGCATAAGATGGATGTTACGTAATGATACCATTGTTTTGTATGCATTCATAAGGCAATACATTGGATGGCCTCTAGTTCTGGATGATAATTTATGTGAAATTATCCTTGCTTGTCTGTACAGTGTGCTACAAATAACACGAGAAAGTATCAGCTGTTGTACCACCACTAGTTTTAGAATAGTATCTTATTACTCCAGACTACCGGACCCATTTACTTGTTGATTTCTCCTTAGTTTCTCACAAGGTAAAGTTACCAACTTCAAATTACGCAAAACTTATGATAGATATAATATGTATTTACAATCCGGTTATTAGTAATATAGACATCCCTAATTTTTGTAAGAGTCTAGTTTTAAGGTTCCACAAAGAAATATGAGACATACAAACTTTTTACACTACCAAAAGCTTTCACCAACTGTTTGAATAATCCTAAAACTAGGATGAGTAACCTTGTCAACACAATTTAGATCTAAATACAGAGCATGATGTATTTATAAAATTTGTTAAAAATATGTTTTTAAAATATGAGTGAAGAAAATATTTAAAGCACAGTTGATTACACAATACTTATATCAGGTGATACAAGTATTCCTTCAACATTTGTTACTACAGGTCACTCTAGTTGCCTTTAATAAATTATTTGTATTTATTAATAGATCAATATTATCCATGAAATAAAGTAAATATCTTAAAAGAATCTGACGTTATATCTCAACATGGAAAGGTAGTATTATTAGTCGTTACCTTAAGAAAAAGTTCAGGCCAGTGCTTCTTATCCTGGAAGGCCCGCATTAGAAGGTTTGCTGCCAAAACTGGCACAACAGGATTTCCCTTTGATTTAAAACTGTGAGTCGAATCTCTACGAAGAAGCGATGCCAATGCTTGAACCACACAATCATTTGTGAAGAGGGAAGGGCGAACTTTTGCCAAATAGCACATATCCTGATAAAGTAACATATCTGGCTTCCAGCGTTGTGCACGAAGAGATCGTACTGCTCCACATAACAGACCCACCTGCAAAATCATGAAGTGAAAGTCAATATCAAAAGATTAAATAACACTGTTCTTTCTAATTGAACGATATAAGGAGAACAAGAAAAAAATTATTTCTTAAGGTGCATTAATCAGTCTTCAAATTAACAAAGAGAAATATATATTTCTAGCAATTTTAAATGACATTGATCTCCCTTCTTTTCTTCCAATAAATCCATTTAATGTTTATAGGATAGCTAAATATTGCAATTTTTTGGTTTGGTAAAAACTACAGTCATAAAAACTAAGGATCAAAAAGCTTAACACAATACTTTACTGATAATTTATTTTTTAAAGTCATTTTAGTAGATCTGCTTTTTCAGTACAGCACTGAAGAATTGCATTAGAAAATGATGTCTTGTTTAATACACGTCACTTTGAATACTGAATATACATGTTTTTAAATGAAAATTCACTTCTATATATAGATATAGATTATATATTGAAAGTTTTGCTACAATTTTATGTAATTTTCTTAAATATTTTTGGTCATGAAGTCTAGATGTCAATGTATATGAACAGATTTAAATAAATGTTAAAAATGCATAATTATTTCTGCCACACACCACACGATCGGCTTCATCTAAATCATTGGCTTCCAGTACTGCTGGAACAAGTTCCATGGGATCACATTCAAGTGCCACCATTTCCCATGCCTCTGCACCAGTACGAACAACTGTTCGGTCCCCACTAGGAGGATTTCCCACAACTCCAGTCTTCTGCTTCTTGGGGGGTGCTAAAGCAGAAGGTAATGAACTACCACTTGGTTCTCTTTTCCTGTCACCTACAGATAGAAAATAATTAATAACTTGCTGTTTAACAGACAACAGTTGATTAATTAAATTATCAGTTTTAACAGTCTTTACATCTACACGTCTTTTAAAAAAGTGGAATAAATCATACTTGACAAGTAGAAAATAACAATTAGGTAAATAGCAAACAACATTCTATAAGAGAAAATAAGTTATCTCTTGATCCAACAATTCACCTGGTAAAACATGTGATGTGCTAGGTTTTGGATGGGCAACACCAGTTCGTTTTGCCTCCGATGATGTCTTGGTTCCCAATGCAAAAAGGTCAGTAGGATATTGGGGAATTTTTACCTTCCCTCCTCGTACCTGAACATTTTTGCTACCTCGATCCATGATAAAACTTCAAATTGAAGCTACTCAACCTTACAATCTAACCAGTTGTGACAAACTTTAAAAGTTTACAGTTCACAGCATTAGCAGTCGTATTCGCTAACACGAAATTGGGAGACAGACAGCAGTAACAAATTCTGCATTTGTCAACTTTATTATACATTAATACTATTCACTTATAATATTAAATCGCCAACTGGGAGAAACTTTTTAGAACTAATCAGTTTAGAACCAAAGTTGGAGCCTCACAGAAGTGTCAAATAAGTTAACCTAGCTTAACATCAACACAACCTCAACATAGCCTCCCACATCATGCGACACCTGCCCAGTGCCCTCACTCCGCATCCGCACCACACAAGCACCGGCAAGCGAAGCTTTTGCTCTGATCCTGCGCACGTTGGAAAGACATAGGTGAGCTTCTGCGCATCGTATCCGACTCCAACGAATGAGCGTCAAGCACTAGTTTGCGTCACAATTTAGCGGAAAGTTTAAACGCTTCCAGATATCAACACATTGTTACAAGTGATTGAAATGGATATATGAAGCATTTCTTTCAAATATTGGAACTTGCACACCTTCATCGTGTTGGTTCATCGTCGATTGAAATCATCGATTGAAAATTTTCACTCTATGCCACTTTCAAAATGTTTCTCAACACTTCTGGCTCTCCATGTAACATGGCGGCCAGGTCCAGCTTTTCGAACGAAGTATTAATCGCGCAACTTTTCTTGAATGATGACCTTTCTTCCCCTCTCCGGCACAATAAATAGTAAAATACAAAAGCTCGCAGCGAGTTTTGATGACGACATTCCAAACGCATCTTCACTGGCGCAAAATAGAAACTATTTTCTGTTGATTTTCTCCCAAATATCTAATGCAATGACCGAAGCAAGTGAAGATCCATCACAAGAGATACCTCGAAATCCTTAGAAAGTTCGAAAGCAAATTATCGAGAAAGTTGCCAAGGAATGACTGATTCTCCTCTCAAATAAATTCTTACATTCTGTAGCCCAGGACATATCAATGAATCGTAGTCACTAATAATGTTTTACTCCTGTTCAAAAATGTCCAAGCCCCAATGCCCTTGTATGTTACCTCCATGGGGGATTTGAACTGGTAATATTGCAATTTCAAAATTATAAACGCCGTAAAAATACTTGCAGGTACGAATGATAATAAATGGTTTGAATTTAGTACAGCTACATTTTTACATTTTTTGGTAATATGCACAAAAATGCACATAAAAATTATTTGTATAAAATATGAAGCTTCTCTTTGGTGTTATTCTGTAATAAGATCATTCTCAATTAGTTACGAAAATTCTGTCCCAAATTATTCTTCCCCGGATTTGCTAAACACTTTCATATTTTTGTCACCTAATTTTTGAAGAAATTAAAACTCCACAAAATCAGTTTAATTGTATTCATTTCTACTTCTGCAATTGCTCAATTTATCGTTTTGTAAGATATTCTATATAAATATTAAAAGGCGACTGTTTTGTATGTTTATGTGAATAAGGTGTTAGTTACGTTTTAATAAGAATATGTTGTTATTTACATTCATTTGAAAATCGCCATTTGCACGCTTATAAGATCGTAAATGTCGAACCTAAGAATGTAAATGTGCTTCTGTAGCATTACTAACAGTTTGGTTTTCTCCGTATTTACTTGAAGTTCATGTTCAATAAGTTCCAATGCAATACTGTTCGAAAGTTTTTGCAAATGTATTTTTAAAAATACGTTAATAAGGATGCAAATTAAATGAAATCTGCCGCGCGGGGATTCACTTGTTGCATTCAAAGTACTAACCTACATAGATCTATTTCGGTTGCTTCAGTTTAATTCACGGCATACTCACGCACTGTGCTAAAACACGTTTTTAGAAATTTCTTAGAATCTTCTGACCAGATCCGAAAACAAATTATCAGTTCCCCGCCAGGAGATCGAGACGCGTTGAATGACACCTTTATGACTCGAATGGTGTACGAGAAGCGGTGTCACCGTGAGTGACGGATCAGCACACACTTATAATAATTATACTCACGCACACTCACAGGTACTCAAATACTGTATAGGGATTTTTTTTCTCAAAATATAGAAAGAAGTAAATCTTTTAGAATATAAATTTGAAGATCCGCAAAAAGAAGTGTGCGTGTGTGTGTGTGTGTGTATATATATATATATATATATATATATATATATATATATATATATATATATATAAATTTTCCCTAACAGTGGGGATGATGGCAGTAGCCCCCCCCCCGAATCCCGCCTCTCTGAGTATCTAACTTTTGTGGTGGCAGATTCTGAGTCAGTCGGTGTCATTCGGATCTGTACTGCAGTGCGTACAGTTCTGCTCGCGTGAAGTTCGTGTCTGGTTTGTGCCTCAACTTCATTAATACATTATAGCTCTGTGGGATTTATAAATTGAAATTTGCCATATGATCTGTTGAATTCAATCAGTTCGTTAACATTCAAATCATTTCACTTCGAAAGGGTGCGAAGCAATCCGATAACTTTTGTTAGGTTTGTGGAAGATTTACACCCAAACTTCAAAGGAAAAAATATATAAAATTACAAAACTTGCGTATTCTTTATACTTTATCTGTCGTGTTTGTGATCAGGACAAACCATGGACTTCTCACCAGTGTTGTGTCGCCTGTACAACGAACCTTAGGTTGTGGTTGAAAGGAAAACTCAAATAATTGTCATTCGCTGTACCAATGTTGTGGAGAATACCAATAAACCATTTTAGTAACTGTTACTTCCTCATGATAAATATATCTAGCTTGTCTAGATCAATTATCCACATAGTTTTTCTGCCATGCGACTTGTGTCACTCAATGACGAATTACCAGTGCATGTACTCCCGGAAATATGGTCAATAAGCCGCTAGTGACTCATTCTCGGAATTGACAGTGCGAACGAATTATATCACAAACTTCATAACTACCCAAATTTGTTACCTGAGCGCTACGTGCAAACGCCTTTTCTCCAAGTCATTTGAGCTGAATCGCCCCCCCCCCCTGCCCCCGCAGTGAAGGGCAACCGATGAGCTGGGCTTGGCTGAGTTGAGAGTGCAAATAAAATGCAAAAATGCGCTTTCGCCCTGCGAATTTCAGTTTTTGAAACCGATGCATGCGTGTGGCAGTGTTTCAAGCGTTATTAAATGGTGAATTTGAAAACAGAAAGTTCGTTTCGTGTTAATTTTTCCGTTAATATTAAGTAATTTACTTTCAGTTGGTTCTAATTCTCTATCCATTCCGCTTTCTACAAATCGCCAACAAAAGAGTTTCTGTTACGAAAGTTGGGATAGTTTATTCGCTCGGCAGTGAAGGATGTTTCTCGGTGCGATGGCACTGGGTTAGGATGGATTCACTGCTTACTAGGGACGGTGAAGTGCAACCGATGATCAGGGCATGGCTGCGTTCAGAATCCACATAAAAACCGTTTTGCCCCAGCCCGATCCATGCGTGCGGCAGTATTTCAGGCATGATTAAATTGTAAATAACTCCTCTGTATAAGCCTCNNGGGGGGCAAATTCTCATATAATTGGGGGAGGGCGGACACATCTTCAAGGTTTCCCCGCTCACAGGACTGATTTCCTGATGTGGTCTTCCTTCAACAGCCTGCCCGGCTGCTCTGAAACGAGGTGGGATGCATGCGTGATCAGACTGCACTGAAACTCAGGTGAACGTTAATAAATTAAATTTAATTTCCAGTTATGCCATAAATGAAATTACTGAAGTGAAGCCCGAATGAACAAAAAAAAAATTAAACTTATCCTAAAGTTCCGCCAGTCTGTGATCGTCTTCGACGGGCCATGCGAGGTCAGCGCGCAGCGGCTGGGGCGCCCAAAGGCTCGGGCGGGTCGAAGGCATCATCTGAGCCGTCAATGCCATAATGTGCCCGGAAGTAATATTTAAACTGAATTTTCTCTAAGATTTATTTTCGAAAAAACTAGATACCATTCTTCATAATAGAATATGGAGGTTTTTTTTTTTTTTTTTTTTTTTTTTTTTTTTTTTTTTTTATTTTTTTATTTTTTTGGTAACAGGAGCTTCTGGACATTCAATAGGTCAACAGCGTTGGTGGGTACGTACCTTTGAGCGGGCAGATTTGTATTGCGAAATTGTACAAAGGATTCGCCCGCTAGCTTGGCATTTAAAGATTTTTGTAATACTTTCTTAAGAGGTGCGTGGTTTATTAAAACAAGCACATTTAGCTTACAGTTAATTTTAGAACTAATGTAGGTATGTTAACGGAAGGGTAGCCAATATATATGTTAATAGAAAGATTGTCTGCTTTCATAACTAGCAAAAAAGCATTAGGGTTTATAAGTTTTTTTAAATATATTGACAACCAATATCTAAAAATTAGCTGACATGTTATTCATATGACTTAATCCAATTCTCAGATCTTGAAACTGGGAATTCGAGGTATTGCACATCAATGGATTAAATCTTACCTTCCAAATCGTTGTCAAGTAGTCACAATGAAGCATGTTAAGAGATAAAAATATTTCTACCCATTTTTCCCAACCTAGAATGATAAACTATGGAGTGCCACAAGGATCAATCCTAGGCCCTATACTATTTCTATTATGCATCAATGACATGTCCCTGACCTACAAAAGAGCAAAATGGTCCTATTCGCAGATGACACAAACATTATTACTAAAGCAAATACCCAACAAACTCTACAAAAGAAGCACAAAGTCCTAAAGGCACTAGTAAAATGGTTCCAGGAAAATAAACTCATCATAAACACCAGTAAAACTGTATCGTTAAATATTCAGAATACACTCTAAAAAAAGCCTCCAACACAATTGATGATAAAAAACATGCCTGTAAAAATAGCCCCAAAACAACTTTCCTTGGATTGACTAAAGCAGAACTCCCATATCACATATCTAAACAACAAGCTTACCAACTCATGTTATGCCATATACATCCTTACCTCAAATTCTAACTTAGATATAATGTGAATGGTGTACTTTTGCAAATGTTCACTCGCACCTAAAATACAGAATAATATTCCCCAGAATCTATTCACACTCTTATCGTCCAAAAGCGAATATTGAGAACAATGACAAAAACTAAAAAAATGAGTCTTGCAAAACCATTGTTCAAAAAATTAAAAATACCACTCCCATGCATGTACATATTTGAAAATATTTATCTTCACAAAGAAGACACTTATGAGAAACAAGAATTCTGATACTCCAAACACAGAAGTTCATAACTATGATACAAGACAAAAAAGAAATCTGCAAGTCCCACACAGTGAAATTTCACTCTTTCAAAAAAGTACCCTTTTAGAAGTCATTACACTATATAAGAAACTCCCTAGCGAATTTAAAAGCTTCCTTTCTTTCTTTTTTATTGTTGTTTTTTTAATTTTAGTCTTCTTGCACTACCATCTATAAAATTAATTAGCATACCTTTATATTGTATTTAGTATGAGAATTGAATTGAATTTTAATTTAGGTCTTGCATCTAATTTTTAGGAATACCTGTATTGTGTTATTATATACATATCCTGACTTTTCATATATGGCATATGCTGTATTTATGTAAGAAATATATTATTATTAGTAGTATTATTTGAAAAATTTCCTGTTAAGTTCTTCCTGGTATTTACATTATGGTGTTTTACTGGATGATAAAATCATGCCAGAGGGAAAAATCATGTGATAGTCCTAGTTCACAAATTTTGCTATTTTATGAAGCCCATGCACTGACCATTTAAAACAGGGAGAATACGATCCTGAATCACAAACTTTTAACTACAAACAATCTAAAACAATGAATGGAAAATGTAGCTTCATCATTCATTGTGAGTCGCTAGTGTTGTTCAAATACATTTTCCAACCACTTAACCCTTAGCAGTTTCTCTTTAGGAAATTTAAATGTTGACGTAGGTATAAGACTCACAGCAACATTTGTTTTTGCAACCAAAAAATTACATGAACCCACTTCAGTTATAAAACGAATCGAACTAATGCACTCAAAATACAATCACTACGTAAATAATAAACTACAGGAGAAACTATAGCATACTGTATTATTCATTCAATGTTATTCAAACTTTATTCAATACAATTAACTTCTATAAATACTAGATCAAGTAATCGATCTAGTATTTAGATCCTAAATCATCAGATACTAAAACTTGATCTTTAATGGCTGACATGTTCATATATTTGATCTCCTCATAATACACATTTATTCAACATTCTTGCCATGGTAACAAATTTTTGCAGACCACCTGTCAATTCTTAGGCAACCAGACTAAAATTCCATAATATTTACTACCAATTGACAAAATATTAAAGGACATTTCAATTAACGTGATAGTTGACTTTTCATTTCTATACAATTGTAATTCTTCAAAGGGTGTTTGATTAATAAATGCCTGCGTGTTGCTGGTTTTTGCTTCTTTAGCCCACAATCTCTTGGTCGAAATTAGGCTCTGTGAATATCCTAGAGAGTAGTTTTGAATATATTATATATTGAATAAAACTACTGTTCAAATATAAATGTTGAAAAGTGTATATGTGTATTCTGTTGTAATCGAGGTGTTAAAAACTGGTAACAGCTTGTATGAAATCTCAGCAAAACAAACTTCCGTCAATGTTTCTCATGACTAACTTTTAGGGTTTCTAACCGGGTATGCCAACTTGAACCTCCCAAGTCTATCAGCAACTCAGGTTGTTTAAAGAAAAGTGGAGAAAAAAAAGGGGGGCAACAAATACAATTAAGACACCAAAACAAACTTCAGTAAAATCTTTCAACATTTTATTAACTATATATATTTATTTTTCAACCATTTTCATAAATAACATTTTTTTAATAATCTAAATCACTGAATTTTTTAAAAAAAGTCATGAATTTGTGACAATAGTAACAGGGAGGAAAAACAAAAAAGTTTTAAACAACACAACTTTCTAGGTAACAGAGCCTAGAAACAGACAAGTAACACAGAAGTACAGAAAGCCTGGAAGATGCTCACAAAGCAGGTATCTAGTGAATAGTTTTCCTGAGTCACACGCAGGAACATTCCAATTAACTGCTACTTTGCAACATGGAGATTACACTCGATGCCCACTTATCTGAAGGCCTTTCAGGAGAAAATTGCAATTTCATAAAAAACTTTAATAGCAGAGTTTATCAATATTTTTCTTGGTAGAATAGTGCATTTTAATCTGTACATGCGATATAACTACACAATGATTACTGAAATGAAAAACAGCTTGACCCAATAGAACGTTATGACAAATATATTTTTCTTCTGAAACCTTCAAAACATAGGAATAAACAACATAAAAAGAATATACAAATTTGATAATAAATAAATAAAAATTTCAATTTACAACAGTTCAAAAATAATATTTAAACGAACACGGGCAACTGTACATCCAATCCTTAGAGTAGTGTCTTTGGAATGAGGAAATAAATAAAAAACTAAATTAAAAAGCAATGCTTCTACATCTAATGAGCCATAGTCACACTCTAGCTCTAAGATTGAAATTTCAATAAGTTAATTATTATAACTAGTACTGTCTTGCCAACAAAATCTTCACACAATATAAAAAATTACAATAATGATTCATGCACCCGTTTCAAATAAATGTTAAATTTCAACAAGAATACTATTTTTACAATACTTGAGGCTTTTTCGTTTACAGTATTTCAATAAACTTTATTATATTCGTAATGTACAATTTTAGAGACTAAGAGCATTGAACTTTTTACAATGTAAATAATTCTTTTCTAAACTTTTCTCCTTACGAGACTTACTAGATATACCTCAACGATCAAGGGCCAGCATCATTATTCATCATCTGAATCCCCACCATCACTGGAGTAGTCTTGAACGGGCGCTGGACGAGTGAAGGGTGCATTTGCAACTTGTCTGAAAGAAAGTAATAGATACTTTGTTTTTGTGGATTCACCATGCTCTCAGAGAAAAAGAGAAAAACTAATAAAGAGAGAATAAAATATTATTAATTAAATGAAATGGTTATATAAGAGTTGCAGAGTTTCGTACTCTTTTTGAAATACTTCTTCGAAATTCTTTTGATGCTGCTTTATGTATACAAAATACTAACTATTTGGTGAAAAATTTCTAATGAATACCAGATATAAACATTACATAAATTCTAAATGTATACTTTGCCATTTCTTTTGTATGAAATCATAATACAGTGAGGAAAATGAAAAAGGGTAGAATAAAAAACTAGGAGGCTTACGCGAGACGTCGATAATGGTTGAGCCATTCCTCAAGCATCTGCGCAACCAGAAGGGGGCGCTTGTGCAACTGTTGCTGTGCAACCAAGATTCCACCTTCAGTGACACACACATCCATCCACTGTCGCAGAATGCTCTCTTCATGACCTAACTGTAAAAGCACAGAGAATATACAGTGTAATACATGCATTACAGATAAAATAGAGTACAGTTAGTCTTTGAGAATGACTATCTTGCCTATCAACCGAAACTTTCAACCTATTGGTCATTTTTGGCTGCTGTCAGACTGACTAGCATTATCACATGAAGCTAATCTTACTCACAGGTTATACCAAGGGTTAATATGTGTTCCAAAAAAATAATCATACAATGACATCAATAGAAGGTGAAAATAGTAGAAGAACACTTAATTTTAAATGCATTACTGCTAAAGGAAATTCTATTATCCCAAACAAGATGGTAACATACCAGAAGAATCGGTTAAAACGCAATCAATAATTAGGGGTGCTACTTTTATTCTCTATCCTATGAGAGGTGATGGATCAGTCAAAAAGATGCCCCACAGTTAGCCCTTTATCTAATAATTACAATAGACAGTTGAATTGTTTATTCCTTAAAGTTTCATATTTCTTGCATTTGTACATAAAGTTTCAAGTCACTCCTACAAAGGGTAAATCCACAGCGAACTGGAGGCAATGAGCGGTTCAAACATCATGAATGGATCGAGTTCATGGCAGCAAAGTTGTGAATATCGACAAATGCTTGTGTGCAGAGTATGGTTCCTCTGCTTTCGAAACGAGTAACATTAGACATTAGGCTGAATGATCTTTAGAAAAGTGAAGAACACAATTTCGTATCTGCCATGCTCTCAACACATACCACAGTGATGTGTACCGACGTGCTGAACCTCATAGATCCATTATTGCAGCGGATAGGCATTTCAGAATAGAGGATATGCTCTATAGTTTCGGGCAAGTGAAGCGAAGTGATCTTGCTCTTAGCACAAAACATGTGTAATCTAGAGTGAGACACATGGGACCCAAGGAGTCTGACAGAAGATCACAGTTCCAAAGGAAGACAATCTCTTCAGAATTGTTGGAATGGTTTCATCATAATTGTTGGAGAGGCTTTCCTTTTTAGGATAATTACAGGGGTTGAAAAGTAGATTGACCATTGTGAATCTGAAGCAAAAGGAGTCTCTAGAATTGCATTAACCACACTCATTATAGAAGAAAAAATTCAAAACTGTCCCCTTCGCTGAAAAAGTCATGATCAATGTTTTTTTTGGAAATTGATGGTGCAATTTTCATCGATGTGATGCAAGAGCACCATCATCAATTTAAATCCTTACATCAATATCATGGAAACCCTAAAGGTTTTCAGTTGGTTTGATCCCAGTGTAATTGTGCATCAATTTGGAGTTTATGAGATTATGCACACTCGCACACAAGCGTCATAACAACAGAAGCACTTGCAGAAACAGGTTGGATAGTGTTTCCTTACCCACCCTCAGTCGAAGTTTAGTCCCCATAACTTCATTCTCTTTCAAACAATAAAAGATTCTATTTTTGGAAGAAAATGTTAAGATGATATCAGTATAATCCATCAAGTGAAGGGATGGCTATGTCAAAAAGACAAGATTTTCCTTGATCCATCCTTTCCCAAAGCCGTGCAAGGTGACGAAGATTATGTTGAAAAACAGAGAAAGAAGAAACATGCATTAATATTGTGGGTAAATTTCACGTTGTTTGATTAAATTCTTTCACAGAGAGAAAAAAAAACTGGGCATTACTTTCTGACCGACCTTCTTCTTATATGTAAAAGAAAGAACAATCGCAAAAAATTGTCCTCTGTATTGCAGACATTTAGAGAAAAAGGAACCAGAAAAAAAAAAATATTAACGTTGAACACATTTTTATACAAATCAATAAAGATAAGAACATGAAAGACCTTAGTTCAATCAGAAATGTCCAGAATAAGATGGAGTAAAAATACATCACCATTCATAGAATATCATTCCTCAGCAGTAATTTGGAAACTATTTTTCCTGCAAATATTCTGAATACTCACTTCTGGCTGAGTAAGAAAGTGAACTGGTAGAAGTTTATGTTCACGGTCCATGAGTGGCAGGAACGTGACTTGCAGTTCTCCAGCACCAAGATTGTTGGCCATGGCTCCGTTTTCAAGACGGCTGTATGGTTCCATTGGCACCAAAGCAGAAAAATGTCCTCGGGTGTAGCCCAAGGCAAGAGGGGAGCGAACACAGAAACTAGGCTCCCACAACAACGGCAGGTACACACCTACAGACATTCAGTTAATCATTAAAATACAAGTTAACTCTCCTAGTTTCACAACAACGTATTTCTAGAATCTCATTTACATTGAGGTTTCCTCTTGGCATATTTGAGTACATACTATAATGTAAATGTAACAAAATCCTTATTAGAGAAGTCATTTCTACATAAAGCTACATAGGGAATAAAAATGCAAGCTTCATGAAAAGAACATTAAAAAATTTCAATAATGAAGGATAATGATGATGATGATGATGATGATGATGATGATGATGATGATGATAATAACAAAAATAAGAAGAAATCATAGGAATATTTTCCACAAGCGGCACCTGCATCACAACCATGTATTCTTATGGAATAGACCATCTTTTCAGTAAAAACGACCATTTTCAATGCTTACTTGTAAGTTCTTCTGAATTAAACAAATGTTTACCTTCGAATCGGGCATAACCCAGTGCCTCTCCTCGGAAGCTCTTGACGTATTTCACCCCATACACAATGATTGGTCTCCGCAAAATGTGGGCCAAGGCGAAGACGTGGAGCTGCTCAAGACTGGAGCCAGGCTGCGAGGCAAGAGAAAGCAAGCCTGCCCAGTCCTCCTCCCACTGGCCCTCGTCCAGGGAGAATTGCAGCATTGACGCCTGCGAAGCTTCATACTCCTTCCATCGAGGATAAAATCTGTGTAAAAAACAGAAACATAGCAGGAACTATATCTGGCAAAAATAACACCTAATAACTAATTACTAATGATTGTTTATTTATTCGTTTATTCAATAAATGAGTGAACCCTTTACAAAGGTTACATTTAAAAAAAGTCACACAATATTACAGTCAAAGTTTGACTAAGATAGCGCCTAAGATAGTGGGGAGAAAATGTTGAATCTTAGCAAATAAGCTCTTAAGACAATTTTCAGCATATTTTGTCTCATAAACTACTTAGATATTTGGAATGGCTAAGCCACAATCAGCACTCAAAAGTTATTTTGAGAAAATGCTTTTAAGGCAAACATTTTGCATTGCAGAAGCATAGAAACACTCTAGAACCATAAATTGCTTATTATTTACAAAAGAAATGAATTTATTTGTTTAGGAAGAAAAAATATCCCAGAATAAAAAAGCAGTAGAATTGTGTAAATTGAAATTTTTTAAAATTTCTGTGTTAATTTTTTTTCTGAGCAAATATATTTATTTCTTTTTTAATAATAAACAATTTACATGTACCTGCAATGCAAATTTTTTGAATAGAAAGCATTTTTTCAAACCATCTTTTGAGTACTTATTGCAGCTCAACTATTTGGAATATCCAAGCACTTTGTTAGAAAAAAAATACACTTAAAATTGTATTACGAGCTGATTTTTGAAGTTTTGACGTTTCCTCCCCAGACACACTGTATAACCTAGCATCAGTTAAAATATGACTTTACAAAATAATAGATTACAATGTTTATAAATATAAAACTTGTTGGTAGTAGAGCTCACAAAGAGCAATTTCAAGTTCTCTTCTGAAGACTGACTTGATAGGGTCGAGAAAGTCCATAGTTAGTTTTTGCATGGTAAAACATTCCAGCATTCGACAGCACTATCAATCTTTTGCACATATAGAACTGAGTTTTGAATCATATTTCTGCTTTGCACATGTACAGAAGATCAAGATTGCAGTCTATTGCTGAAAGCTATGCAGAGCAAAAAGTCGCTGATACCACTACACAATTGAGTAACGGAATTTGTGTTCACAATGTCTTTAGAGCCAGGATTCATTATATTACCTTCGAGATTGGATGACATTGAACTAAACATTGGATTGCTGAATGCAAGTTCCTTTATCTTTTTTTGACCATTGGCCATTTATGAACCAGATGGTTACAAAACAGATTTAAATGTTCCTTTTGTCTCAAACCATTTTTCACCACTGTGGTTTTTTGCTTTTTTTGCCAAATGCTTGTTACTGAGCTGTCATGAGTGCTTGTTCTAATCCTTGCATCTAAGGACCTGTTTCTATTCTTTGAATTGACCATTCATGTACGAGTTTTGGTTTTAGTTCAAAGCACAATTCATAGATGATCTTTTGTAACAAATTAACATTTCTCCGCAATGCTTCTTCGATGGAAAAATTTTTTGAAAAAAGATTCACAAACATTAAATATAGATACCACTATTTTTAACTCTTTCTGACTTTTGTGAATGTTTAGGAAATGAAGCTTGGATTGAATATGCATGGACTGAATGGGACTGTTCTAAAATTTTCAAATCGTTTACAACAAACTATTTTTGCAGTATTTTAATTCCGTTTGTACACTGATAATTATTTTATGGAACTGAAAGTAGAGAATTAACTTACAAAAATATGATTACGAGGAACCGTGATGTTAAGGAGGACCCAAATTTAACAGTGATCTTTGAGCAAAATTTCAAATATGGGTAAAAAAAGAAAAAGATAGATAAAGAAAAGAGAATAGAAAGATTAAAGAAAAAGAAAGGTAAAAAAGGTTGAGTGGAACTAATCACATGGATTAGAATGTAAGCATGTACACAATCAATATAAAATAAGTTTGCAGAAATGTTTGTGAAAAATTTCTACGTGGGACATTACCAAGGCACATCAAAATTTGAGGTTATTAGGAAGATCAGCTTGGATTCGAAAGAAACTCAGCAAGATTTATTGGGATTTTGATGCATAATAGCTCTGATCTTTCTTCTGTAATGTGGCTCCCCAACCAAACCCTTTGCTAGTATGATCTGTTAATAAATGAAATTTGCAACTTGACCATGTTCTGTAAAATATGATATCTATACAACTGTCATTGCTAATTGAAATGAATCCTTACTGACCATTTGTTATTTTGACAGTCTTTGTAACAATTTTTGATGCTGCGTATATTATTATAACCAGTAATATTAATTTACTTCTTACACTAGTACACTATAAAAAGAAACATTTCAGTGGTTAGGGTTTCCTCATCACCAGATAATCTGAAAAGCATGAATACAGTATCATAAATACAGTATATTCTCAATTAAAATATAATAACTAGTTTTGTACTAAATACAGGTCATACTAGCACTAACAGTTTTCAGTAATTGAAGTTTTTATCAGTAATTTAAGATTTTGTTGTGATAAATTACATTATTGTAATACCAATACTGTCAATGATGGTAATAGCTGAACTATTGCCTTTAGGCGGCTAAGAGCGCATGCTATTTAGCTGGTGGTCATTTATAATACTGTATTCCTTCCATGATCCATCAGTGAGTAATGGTTCAACATATGTGAGGTGACATGGAGGAAAGGAAAGAGAATGCTGAAGAGAGGAGGTGGAAGAGAGAGAAGGGAAAGGGTGGGGAAAAAAGGAACATGGTCTTGGAAGGGAAAGGTATGTAGCAACACTGAAGCTTAGCATTAGATTATCATGTGTATTAAAGCAATCAAGAGAATGATTTTGATGTCACTCCTAATTGGTTCCAAGTGACCGGAACAAGCGAGATAAAAAATAAATAAATAAAAAATATATCCTCTCACATACATATTCACTGATGGGTCACTATATATTTAATAGATTGCAGCTTTCCTTTATTAATAAATTGTTTGAAATGTGTGACTAGATGGCAGGATTTACGTACAACTTGATGGCAACAAGTTTGTGGGAAATAGAAGACCAGTTGGTCTTCCGTAGAGAACATTGTGTTATGTGATCACTAAAACGATTGTTTGTCACTATCAATTATAAGTTTGTATGCTTTAAATATGCAATTGTAAGTTTGTATACTTTATTTTATTTATTGATGTATTTATTTACCCATTGGCATTGTACATTCTTTAATTATACATAAGAAAGAATTGTATTCTGTGTCTTATTTACTTTCTCCCACAATTTCATGACTTACCAAATACAGGACAAATCTTTCTCCTCTTTTTCTGGGGTTTAGTTATATTTAATAAATGATATGTTACTCTCAATTACATTACTTAGGTGCCAGACACATGTCCCTTTATATAAAAATTTTGTTCATTAACTTGTCTTAATTTTCCTTTGCTCTATGTATACTAAGGGGCAATCTTTACATTGCATTTCATAAATGTTATCACAGACTGATTTGTTAATCTTCTCTTTTATGTGTAACTAAATTTCTTTTATTAATAACATTATATATCACCAGTAAAGATTCATCAACAATTTTGCAGCAATTAAACTAGTGGTGTTACAGCAAGTACTTACTTGTAACTTTTGCAATTTTTTGAAAATTCAAAGATCAACAAAAATTAGACCTGCAGCATTTTTAAAGCGTACTTCATTATCCTAGAAAAACTTGATATTTTTGCTAAAAATTTTGAAAATGTTATTGAGGCTCTATATAAAGAGCCCCCAAAATCAGAATGTTCTTTAGGAATTTGCAGGGCCACTAGTTTGGTCAGATCAATCGCAGAATATCATTTTTGTAAAAATTATTTCTACAGTTTACTTATTTGCATTGTTCATAGATGGACACACAGACATTTGCCACAAACCAAATTTTCAGTACAAAAGACTCGCAAAGCAAAGATACTGACGTGTTAGAAGAAGTTATTTACATCATATGGGATCAAGAATTATTGCTTCTTTCAGTATCGGGGAACTACAATATGAATTTTTCTTTGGGAAAATTGCAATTTTTACAGCAGCTTTACATAAATTTCTCTATACTACAGAAGTAACATGTGAGAAAGTAATAAATGGCAGAATGCATCCAAAACTTGTACTAATAAATATTATGATTAGAATATAAGATAATAAATGGCAGCATCTACCAACAACTGTTAATTAATGCCTCAAGACAATCATTTAAGAATATTCCTTTATTAGAACTATTGAGAAGTCGTGGAGTTCAACTTAATTTATATTTACTTAGTCAACTTACACATGGCCACCTTGGTGCAGACTGTCAGCAAGAGCCCTTCGAAGAGTGTTATCACGATCAAATACACCCCATGTCGCTTGCATTGCAGAATCAAGAAGACAGTCACCAGCAGATCTATTCCACAATGCATACAACCGTGAGCCCAATCGAACAGTAACTTCTAGGGACCAATTTAAGGCAGCTGGCTCAGATTCCAACTGCTGTTGGGCATCACGGTCCAAGAGTTCTTCAAAGAGTTGCTCCTGAACCATGGGAGGCAAATCTTCCACATCTGTGGGAAAAAAGTTGCTCATCTGGAGACAAATCTTTCACAGTTTTGGATATAAACAGACAATATTGAATTTATAATTTCTCACTCAATAGATCTTTCAATCTTGTAACATATTTTCAAAAGTTGTACCTGGCAGAAATATAAGATTATATACACTAGTTACAGTTTTTTTGAAGGAAAAAAACAACAACACACACCCGCGCACCCGCGCGCGCACGCGCGCACCCGCGCGCGCACGCGCGCACCCGCGCGCGCACGCACTCACACGCACACACACGCGCGCACACGCACACGCACGCACACACGCACACGCACGCACACACGCACACGCACGCACACACTCGCACACACTCGCACACACTCGCACACACACTCGCACACACATGTTCAGGAACTCCTATAATCTACCACCATTGCAAACTTTTTTTGGAATAAAATTGAATATCAATAAAAACAATATATTTCAATTGCTATTAACAGTTGCATATCATAAGGAAGACTCCACAACATAGATTTTTTCTCCATCTCAGTTTAGGTAAGAAGCTACAGTTTCATTGTTTAGGACTTACATTTAATTATTGTCAAAAACATTTAAAAACTATATGTGACTTATCATGGGGAAAAGTGTATCAGTGCACACTTTTTTTTTAATTCCATGATCCCTACCCTAATCCATATAAGTCGGTTAACTTGGATTATGAATACAGGAGGAAACAAGTGTTTTTGGCAAGAATTGAGAAGAAAATATTCTCTCTCATGTAATAAAAAGTATTTGCAAAGGCCAATCAACTTTGGACTTTGGCTATTATCCCTCACTCTGACCTTTGTGAAGCATCTGATTTATTGCCACAAAAACATGGAGAAAGTTTTGAATAACTAAAGTACGCTGAACTCTACAAAATGTTAACAAAGGTGAAGTTACATTTATGCACAGAAGCAAAACAAGGGGCAATCTCTGGGACAAAAACCTGGTCAAAACAGGTATCATTGTACATGATTTTTTATTGTGAGCTGTTGATACTGACACCTGATGAATATGCATCAAATGTTATACTTATAGACATCTGTATTAAATGAAAATATGTTCCGATTTGAATCATCGTGGGCACATTGTTTACATATAGTAGAACAAAATAAGGCCTAAAATTAAACCCTATGGGATCCCATGTCCAAATGACAATGAATCAGAAAGGTAAGAAAATAATGTCCCTTCATGCTGGCATGGTATTTCTATTCTCTGATACTGTTGTTTAAAGTACAAACATAACTAATCTAGAGCAATAGTATGCATACGAAGGTATTTTTGAAAACAAAATTTTATGAACAATGATGTCAAAAGCTTTTGAAAGATCTAAAATTATTCCAGTAGGTGCTTTATTGTGATCCGTGGATGTGCATCACCTCTAAGAAAAGTGAATACGGCTGTTTGCATACATTTTTATTTTCTAAATCTAAGTGGGCAATCTGACAATGCTTTGTTTGACTGAGAAATATTTCCATTGTATGCAAGAGTATTTTTGAAAAAATTGACTGAAGAGAAATTGGCCAATAATTTTATATTCATTTTTGTGGTAGCATTTGAAGAGTGGCTTAATCTTAACTATTTCAAAAATAGTTGGAAATGTTCTGGTGCACACATTAATAAAAAAATCCGGAAATTGATCTTAACTGGCTGAATATTTATTTTTTAGTTTACCATTATTTAGAGAATTTCAATTCTCATTTCTTTTCAGTATTTTGTAGGAAGAAGTTTTGGAAACAATGATAGCGTCTAATTCTTGTAGAAACGATTGATATTAAGTTTTGGAGATTAAAATCCAAAGTGAGATCAGTTGCAATTCTCGAAAAATATTGGTTGAAAAGACTAGCCTCTGTTGCTGGATCATTTACTTCCCTAGCATATGTTTTAAAGCAACATTCTTAACAAGGATTCTAGATGATGTGGCCATACTTTTCACTATTGTCTACATTGATTTTGTTTTGTTATTTGAGTTCAAAATATCCTTATTGTATTTGATGTTTTTAGCTTGCTTAATGCCTTTTCTTAAGGAAGATTTATATTTGTAAATATATAATATATTATAATATATTAACATTTATTTATCATTTGTATCAACAGTATTGTAAACCACATCCCATGATTTCTGATGCCAATAGTCTATGAATAATTTTATTTTACTCTTTGTAAACAATCTATAGATACACGTACAATTTTCAGTCAGAGTTACTTTGTCATTCTTACAGTGTAACTTCTATTATTATAACCTTTCTTAATCCTAAATTATACTTTTGGATTTACTTGTTTGTTGGATGTTTGCAAAACATCCAACAAACCAATAAATCCAAATGATGTTGGATGTTTGCAAACCTGGAGTTATAAATAATGAATGCCTCAGGTATACTGTGAAAGAAAAGTGAGATGCAACTCCACTTTCATAATTTACGTATTATCTTCTGGAAAATGTTTTGAAATGATCGATTAAAAGTTATGGACCCTTAGAATGTCGAATTGTTAAAGACTCAAGGATCAGACACCCTTCATTCTTTCACCAGTCATATGAATGCTGTTCAGCATTTTAGCAGTTTTCTCGTGTCAATTTCAATTTAAAGCGTAATTTTTCTGTAAGCTCACACTCATTCCTGTTATTTTCATCTCAAATTGTCTTAAAATGGAGAAGAGCATGAATAAGACTAATGGATTATTGATTCTTGGCAACTTGAGAGTAGTCTTTTGATATGAATAGGCAAAAAACAGAGCATCAATTTAATATCAATGAAGTCTATAAAGCCAAAACAGAAAAAGTGAAACTACTAACTTACCTGCAGGAAGAGCAAAACTGGTAATCTCGGCTATAAAATAACAGGGAAAGGACCCTTTACGTTGTCTCACAGCTGATGCAACGTGCCGCCTGATGTCAGCTGCCAAATCAGGGGCAACATATGATGGAACACGTTTCACACCAGATCCTGACCCTTCTATCTGAGATAGCAGCATAGCTAGCATGTCTTCTCGATGAAACCTGCAACAATTTGTTTTCTTCTCAGAAATGAACAATTTACCATATTTAGACTTTCCTCTATGTTTACACAACATATCCTATTCATGATCCCTTTTTAGCTCATTTTCCTTGATATGTTTTTCAAAATCACCAATCATAACACCCAAATGGGCTGTATTCTTGACTATTTGAGCTGTATGAATGCCAATTTCTATGGAAATGTCACAGTTCTTACAACTATCAACCACATACCTAATTTAATTGAATCATGTACATTCTAACTGTAATTCTGTTCATTGTAATAGTGTTAGATGATGATCAAATGCAAAATTAATTCTACAATCTGGCATGAAAACCATCCATTGGTTGGATGAATCTAGTCAACAACTTGTATACATAAATAAGGATTTAATATGTTTAATACATGCAAAGATTTTGAAACCAATTGATGGAACCACATGACATTTTCATGTATTAAAAAAAAAAAAAAAAAAAAAAAATTGTAATTTTTTCTTCCTCTGGAAAGAAGAAATCAAGAACAGCTAAAGCTGCTGTTTGTTTAAGACTTTACATATTTATGTCAACACATATTAAATACTATATTTAGAAGAACCTACAGATGACATTAGTTAGAACATCAAAGTAATAAAGTTTTCCAGTCTCTAGGAAATCATTTTAATAAAAAACTATGCATCATTGAATTTTGTCATGCAATTTCCAAATAAACATAAACTTCTCACACAACTGTAATAAAAACTAAAAAATCGGAATGTACAGTGTCTCCGGTTGGAAACTTACATTTCGTAATTCAATAAAAAATAAACTTTTCATTAAAAAATAGCATTTGAAATTCACCTAATGGCCAGGTGAACGAGGGTATGCCCTGTGTCAAAGGCAGAAGGGCGGTTGAGGAGAGTCACCTCACTGGGCGTGAGCTGCCGAGCAGGATCACCTCCAGAGGACAAGTACGCCTCCACAGGATTCACATCTCCCTCCACTACACCAAGACAGGCATTCAGCCAGGCCCAGTCCACATCCCTCATGCGCTGTCGGATCTGTTTCAGACGCCGCTCGTACTCACAGTTGTTGGGAGAATTGGTGGAGGTGGCACTTTCATTAACAGCTTGGTTTCGTTTGCTGAAAAATATAATAATTCACAGAATTTATCAGTTTTATCAGTTTAAACTAAGTTAGATAAATACTTATAGAGCAACAAAAATTCACTTGTTGAATTTCCTACATTTATACACCATTAATAAAATATTTATCAATCTTCTGGGAAACCATTGAAATAATTTATTTAAGACCCCATAAATAAATCAAAGTGTGCTTTTATTCCTTTAATCGAGAGCAACGGCCAGAACTTGAAGCAAAATGAAAGTAAAATCTAACTGGAAACAGCTAACGCACGTCCCCCCCACACCCATTCACCCACCCACACACAAAAATCAAATATAATAATGAAATCAAACAACCACAAAAAGTAACTAGTTTACTTAGTAATAGGAAATCTGTATATTTTCCCCAATTTATTTTAATTTGTGGTCAATGATTTCCAGATTTGGAAAATCCTACATAATATATAATCACATTGTTATGCTCAGAAATCTAAAAACATTATTTGAATGACGTTTCTTATTCTCTGCACTGTAAGGGACCAATAAAGTTTTCATTCCTGATCCTATTACAATGGCACCCATCCACCCAATATTGGTGGCATTTCAGATCTGTGCACTCCTCCATAAAAGCTACAATTCAAAGATTGATCATGATAATCATATCATGTGATGCAGAATGCTTGTTAAAAGAATTGTCTACATTGCCAGGAATTGAACCTGGAAGTCTCATTATTCCTTCCAGTCCCTTGTACAGTCAAATATCAATTATAACATTTGCTTCTGCTATGCACCTGTAATTCACATTATAAAAAAATCTTCAGAATGAACCACAAATTCTAATTAGCCGCTCCAGTGGACAAAATTGCTGAAGCAGTAGTGATCACGGGCCGAAGGATCGCAGGTTTGAGTCCACCTTGGGCATGGTTGTATGTGTGTTTGTCCTTTCAACCCCCATCACCACCAGATCATTTTAACTAGTTCACCGTTACCCGTAATGTTAAAACCAATTGCGGTTACTAATGACCTAGATATTGATGCAACTTTAAATAACAAAAATTCTAATAAAATTATTTTTTGAAAAATGAAGGAATACAATTTAAGTTGAAAACTGTATACTTAAGTATTGACTTTCCGAACTCAATATACAATAGCTTAAAGCTAATGGACCTGCAAGATGACAAGAACTTTCTTTTACTAGTTAGTTTTTCCTTTTGTTATTTTCCTTCTTTTCTTTTGAGCGGGAACTACAGCTATGACTTTGCCCCTCTCCCTCCCTATCATGTTTATCTACCTCAGGGTTTTTTTACAGCCTCCCTCAGTAACTTCCTTGAATGGGAATAATTCCTACTGATGAGCTCCTTCATGCTTCCTGAAAATCACCTCTTAGACCCATCATGGTCCGGAACCATTCCATAAATGTCCCTGATGTCTAAGGCCATTTATGTAATAATACAGGTCCATTTTGGTGCTTGTACTCTGGGTGTAGAGAGCCTTGTACAGAGGTTCCAGCCAGAGCAAGAGATTATGTAGAGATTACAGTATCATGGTGATAGACGAGGGACTGGAAATGCCTCCCATACCTAACACAACTGAAAACATCCAATTTACATGAGATTCAAATCTAGTTTCTGCAAAACTGAGGCACCAAACCTCTGTGCCACAAGACTGGCTGACATTACTATACTACACATAACAGTTATGTAAAATAATATTCGTATTTTCCTTATATATATCTTCACTTATATTTTAAGGTATATATTTATAAAAGTTCTACTAGCATGTACAATTTCTCTTCATCAAACTGTTGGAAATATCAACACAGAGTTTATCTTCAAAAGGACAATTTGTATGTAAACTAGACCATTTTTTGCAATCATGGTCAATAATGTGCTCAGCCCAGCAGAATCTACTTATCTCAATGACATTTGACAACATTCATTGCCATAGCACAAGGTCAACAAAGTTTCTTTCACTTTAAAAACTTAACCTCCTTATTAATAAACGGTCACCCTAAACTTCAGGAATCCACTCTAAAGAGATGCCACCAGACCAATTGGTCTTCAAAAGCACCCCTATAAAAATAGGCCCAAAACTACCTTTCTTGGATAGACTATTCAAGATAATCTAAAATACTGCTAATCTAACTATGTTGGAATTTTTATTCATTCATTCATTTTATTCAAACTATTTATGGTTAAAAGGTCACAAAGAAATTCTGGAGCTCAAGATAACACAGATTGTACTTCTGACTTCATACGTCACATACAGTCTTTACTATTCCCTGGCAAAATAAACCAAATTAAATAAAAAAAAATGGAAGTCTCACATTACAGATATACGTAACTAGCATGCCCATGTTATGCTGTTTATATCCTAAGTCAAATTTTATCTTCAGATACACTATGAACAGTGTACAGTGTTCATTGACACCAAAAATATGGAATCATATTTTGGGAAAGTATTCACACTTTCATTACCCAAAAATGAATATTCAGAACAATCACAAATATTCACAAGCATGAGTCCTGCAAACCATTGTTCCAAAAATTACAAATCCTGCCACCCCCATGTATGTCCATATTTTAAATAGTAATTTTCACAAAGAAGATGCATCTGAATGCAGAAAATCATAATTATGATACGAGACAGAAAAGGAATTTCCATGCCCCTCACAGTGAAACTGTACCATTTCACAAAGATATCCATACAAAAAGCATTATCCACTATAACAAACTCCCTAATGAATTCCCTAAAAATGCACATTAAAAAAAGCTTTCCTGTTAAACCTAACATGCTTCATTATAAAAGTTTATAAATATGGATCTATATCAATATATACTTTTAATCCCTTTGTATATTCTATTACATGTTTGACATCCCAAAATTGAACTGATTGTCTGAATGAATCAATTCATCCTTCAAGCACAAACTCATTTTTAAATTTGAGTAACTTTCAGCTCATTTATTACTATTTTTTATTTTAGTGACCTTACATTGCCACTTATAAAATAAATATGCATTGTATTGTATTATATTCTTTCTTACAGCACATTACATCAAAAATTTATTTATTGTACTTAGCACCAAATTCATATGAAATGATAATTATTACCATGACTTGTCATACAGGCTTGCCTATTTATGTGACAAATAGATTAAGATGATTTTTTATTTTCAAAACGAATTAACTTTACCGCAAACACTGTAGAATATAATATATTTACAGATCATTGCAATGAACACTATAGTTTACTTTAGAATGAAAATAAACTTCTACATGTTGAAGAATGAAATTCTTTTGTTTTTACGAATTTTCAATGCTAAATAAGGAATATTTCTTATAAGTTTCTTTATTCTTTCAAATATTTCTAATTGTATAATATAAAAGCATTTGAAAACTTTTTATATTATATTATTAATTAATATATATATAATTAATTCTCATAATTCTCATTTGGAATAGAAATGATCGCCTCTGATGATTATATATATATATATGAGGCGATCATTTCTATTCTAAATGAGAATTAATTTTCAGGACATATTTCCTGCATTCACAATAGCCGAGATTCAAATATCAACACAACCCAGAAACATCACGCAACTACCTATGGTTGACAAAAATTAAAACTATAATGTGATTCTGTGGTTTTATTTAAATTTTGTTTGTTTATAAACTGATGACTGTCAAAGTGATCCCTATAGCCAAATCCAAGAAATATAATTGAAACCTGGCTACAAAACTGTATTGGGAATGTAGAATTGAACCTGCCAAGCCATATCGTAAGATTACATACATACATACATACATACATACATACCACACACATACATATCAAGAAGAAGACATTTGAGGGAAAGCTATTGATTTGATAATTTCACAATTATAAATGTGTGTATTTAAATGTGGATACCTGTTTATATAATTTTCAGCATGAAGATTATACTGTCATTAGTCAGAAGTATTCGAGTTTTGACTGACATTAAACATACTGGATGCAAACAAATTTTTGTACTCATAAAATTATGTCATGTGTCACTGTTGGGGCTGTCTATTTTTCACATAACAGACCTTTTAATGGGGGAAGGGGGGAGGGCCAGGAGACATTACATTTTGAACTGTTTTATATTAATTTTTATATATGAATTAGTAATTATATCCAACAGCTAATTTTGTGTTGATAGATTTTCATTTACCAAATTCTACTTGGGCCGTGTCCTTGCTTTCAAATTCATCATGCATCAAAAAATGAAAATGTTTGTATATAATCTGATGTATTACTTATATTTGTATAGCTAGCACATAAATAATAAAATTCTTGGTTTCATTTTTACAAGTAACTTGGATTACAGTATTTACGAGTCTGCTTGTCCTCTAGTAGCTTGGGATATTTATCATCAATCTATTGATTTGATAATTTCATGTTAAATGAGTGTATTTAAATGTGAATACCTGGATTTATAATTTTAAGCATGCAGATTATACAGCGACTAAATATAAATAATGCTTATGTGATCAGTATTCATATTTTTCAGTAAATTCGCTGGAAGAATCTATTAGTTATTTTTATTACTATTTGCTCACCAAATTGTTGTTTTATTGACAAATACATATAAAAAGTTTTACTGAAAACTTTAACTTATACACTATGGTAGTAATTTAAACTGATAAAATTGTTGGAAGGCATATATCTCATAACAAAGCAAAACCTAAACACAATAATTAAAAACTACATTAATGTTAATGTTTATATTTCAAAATTGTGCAAGATTTGAAAAGAAAAAGCCAGAGAAGATTATGATACAATTATTCGGAAGACAGAAATCGTTCAATAAATATCAATATTGAGTCACTCTGGAAATTTGCAAATTTTACTGGAAAATTTTAAATTTTACAGACTTATAAACTTTAATGATGTTCAGGAGAAAAGGTACAGATATTGTTGATCTATTTGGAGGGCATTTTAACTCCATACATAAACAAGCTACAGTTCATCTTGATTTAAATCTGCTTACGTCTGAAACTAATGTAAACATGATTCTTTAATTGATTCTTAAGATGACTTTTTATGGGATTGAGTAAACTGGATGAAGATATGTCACTGGGTCCTAATAGGATTCTATCATGTTTATTGAATAACTATAGAGCGAATCTCACACCTACATTACATGATTTGTTTCCAATGTGGGAAACATTAAAATGGGTTTTTTATCTCCTATTTTCAAATCAAACTGTTGAGTTCTGTGTCAAATTGTTGTGTTCTGTATAATTTCTAAGTTCCGAATTCCTGATTACAAAAAGAAACGCTGCTTTGTTGAAGTCGAAGTTGATTGATACAACACACTTTTCAAGAAAGAAGATCAACTACCTATTTACATTAGAACATTTACATAGAATTTCATCATTTTGTTCTAGATAAATTGGGATTGAAAGTTGATGTAATATACACCAACTTCGGTAAGGCATTTCATTCTGTGAACTAAAATACTCTAATACAGAAACTTAAAAAATTGGGTATTCATGGGTCATTATTAAACTGGATAAGTAAGTAATATTATTTCTAGAATTGAGAACATAAATATAAAACTTTTATATCACAGAAAGCTATGTCAGGGGCTACCCAGGGATCTCCTTTACTTCTAATTGCTCCAGTGTATTATTCTACATAAGTGGTATCATTTTATTACTACAATATATGTTTTAGGATACATTTACTCCTACAATTATTTTTAAAATGTATATTGAAGGGCTTGAATTTCTCATTCTTACTTGTTTTAAAGATAATCCTCCCCCACACACATACACATACATACAGACCCTCAAAGGCACCAAGAAGGTCATGCTCAATGCTGACTGCCTAGGCCGTTTTCTACGAATCACTGCAGCTAAGGTTTCTAAAATAATTAATAAAAAATAAAAAAATTTGATGAACTTCATTAGGCTTTCTGTTTCAGCTGTAAATATCCCATTCTATGAAAACTGTTCCTCACATTTGGATTTCTGAGAAAGAACTTCAAAATCTACATTAAAGAAAGAAAACATACACATAAAATGTACAACAAATATATGTGTGAGATGTGTGCAAGAAAAGATTTTTGGTTTATAGCTCAGCAACCTAAAATAATGAGGGCATTGTGGTATCAAAACTCTCTAGTACACTATAGATGGTGAGGCAAAGCAAATTTCCCTCCTCCTTGGTTCACCTTGAACGCCTCATTTTGGAACTGAAAAAGCTCCCACACTTGTTTTTAAACAAACATTTCAATCCTAAGAATAATCCTGTTGTGTCTTCAAATAATTGTTTTGAAATTTTAATTTTTCTAAAAAAAATTCTAGCTACAGGTCTTATTATTTACACTCATACTTCTGAATATGGCACATAACTTCTAGTTTTGTGTGTCGCCAGTTTGATCCTCATTTTTCCAAAATCATATAAAGCTGGTTGACCCTATCCAATATAGGTTCTTCAATTTTGTTGCTTGTAAGTTAAAATTAACAAGAGCATCATCTCGGAATACAATTATAGAAAAAAAGTGTTGTTAAATGTAAGCTCACTTGATCATATTGAGTTTATAATAATATTATACTATGATAATGATAAGTGTGGGAAGATCTCATTGAAACATAAAAAATTCTAAACTGTCATTACAACTGCCCAGGTTTTGATGATTTCTTCTTCCACAATACCAACTTCCAGCTTTGTAGTCACAATTACAAACTGAACAACGACGATGTTTTGCACAATCCATACAAGATTTTCCTGTAGAACAGAGACCATTAATTACTGGAATTGCCTAACTGCAACTGTTGTCAAAGCTCCCAACTTTGATAAATGTAAACAATGTTTGGGCCTATTTTATACTGTTCTCTGTTGATTATCATCTACCATCTTTTTCCATTTTTGTTTTTCTATGCTTTTCTATTTACCATATTGTAATTTTATATTTCTTTCTCATATGTATATTTGTTTTTATTGTGATCATTATCAGGATTTTCCGGCCTGTTCATGCATTTAGTAAGTAAATAAACAATTATTATAATTCATTTAAAACTTAAAAAGAACTGTAATGACAGCATAAGATCTAATAGAAAATATTGATGGAAAATCCTCAAAACTTTTATAAAAAACATTTAAACCTCCGAGAAGAACAAATTCTTTCTACAACACTTCATCATGGCATACGTTTAGGGCATCTAATAATTGCGATGTTGATTTGAAGTTTTAGGTCATGAGAAGCCAAGCCCTGATCATAAATATTAAATATCTAATAGAATTAAAATGTCTTTGGATTGAATTTAATGGTAGCTGAAGTTTCTGCATGTACTTTCAATCAATATCTGTAAATGTTCTCTTGAGTTCAGTGAGGAATATATGTAGTTATTCAAATAATAGTTATCCATTTTCTCTCAGCAGTTAAGTCGATGCCGCCGAGAAGAGCACAATAAGAGCCAATAGCCAAATGTTGTAGCTGATTTTTCTTTGCACATAAGAGCGAATATTTTATCACACGGAAGGAAATAGCGAATAAACGGCGAATTTTCAGCAGAAAAACTCTTGTTACAAGGCTCAGGCAACGAAAAAGTGGATAAATCGAGATGCTAAATTTAGAAAAAATTCTCAAACACATGGTGTAGCCAAAATGCATGTTTTGTGGGATCTTCTTACAGAAAAATCGATTAACGGCAAAACTGTCACAGCAACATGACATACTTTTTCTCAAGAACTAAGAGGAAAACAAATTGCAATTTTAAAGAAAACCTTTTTGGGCCTTTTCATGATCCAATAATTTTACTACTGCAATACTTTTAGCAATAGTATCAAGACTAGGATATTTTATGTTTACCTATAATTCCTCCCTTTTGCAAACAAATGTCAATCTAATGCTATCCAACTTTAGATCAAAGATTTAAACTATAATTTATTTATCCATGCACTTGACGTAAATCAGCTGGTCACGGTTTTATCCAATAACGAGTATGAACGACCTATTAGTGACACTGTGGTGACATATAACCTCCCGGTTTGGATGAAACCACAACAGCTGATTCATGTTAAGTGCACGACCAAATAAAACATACTATAGTTCAATATCTTCTCATTAAATATACAATGTATTTCATTACTGATTTCTCTGACAAAAACATCTGCCTCAATTTTTTGTGCTGCATGCTCTGTAACAGAGTAATAAACACCAGGCTATGTAATAGAGAAACCCCTCCTGTCCAGAACATGTGAAGTTTCTCAATTACACTGGAATTTCACCTTTTTGTACAAAATAAAGTAACTGAAGGATGTGAGATTTTTCTCTCAATAAATGGACTTTAATATATGTCACTCCTTTTTGCAATAAAAGGAGTTTGTCAAAAATATATTATTTTTTTATTATTACACTTACACAATATATTAGCTCTCTGAATGGTGACAATGAATTAATATGTTAATAAATAGAAAAATATTGACATTGTACATTATGAATGTAGTTGTTGGACTGTTGACATAACAATCAATGAGTGGTGCATAGATGAGAGTTTTGGGGTTGGGGGGTGGGGTGAGTTTTGTTTCCCTCTCCCTCTTATAAGCCTTTGATACAAATTCTCAATTATAATTTGCTAATTAAACTAATTTAAAAAGAAAAAAAATTGAATTATTTATATTATTTTGGCAATACTCTGAGTTTAATGTTACAACTTAATTTGTTCAAATTACTGTAAATAAAAAAAGCATGTTTTAATTTTTTATATTTCGTGATGGCCCACTAGGTCTAAATGAAGGCTTTTTTATTGTCATATTGACATATGTAAAAAATACAGGCTTTATTATTCTCTATAATTACTGTCATGCGAGTTCTGAAATACAGGTAAGAATTAAACAATCAATCTTTAGATGAAATTCAAAACAATAACATAATAGTAGATATTTAACAAAAACATAAAAAAATAAACTTATAGGAGTTAAATTCACTATTTCCATAAGTCATTATTCACAAATGAAATTTCTGTAGGACACAGTCATTTCATTTAATACATAGAAGTAATACGACATTTAATGCAAAAATCGGAACAGCTCTATTGCAGATACTCATCAATAAATTAGTATTTATTCAAGTAAATAAAAGTATTGGAAAATAAAGTACCTCTTAACTGAGCATTTGTCTTCTATCAATGTCACTTGGCTGCCTTCTCTGCTACTTCGTGCCGAGCTCACCACAGAGACCTCCCGCTCAGGAGATGGAAGAGAACTGCGAGTACTTGCAGTACCTTTGCCACTAGCTGCCCCATTGTTGCTGCCTCCATGAACAGTTCCACACATTATGCACTTCATGGATTTAGGCCAATTTTCATAGGTGCAAACACTGCACATCCACTTTGAACACCCAACATTTTTAGAACTTATAGACTTATCAGACATCCGACCTCTCAGATCATTTTCAGCTTCCTTAATATCTTTCTTCTCAATGGATGGCGACGTCATAATTCGCAATGAACCTCCTCCAAAGGCAGCACTTGCCAACTCGTTCGATGGATCAATTCGTAAAGGCTGCAAGTGCTCATGAAGATTAGTAGTTGTAACTGGACGAGGACTTCGACACTGAGCACAATACAATGACTTTGGCCAGTTCAAATACGTGCAAGCACAACATTCCCACTTGCCATTGCTATGTATCACTGTGTCCTGGTCAGTTGGACCGGATGCCAAACTAGGCTCACTTACTGGACTAATCAATGTGGGAGATGGTGATTCATCACAAAGCCTGTAGATGTCTTCTCCAAGTAGAGGTTTGGAACCTCGGCACATTGTACATTTGAGAGAAGAAGGCCAATTTTCGTAGGTGCAATATTCACATGCCCATTTTGTAACAGGTGGGTCACAACTCATAATTAATCTCAAAAAGGATTATATAAATGAATATGAAAGGTGAGACAATATGAAATTTGAGTCTCCTTTCACACACAATATTTGACAATATATACAAAGGGAGGGAAAACTCAAAAATTTCTATGTATCTAAGTATAAAATTGCTATATGGTTTAAGAATTATACAATTGTCATAAATACAGCATCGTTTTGCATTGAATGCTACCTGTAGTCTGAGTACATGTATAAATACAGTACCAGTGACTACAAGTTGCAAATAAGTAATTGACAAAAGAACTGTGATACTTGAAAGCCAATAAGAGAGTTTTCCAACTTTCTCTCAGTCAACATGAGTTAGAAGTGCGAACTGACCAACTTCAAACACCATCGAGCACCTTTATGACACCTCTTCTCTCCAAACTGAAAACGAAACAAAGCAACACTGATCACAGCCCGCCTTTACCACACAACTTCAAAAAAAACAACAGCAAATACTTGGCCTAATTTCGGAAAATAGCCAGAACTGTCCTAATATTTTCACAACACACGTAAGAGTTCAGAAATATTCCTTCTCATTATCCTCACCTGGTTCACCTTCGAATTCTGCAAGTTTCATTACTGAATAGTATTACCCTTAATCACTTAATTTGAAAGCACAACACTCAAACGCTTCCAAATCCGTGACCTATCCTTGATACGTTATTCACAACCCCAACATTCTGAATTCAAGCCAAAAGGCTTACTACCTTTCCATCAAGCTTACTATCCGACACAAGAAAAACATTACGTCACGAAACTAGTGGTACGGCCATCTTACGAGCCACAGTATATCGATTGGCCCAGTTCGATATCTTGTAATGGTGATTCGAGAATAGCAAGCATGAAACAAAAGCGCAAATATGAAACTAAAAATGGCACATACAAAATGGATAAAAGCCTGCAAAATAATTAACATTACTATAGTTCTCTATACTCAAAAAGACATTTAATAAATACCATAAAACTGGTCATTGTTTGCAAATAATGATTACTTTAATATAAAAGGAATGTTTTGTATTATCAGCAGATATTGGACGAACAATAATACTTAACACTAAAAATAAATAAAATAGTATAATTATTTCTTAGATTTATATTATTTTGTGTTTAGTCAATTATAATTGTTCCAAAGGCGTAAGTCACCTCAAAAATTTTCGCGATTGTCTGGCATTCCAAAGGAAAGAATAACACACACTTACACAAAGACAAACGCACATTACTTTGCGGTCAAAGATACAACTATTCATTACTGAAAGCCATAGTTCAGCTGAACACATAAATACCTTGGTATTATGCTTACTGTCATTGAAAGTCGGTGAATTTCTGGAAAACTGCCCGGTAAGCAGCAATGTAGAGGTGTGTGGTACTCATTGGAAGAACATATTTATTCTAAATCCAAGACTGAGGGAAAATACTTTCCATTTTACGTATAGATTACTTCGTTGCAAAACAACCGCCATATCTACTGTGGTTTCATGTAAATAAAGAATAAATCCTTTTTTGCATGATTGAAATAATGGGTGTTAATTTGGGCAACATTACCAATGATTCGTTGTCAACAAAATCACACATTTCATCTATAGCACATCGGAAATAAACAATACATTCAATTAGTGCTGTCTCATATTTCTAACGCTTCTGTTTCCCTACATGCATTTCGGTCAGTTATATTTTTGTTGCACAATTTTGGGACTTTGCGTTAGCGATAATTCACGCGAATGAAAAAGGATGTTTAGAGCGAAGACCATCATTATCGCCAGATATGCTTTTTATTTGTGCCGTTAAGTGCTCTAATTCATTTTATTATAAAGGTGTCTCATAGAAATTTTGTTTTTCGTGGTTTATATCTTCGGAAGAAAGAAATGATACTTTGCAAGATTAACTGAAAGGAGATGAATTAAAAAATGGTGAGAAAAAGATGCTTTCTTTGACGAATTTACCAACTTACAGTAAATTTACTGAAATACATTTAATTTTATTTATATATTAAATGTATTATTGTTCATTTTCCTGGACCGAAGTATCTCGAAAACTGAAGAGCCAATTGCAAATGGTTGAAAAGTGATCATTTTGCTCAATTGCAGCATTTGGATCCTTATCTCTGAAAGGTAATTACTCTTATTCCTTCATCACAGAAAAGTTTAATATTTAATTTAGCTATTTAACAAATAATATCTGAAAAATGTCCACGATTAGACTTATTACAATATCGAGGGAATCTCACTTCAGAATCAAATACAGTCGACATTAAACTTTACAAGTACAAATTATTAAAACGTCTATAATAAATATGCATTTTAAGCAGTTTTAATAGCTTTGGTTGATTCGGTATCCTAGAATGACAATAAAGTCTTTAGAAGAGAATGAAGCCTTCCCGTAATTTATCTTGAGAAGTTGATTAGGCTATTATATAATTTCCTTTTGTTTGTGGCAAGAATGACAAATCTTTCATTAATATCACGTAGATTTTTTAAATATATGAGTCATTACTTAAACGAAATTTTAATTAAAATGTTTCGTTTTTTTAAAAAAAAATACACATATATATTTAAAGAAACTGGCTGAATTAGCTCAGAGTTATTTGTTTAAATTACCACTGTTTCTGCAGTGTCTCTGAACGGGAGATTCTAGAGTTAGGAGTCCGGACGGTGGCGATTTTTCGCCATTAGCTAGGTCGAATTCAGCCGCTATTTGAAGGAGAATTCTAACGCCCCGCTGCTTTGATCGGTATTTTACCTTGTTTCTACGTTTAATTCTAGGTAATTGTCACATCAGTACCATAAAAAATGATCACGGACTCCCCCAATCATTCCTTGTCCTTTCTCTCCCCACAGACACTTTCATGCACTTCACTACACCACATGCCAGGATACCAGTCGGGAGCTTAGAGTTTGTCTCGGCTAAGACGGTGCCCCGCTGCGTTCAAAAAGGAAATCCCCCATATTGCGACCTGTAGGTCGGTGTCGGACTCACTATCCAGGTGGGGGGACGTTATACCGCCACATCGCGGGATAATCAACAATATTTATTACATTAGTTATTATTTGTACATTACATTTCTAAAATACTAAATATGCCTGCAAAATAGATTGTACCTCAGCTTCTGACTCAATGATTCCCATCTCGATTACGTTTTTTCGCCCGGTTTCCCTAAACCTTTGAGCAAGTGTTGAGATGTTCCCTTGTTTTGCGTCGGGATGAAAGTGTATATTCACTATCTGTACATGTTCTCTTGAGTTCAGTGAGGAATATATGTAGTTATTCAAATAATAGTTATCCATTTTCTCTCAGCAGTTAAGTCGATGCCGCCGAGAAGGGCACAATAAGGGCTAATAGCCAAATGTTGTAGCTGATTTTTCTTTGCACATAAGAGCGAATATTTTATCACATGGAAGGAAATAGCGAATAAACGGCGAATTTTCAGCAGAAAAACTTTAGTTACAAGGCTCAGGCAACGAAAAAGTGGATAAATCGACATGCTAAATTTAGAAAAAATTCTCAAACACGTGGTGTAGCCAAAATGCATGTTTTGTGGGATCTTCTTACAGAAAAATCGATTAACGGCAAAACGTCTGTCCGTCCATATATCTATGAACAATTTTAGAGGCTGGACCGTTCAGCTGATTTTCTCCAAAATTGATATTTCCCAATCGATCTGGCTGATGTTGCGGTCCCTTGAATTTGAAACTGATATTTTAATTTTGGGGGCACTGTACATGAAGCCTATGGGACATTTTTAAAATGTAAAAAAATGGCTTTATCGATTTTGATTCAATTTTGTAGTTAGATAGTCTGAAGGTCGATTAAGAAAATGGTGGAGGGCTCATGTTTGTTAAAGATTATGATTTTTCGAAAATTGAAAAAGTTCAAAAATTTTTAGGCGCCTTCCTACAACTACAATTATGAAGATGCCATTTCTCCCCCCAATGAAATATGTTAATCAAAAACATCTTCAAGTAAGGCCATGTTGAAGTTTTTGAAAATATGAGTATTTTTGTGTAATTTGGCGATAAACGAAAGTCGCCCGCTCCCAATTTACTGCGCTTCGTGAATAAATGATGTTGCTACGTAGGTGAATGCTACGTAAGTTAGAATTTGTATATTATATAATTTTATTATTATTATTATTATATTTATGCTATTTCATTTTAAATTGCGCTCTTTAATTGTATTAAATGTGAAAACCATGCGCGAAAGCAAAGACACAATCACCACTACTAATCACGACTGAAAACAGATTTTCTGTTTTAGATTATGAAAATGAGTTTCTTTGCTTTCCCAATCCTCACTACCCCTTCCGATCGTCGACACGTCCAGCCACAAACCAACGCAAACAGGCTAGCAAGCGCAAAGACACGTTGAGTTGCGCAACCTGGCCCACAAGTAAACAAGGACATTCCCACTGAGCCCATCAAAAAGGAATTGATTTTAGCAGATAGCCATGGGCGACAAATCTCCCTGCTCAGTGGAAAACTCCCATCCTATTTCTCTGTCACGGGTGTGTTTAAACCTAACGGGAGGTTTGCCAAAGTGACCAGTGAGTTGGGTACCCATACAAAAACTTACATCAAATGGGATACAGTCATCATCATAGGAGAGCAGAATGACATCAATTTGGGTGGGCTCGTTACACCTGAACAACATGTTGACAAACTACAACGTGCCGCCCAAAACACAAACATTATCGTCTCGATTCTGTCCTTCTGGTACAACAAACCAACACTGTGCAAAGATATTAAACACGCAAACATCTATTTGAAACTGCATCTGAGAGACACGTGTTAAATTATTTGAGCTGAACTTTCTCACAGAAAAACACTTCACCTGGCATGGTGTTCATCTGGCCTTGTCGGAAAACATGCTCTCAGTAGCGAGCTTGCAATACATGACCTTTCGCAACCTCGGCATTGTCAAGCTCAAGACGCATCCCCACCCACATCTCTTCACTTACGTCCTCCATGACCTCTTTCGACTCAATTACCTTATCCCCTGAACCTAATCTTTGTACTACCTCCCTTATTGTTCATTTATCTACACACTCAACTACGCACTCGAGGTAAAAATGAGATAAATTATTACTACTACAGTTAAATGCAGCAGAGAAACATCCGTGTATGTATATGCAAAAAATTCAAATAATGCATCATAATGTGCCATCTCTTGAAAATTTAATTTATAAAATTTAATTTATCGAGGCAGCATTACAGTGTGATCTAGATCAAGGAGATGTTTTTTGCTTTACATAACATTAGTTTGTCTAATAATGATATAAACACACTCCATATTTCTAGTTTTTATCTTGCAGGATCGTATTGTAGAGCGAATACGGGCCCTGTTTATGGAGGTTCGTGTGTTTACGAAAGAAATTATATTGATTCTATCTTCTTGTCAGAATTCAATTTATATGGAGTTGAAAAAGTTATTGAAATAACAATCGTACATCTTACTACGCTCAAAACTATCTTACTTTGCATCTACAGACCTCCCAAAAAGCGATCTGTAGATAATTTCATTTCCTGAGAAAATCTAGAGATAACTGAACAAAATTAGTAATCTATCTTTTACCCATTGTTATATGTGAAGATTTACTGCATTCTTTTAATATCGATATTTATAAATAGAAAAATTATGATTATTTTAACAATACAATGATATAAGGAATTAGTTCACATTTTAAAAAAAAGACAATATGCTTATAACAAATAATGTACTACAGCTTCCGGGTCAATCAGCCCCATCTCGTTCAAGTTTTTGTCCAGTGTCCCTGATACATTGAGCAAATGCTGAGATGGCCCCTTGTTTTGCTTCTGGACGTAAATGTAGA